TAAGAATTTCTAATTTTATTAAAGTTTGAATATATTTTTATATATTGAATATAAGTTAATCAATAAGACTAACATCAAAAAGTTATTTATTTATAATAAAAATACTTCACATTTAAGAGTTTCACTAACAATAAAATTAATTTAATTACTATCCTTTGCTTATTTAATATTTTAATAGAAATAGGAAAATGCAGTATAACAAATTGGTCAATACACTTTTGGATGCTTTTACAAAAGAATATCCAAAAAGGAGATTTCTTTTAACTAAACTTCTTGGTTCTGGTGCGGAAGGAGGAGCCTTTCTTGCTTCCGCCTCTGATTGGAGCAATAATCCTTAATAAGTAGTAATTAAAATACAAAAAAACATGAAACCTAATGAAAAATAATTTCTTAGTTCTTTAATAGAGTACCAAAATTTATATGAAAATGGAAATAATTAATAATATCTTCCTACTTATTTAATCAGAATATATGAATATTTTTAATGGTAAAAGAATCATTGCATTGTTATGGAAGTTGGACAAGAAGATTTATATCGTTTCATAAATAACAGTAGGAATGTATCAATATAAGAAAAAGTACAAATTTGTTTTTAGGTAAATATTTTAATAAATATAATTATAGATTATTTACCCAATTCTATTTCTACATTAATAGAAGTTAATCCATCGAGATATTAAACCAGAAAATTATATTAAAGTAGGAAATGTTTTTAAACTTATTGACTTTGGTTTAATTAGGAGTTCGTTATCTGATGTTAAAACTTTATAAGTTGGTAGTACAATATTTCAAGCACCAGAAATTCTAGAAAATAGAAGTGATTATACAGATAAAGTTGATATCTGGTCATTAGGATGTGTTTTTTATGAAATATTATAAACTTAACCTTTGTTTGATGGTATAAATAAATTTATAATCTTAGGATAAACTCATTAAGAAGTAACTAAAAATATTAAAAATCATAAAACCTACCCAGTTCCTGTTAATAATAAAATCAATTAATTATAAATTTCATAATAATTTAAAACCATTTTAACTTCAATGCTAATTTATGATGAAAAGAAAAGGCCATCAATATAATAAGTTTATGATGAATTCAAAAGTTACTTAAATCCATAACCTAAAGTAATTCCATAAATTATACCCAAACCAGATATTCCATAACCATTATAACAATAAGAAAATAATTAACAACAATAAATTAAGACTCAAAATACAAATTCTGCTAATAAATCTGAAAATAATAGTTCTGAATAATAAAATTAAATTATCCAAAATAAAGAACTTAATTAAAATTAATAATAACCAAAGGTTGACTAGATTAAATTAGAAGAATTTAATTAATACTAATTAATTTAGATATAAAAAATTGTTGATAGCATGGTAGAATCAAAACTTAAGGACACTTAAAATTAATTAATCTAAAGAGAATAGTAAATTAATTAGTTAAATTAGAAAATATCAGATATAACTGATGTTATGAATAAAAAACAATAAGAGGAATATGAAAACTAGAATAAAAGAAATCAATATAATTAAGATAAATTAAAAGAAATTGAATCTTAAGTATAATCAATATAATAGCAAAAGTCTAATAATGAAATATATAATTAAGATGAGAAATTCTAATAATCCCAGTCAGAAATAATGATAGTATAGTAATAATTAAAATAAATATAAGAATAATAACACTAATTGTAGAATATAGTATAATAAAGCCAATAAAAAACTTAATAAATAATTCAAGAAAATTATAAGTTGTTTAAAGAATAAGAAGTTAAACTTTAAGAATTCTTAGACAAAAATATTTAAGAATAAAATTAATAATTGACTATAAAATTCAATGAAATATAGATAGAATTAAGAAGCTAAAAGGATAAATAATTTGAAATAAATAATCAATATGCGAATATTGAATAAGATTATTCAAAAAAAAAATAAGAAATATAAAATATTACTGTTTAATGTGAAGAAATTATTAAAACAAAAAATGAAATTAAAATTTAATAGGAAAAACTATAAAATTCATTGGAGAAGCTAACTTAGTCAAATTTATCTAATTAAAATAAAATTGATTATTAAGGTAAATAGATAAGCGAAATCAATAATCAAGTATAAAATGCAACTAATCAAAATCAAAACAATAATTAAGCATAATAATAATATGGTACTGATAATCAAGAGTAAAATCAAACTTAACAAAATCAAAACAATAATTAAGTATAATAATAATATGGTATTGATAATCAAGAGTAAGATCTAACTAAACAAAATCAAAGCAATAATTAAGTATAATAACAATATGGTATTGATAATCAAGAGTAAAATCAAACTTAACAAAATCAAAACAATAATTAAGTATAATAACAATATAGTATTGATAATCAAGTATAAAATCAAACTTAAAAAAATCAAAACAATAATTAAGTATAATAATAATATGGTATTGATAATCAAGAGTAAGATCTAACTTAACAAAATCAAAGCAATAATTACGTATAATAATAATATGGTATTGATAATCAAGTATAAAATCAAACTAAACAAAATCAAAGCAATAATTAAGTATAATAACAATATGGTATTGATAATCAAATGTAAAATCAAACTTAACAAAATCAAAACTATAATTAAGTATAATAAGAATAGTAAAATATTGATAATCAAGGATAAGATCTAACTAAACACAATGAAATTATTAATTAAGAAGAAGTTAATAATCCTATTTTAAATAATGATGATACTTAAAATATCTAAAATGAAGTTAATAAATAAAATGATAGTTTCAGATTATTACTTGATTAAGAAGATAGCTAAATCAAATAATATATGTAAGAAAATCAATGTGTTATGCAATAATTAAAATAATAAGATTTAAAAGATAAATTAATAAATTAAGTTATGGTTAATGAACTCAATATAAATAATTAATTAAGTTCTCAATAATAAACTTACGATTAAAAATTATCAAAATCTTAACAATAATTAAGTTATTAATTATCAAATAATTAAGTATGCAACAATTAAATAAATGAAGTATAAATTAATGAATCTTATGTAGACAATCCTTAGTTAAATATATTATCAACACAAGACTAAAAGAATCTCTTTGAAAATATAAGAACTGAATTACAGAAATAAATTAATGATATTTTATTAGTTTAAGAAAATAAAAATAATGATTAGTTAAATTTTATTAAAGAATAACACTAAAGTCAAATTAATAATTTAAATAATGAAATTGAAGATTAAAATAATTAATTAAAAAATATCACATAGGTTTCTTCAATAGAAAAAGAATAATTAAATATCGAAATTGTAGATTTGAAGAATCAAATAGAAAATATAAAATAAAGCTCTGAAAAAGAAAAAGAATAATAAAATCTTAGAAATAGTCAAATGGAAAATAGTAACCAAGAGTTAAAAAGATAAGTAGAATAATTAAATGAAAGTCTTAATTAATAAAAATCATAATTTTAAGAATTGTAATAAAATAGTTAAAAAGAATTGAATGATTTGAAATCAGAGTTAGTAGTGTGTTAATAGACAAGTTAAGCAGAAAAATTAAGACAAAGTAAGGAAATTGATGAATTGAATGGAAAAATACAAAAGTATGAAGATGATAACAAGATTCAAAATGAAAAAATTAAAAAGTATGAAGAAGATAACAAGATTAAAAATGAAAAAATAAAAGAGCTTGAAGAATAGAGTTTAAATAAAAATTAAGAATTACAAAAATTAAATTAAGAAAATTAAAAATTTAAAGACGATTTAAATTAAGCAATATAACCTTAAAACCAGGTGAACGCCTTAATTGAATTCTTTAAATAGAAGTAGAATATAGATGATTTTATGGAAATAAATAGTGAAAAATATATGGAATTGGTTACTGTGTTAAGTTCAAATAATTGATATATTTATAAAATACAAATTTAAATATAAAATAAATTATTTATTTTATTAGACTAAATCAATCAATTATATTAATATTTTATGAATTACTTGAGATCAAATTTAGTTTCTTAGGTTATATTTAATAATTTGTGTTTTTAAATTTAAATTTTTTCTTTTTGAAAATATAATTTTAATTTTATAAGGCATAATGTTAAATATACCATAAAAGTTTTCACTTTATTAAAAATATTATATTGATCTAATTTAAGATGAATTCATTATATTAATGGTATTCTTTGAATCAAAATATATATTGATTGATTGAAAATAACAATAAGACTAAAATTTTAGATTAATTAGAGTATTTATAATTATTGTCTAATTGACTTTAAAGTTTTCATACATAAAATAATAAGTAATTATAAGTATAATCATAAGTTTATTACAAATAATTACTTAACATTTACAAGATAGTTTAATTTCTTTTATAATTAATTGTAACCTTAGGGGTTCTATTGTATAGAAAGATTATGAGTAACAAATGACTCAAAGTAAATATGAAATAATGATTTACAAATTCGAATTTAGCTACATAAAAAAAAATAAATACTGAAAATGGATTTTTTTCAATTTGACTCTTAAAATTCTAAAGTTTACTCCCATAAAATACAACCATATGAGTGAGATAGAGCAAAATTTATGTAATCATANTTAATAAAAATCATAATTTTAAGAATTGTAATAAAATAGTTAAAAAGAATTGAATGATTTGAAATCAGAGTTAGTAGTGTGTTAATAGACAAGTTAAGCAGAAAAATTAAGACAAAGTAAGGAAATTGATGAATTGAATGGAAAAATACAAAAGTATGAAGATGATAACAAGATTCAAAATGAAAAAATTAAAAAGTATGAAGAAGATAACAAGATTAAAAATGAAAAAATAAAAGAGCTTGAAGAATAGAGTTTAAATAAAAATTAAGAATTACAAAAATTAAATTAAGAAAATTAAAAATTTAAAGACGATTTAAATTAAGCAATATAACCTTAAAACCAGGTGAACGCCTTAATTGAATTCTTTAAATAGAAGTAGAATATAGATGATTTTATGGAAATAAATAGTGAAAAATATATGGAATTGGTTACTGTGTTAAGTTCAAATAATTGATATATTTATAAAATACAAATTTAAATATAAAATAAATTATTTATTTTATTAGACTAAATCAATCAATTATATTAATATTTTATGAATTACTTGAGATCAAATTTAGTTTCTTAGGTTATATTTAATAATTTGTGTTTTTAAATTTAAATTTTTTCTTTTTGAAAATATAATTTTAATTTTATAAGGCATAATGTTAAATATACCATAAAAGTTTTCACTTTATTAAAAATATTATATTGATCTAATTTAAGATGAATTCATTATATTAATGGTATTCTTTGAATCAAAATATATATTGATTGATTGAAAATAACAATAAGACTAAAATTTTAGATTAATTAGAGTATTTATAATTATTGTCTAATTGACTTTAAAGTTTTCATACATAAAATAATAAGTAATTATAAGTATAATCATAAGTTTATTACAAATAATTACTTAACATTTACAAGATAGTTTAATTTCTTTTATAATTAATTGTAACCTTAGGGGTTCTATTGTATAGAAAGATTATGAGTAACAAATGACTCAAAGTAAATATGAAATAATGATTTACAAATTCGAATTTAGCTACATAAAAAAAAATAAATACTGAAAATGGATTTTTTTCAATTTGACTCTTAAAATTCTAAAGTTTACTCCCATAAAATACAACCATATGAGTGAGATAGAGCAAAATTTATGTAATCATATTTATTGATTACATAAATAAAAGATTTATAAACTAAAAGGATCTTAAATTATAAAATATTGAATAAGTTAAACCAATTAAGTAGAACAATTTTTAAATCAATATAATGTTATTTTAGAAATTGTGGCAGATTTTTTGTAATAGATGATTATTTAAAATTAATTTCCAAAGTAAATATATTTAAACTTTCATATTTTAGTTACACAATTAAAGTAAAATATATGGAAGAATCATTTTAAAGTTAAAAAGGATTTATAATAATTCTCTATTCATAAACTTTTAAAATTAGAAAATTAAAATTTAATCTTTTAATTTGGCTTCATTCTAAACATTTTTGAAAATAGAAAGAGAGATTTCCATAAATAGATTATCATCAAAAATAAATTAGTTTATCAAAAGAATTTAATATATTTTATGTTTGATAAAATCATTTAATAATTCTTAATATTATTTTTTTGAAAATAATGTTTATCTTTTTAGATTCTTCAAGTTTTGGTGAAAATATATATTTTAAAGATGAAAGTTTAAATTTGTTATTAATAATTTTATTATATTTTTATGGTATGTTAAAAATTTTTAATTCTATAGATTATTCATATTTTAGGCAATTTAAATACTATTTTTTCAGATTGAGATTGAAATTCTTTTAAATTTTAAATGGTTTATGCTAGAGCTTCTGACAATTCATTAAAAGTATCAAATAAAGTTTCTTATTATCCTCTGTATTATACTTTCAATTTCATAATCTAAATTTTGAATCCATCTATCATTTCTATAAAACCATTGCAGGATGTAACTAATTCATTTTTCAATTCACCTATAAATTATTATATTAGATCATTAAGAGTTTTGATATTTTAAGGTATAACTATATAATTATCAACTGAGAATTAATTCTTGATTCCAGAAATTGTATCATTTATTTAATTATTAAGTGTCTAAATTTTTTATCTAAGGCTTTTAACTATATTTTCATCCTTCTAAGTTTATTTTTTTTTATCTAAAATTAGATTTTCGAATTCTTTTGGTATTTATCTATTTTAATTTGACATAATTAATTTATTGTTAATAGAGGTATTAGACTGCCTTGGTTAAAATCCTAATGAATTTAGAGTTTATATTTATTAAAAATTTTAGTTATGAACTAATTTATCACTTGGTTTAATCTCCTAACAATTAAGATTTTAAAATAGTATTTCATAAATTTATTTTTATTGGTCTTAAAAATATTATTCTTACTTTTAAGTAATTTATTCAAGGGATATAATAAAATTTTCACTTATTTAAATAAATTTTTATTCTGCTTTCTTTTCTTAATCTATACTATACAATTTAAATTGCTCATCTTTTTATTCAATTTAATTAAGCAAGTTCTTTTCACTATGCTTAAGAATTGAAACTTAATTATTTAGATCTTCTACTTTTTTTATTAATTCTTTAATTTATTCATTTTTTTATTCAATAGTATGATGATCCTTTTCAGTTTATTTTATAATTAAATCTTAATGTATTTTTTTTAATTAATTTTCTAATTCTATACTTAGATCTGTTTAGATCTGAATTTTTAAATCTTTAAATTCTTAAAATATATTATTTTATTTTGATTCTTATTCTTTTTAACTGCTCGTTTATAAATTGTAAATTTATGTTAATTATCCTTAAATAAAGGATATTTATTCTTAGTGTTATGAACTATAATCTTAGAATTTTCCAATTAATAAATTCAATTGATTTATATTATTTGGTGAAGGATTATTTAAAATTTATGGAAATTTACAATCTTCCTTATTGAGTTAAAATTTTTGAATGTGAAGATTCTGTAAAGATTGAGTTTGATTGTTATTTTAATTAAAGTTTGGATTAAAATTTTGTTTTTAAATTAAAGGAATTTTTTGATTTTGAATCTCTTTCAGAATCTTTATTACTTAATCAATTTTTATTCTCATTTAAGAATTAAGCTAAAGCATTTACTTTAAAATGTTTTTGATTCTCTCATCTGAATTAAGTGAGTTAATTTTATCTATTATATCTTTTTAATCGGCTATACAGTTCTGGATAAGTTATTTAACAACCGTTTAATTTTTTCCTTCCTTAATTTAAAATAAATACCTTAAAATAATTGATTTTAACAGAAAATTTCATAAAATACACAACCAAGTGACCAAATATCAACTGCTTCAGTATAGTTAGATTAATTTTGAAATATCTCTGGTGATTAATATTGAATAGTTCCTATCTAGATTGTCTTTTCATTATTAGTATTAAATCTAGCTGTACCAAAATCAATAAGTTTGAATTCCTCTCCAATTTAAATGAAGTTTTCTGGTTTAATATCTCTATGAATTGATTTTAACTCTTGATGAAAAAAAAGAATGGATTGAGACAACTAATTTATTTATTAATAATAAAATACCTAAATCATTATTTCTAATTATTTGTCAAATGATAATTTCTATTTCTTTAAAAAATAGTCAAGATTATCTTATCCAACTTCCATCACAAGAACTTATTATGAATTGTGATTAAAAATATCATAAATTTTTACTAATTAAGAGGGTTATTTATTTGAATTTTAAATTTCATATTTCTCTTAATAATTAACAATCTTTTGAATAATCTATTGTTAATAATCATTGTATTTCTGCTAATTCTTTATTGCAACATAATTTGGAATTTCTTTTTTCCATTAAAATACTTCTGCTTTGTAAATAGTACCTTGACCTCCAAAACCAATCTCACTAATAATCTTAAATTATCTATTTGAAAACCCAGTAGCTGGAGCATGAATGACTGAATTTATAGTAAACTATTAATTCATTTACATAAAATAATAATACTTTTTGTTATAGAATATCAATTTTTATTTATACCTTTTTTGTTAAATATAAAATTAAAATAAGATTGTATATCATTATTTTTGAAGAAAATTCGATATATCTATGGTTAATTTAATAAAAATGCACAACTAAATAATTATCTTAATATTTCAAAGATAATTTAATACATAAAAAAATACTTTTCTATCAGACACATATACTTTATTAGAAAATAAGGTTCTAGTTAAAGAAAATGAATAATAATAAATTTATTTTAATTATAATGATAAGATCTCTGTTTCTATTGTTAACCTAATAATCATTATGAAAATACTTAAAATTGTATTAAAAAAAAAACAATATAAATAGTAATATTTTAAGAGTAATAAATTTACTATTAAAAATAAAATTTCAATAAAATAATGTTAAATACAAGCTCAATTAATTTAGGAGACACAAGCAAAATTTATAAGTAAAGCAATCAACTTGGAATTTTATCTACAGCTATAAGTAAAATAGGGAATGCTGATCACTCTTTTCATAAAGGAGTAAAGGCAGCAAATACTACTAATGTATCCCCTGTAAGAATGCGGTTGTTCAGAGAATCACCAGAAAGAAAATAAAGAGGTCTTGATGGTTTAGTTGTTGGAGAATTTTAGTAAATAGTATAATAATAATTTTAGTCCTCGTAAACAAACATAAGTTGTGTATAGTAGCATTCATTAGAGTTCATCTCCAATGATTCATAAACCTCAATAAAAATAATCATTTTAAGATTCACCTACAAGAGCTAAATAGAAAATAGATAGATTTAAGAATTGGGACTCTAAATTGGATATTGAATTGTAATTATAAAATACTGGGATTACAAGAATGGGAAATGATATAATCTATTAATCTGGTCCATAACTTAATTATAATAAATCAATCTAATTTAATGAGAGACTAAATCGAAACTCTCCTTCAATTTCATAATCAGATATAGTATAATTAACAGCTAAATTGAATGCAATTCCAAGAACTGAATTAACTAATTTTACTAGAGGGTATAATATTATAATTATATGTGTAGTCATGCTCATGAATTATCCACACTTTAATAATCATTGCAAAGGATACTGAAATCAAGCAAAGCCTATTGAATATGTCTGATAATTTTTATATTAATAAATTTATTGCTTAATGATCACATATTTATAATTTTTATTATATGATAAGATTGAACAATACTTCCATAAATTTTTGTGTTTTAATAATAGAATGATAAAATTGAAATTTCTAAAGATTTTTTTTAATTGTAATTTTTTTTGTAAAATTAACAATTAAATAAATATCTAATAGAAACAAGACTTTATTATAATATAAGATGTTTATTTAATGTATTAATTTAAGACTCTAACTATCATTACCTTTTAGAGTTCTTTCTGATTGATTGGAAATAGGGATGCAACATTGCTTCCTTGGCTGTAATTCTTAAATTCTAGAATAATATAAATAATTTTATTACATGATCATAGATAAGCATGCTCTATAATAATTCAATTGCATCAGCTTTTGCCAAATGTTCATTATCTTCATTCACAAACTTATTAAATGGTTTTTTAGGATGTTATCCTAGTACATTCTCAAAGTTTGGACCCAATTAAATATTATATTTCTATAGATAATTCATCAAATCATCTGTTCCTAATACTCTTGCTATTTTATCTAATTGATCATTATTATCTTATCCATGAAAGAATGGCTCTTATTAAAAGATGATTCCAGCAAATAAACACCCCAAACTCCAAATATCTAAACTATAATCATAATATTAATAATCTAAAAGAAGTTCAGGAGATTTAAAATATCGAGATGCCACTCTACAATTATAATTTTTATTAGGGAAATAGAATTCTGCCAATCCAAAGTCAATCAATTTTAATAACTTCTTTTCATGATCAATCATTATATTATGAGGTTTGATATCTCTATGCATTATACCCATACTATGACAATGATCTAAAGACTATATATATAAATGTAAATTTAAAATACTTTCAAAATTTCATACATATAAAAGCGAACATCTTGATCCTACAATTAAGGGTATAAAACTCTATAATCTGTGTTATTAATGAATTCCAAAATCAAACTTGTAGTTTTAGAAGCGGGATCAAATACAACATCAAGTAATTTCAATACATTGTTTTACCCATTCAAATTTTGTAATATTTTGATTTCTCTCTTTATCTTTTTCTATCTTACTATTGTCTATTAAATATTTAATACTTGGTTTCAAAGCCTTGATAACAACCTTTTGAAGTGTATTTACATTGATTCCTTCAAAAACTTCTGCATATTTTCCTCTTCCAATTTTTCTTACAATTTCATAATTGTCAAGTTGTCTATACAATAAACATTTTACATACCCATAATGAATATCTATGTTTTCAAATTCAAAGTATGATGGTCTCTTTTTTAAATTTGCATCTCCATAAAGTCGTGGCTTAATGTTCATTGTTGGTATTTTGATAAAATTTCAAATTAATAATATAGTTTTTCACATTCGATTTCGTTAATATATACAAATGTAATCTAGATTAATATATAATTTTCTTACTCAAATAATTTCGGATAATGTCTATAATGAATAATCTAATTCATTTATTCTATAATAGTTTAAATTTATAATATCTTGAAATCTATTTTCAGATTCTAAAATTATTTATCTACAAAATATGTAAGAAGAATATTGAATTATTTAAAAATTATCTAAGATTTTCAAAATATAAGACTATTTAAGTTATAAATTAAGCATCTATCATATAAGAATTTTCAACTATAATTTTGAGAATTAGTATGCTTTGAAAAAATATTAACTTTAATTATTTTTGTATTAAATATGAGGTATAATCAATAATATTTACTCTATATAAAATTAGAAGACTTCTTAATAGGTATTATTTATGGAGAATTTTATCTTGATTATTATGAAAAAATACTACAATGATATCATTTTAATTTATAATACATTAATAAGTAATATATTTTAAATGAAATAAGAACAGATAAAAAATAAATGAAATAGTTTTAAATATATATAAAGGTTTGATGTATAGTCTAAAGAATTAAATAATAATATGGATGAGAATTTTTGTTATTTTAATGAGTTAATTCGATCCGTTTTTAATTCAATATTAAATTACATGTAAAAATTAGCCATCTTGGCATTAGTTCTTGCTATCACAACTGCTAAGTTTGTTGATACTCACACTAGTTTAGCTTAAATTAATGCTGATCCTTTTGGACATGTCATATTGTCTGCTATCAAGGCTCATCTTCTTGCTTAGACTCCAGCCAATGAGGTAAACATGTTATTAAATGGTGTTGGTGCTGGTATTGTACAAGACTAAAATGATCATGATCATGCATTTGAACTTGACACAACCACAAACAATAGAGTAATGATTTGTGTAAATTCAGATTGTTGAAGATTTAGAAAAAGAGATTTTATATCATTAAAATCAAATTTCTTCAAATACCTAATTGAGAGTTGATACCATAGAAGCATTGGCAGTCTCAGAAGAAGATATTAGAGTTACAATCTAAGATATTGCTAACAATGAGGCCACATATGCTAGAGAAGAAGCCACAAGAAATTAATAACATGAAACTTTTGTTGCTAAAGTAGCTGCTATTGATGATGTTATTGATGCTATTGATGAAGCTGCCAAATTGATCTAACATTTGAGTCTTGGAGCCTCATTTGCCTAATTAAAGACCAAATACGACACCCTTCACAAAAAGCTTTCAGATAACACTAGTCACAGTGCTTTATTACAAGTAATTTAAAAAATGAATAAATCAATAGCCAGTCATCACAGCTCTTACAGAACTTACTACTCATGGAGTTAACCAAAAGGCATTGACAAAAATTGCTTAACTTTTGAGTGAAATTAGACAATAATTAGTTAGCGAGAAGGCTACAAAAACTGTATAGATTATTTTTAATCACAAGGATGTTGAAGATAGATAGGCTGCTCATTGGGCTGAATTTTCTGTCCATTTAGCTAATGAGCATACTAGATTGGTTGAAAGAAAAGCTTAATTGGAAGTCTAAATCTAAGAATAGAAAGACACTATTGAAGATGCTCAATCATGGATTGAATTCCACACTTTAGAATTAGAAAACAGTGAAGAAAGACTTGCTGGATAACAAGCATGGTATGCTGTTTAATCCTAAATCTATGAAACTTAAACTGCTGAAAGGTTAGTTACATTCTTATTCATAGACAAGCCCAATAAGATATTGTTGACAGACTCTAAGAACACATTAGTGAAAAATTGTCAACTACAGCACAATTTATTGCAAGCAGAAACTGATTTCATTAAGCAATATTAATAATTATCATTAACATCCTTTATAATTTATAGTTAAATTTCTTAAATTTTACTAAAACATCTTATTTTTGATAAGTTCTCCCATTTATAAGGCTTAATAATTAATTAATTAATATTTAGATAAGTTTTTTTGTGCTAAGTTTTATTATTGTAAAAATAAATCTGTAAAATTGACTTTATTAAGAACAGATCTAAAAAAATAGATAATCACTATCAAATTTAATTTTAGTCAATTTTAACTAATTATGTAACTTAAATCATTTTAGGAATAAGGCATTCTTAATCTTTGACTAAAGCTAAAATATTTCTAATTTACCCTAAAAATAATATCTTTATGAAAATACTCATATCTTAAAAATTATTGATCTAAATTATTTCTAACATCATCTTTGAAACTACAATTAATATTATCTCTTAACTCCTCTGCTTATCTAATTAATTCAATTCTTAAATTCCATTAAAATTAATTTTTACTGAATTATTGTTCATTAACTAACAACAATACAATATTGCTTATTTTATAAAATACAATATATTTTCGGTTATTAACTAGTAATTCTTTTGATATCTTTAAGAACAATTAATTCCCATTTCGTAACTAAGCCACTCAAGAATTATATCTAATTAGATTCATAATTTATCCTATATATAGCCAAAATTAAATTTATAATTAGGAATAGTATTAGATATAAGTTTATTTAAATTATTATAAATAATCCAATTATTTTTTCTAATTATATTCTCAACAGCAATTCTAAAAATCTTAGAAAATGGTTATTAAATATTTATTTAAGAATATTAGTAACTAAAAATCTTAAATGAAAATTAACTAAGGACAAAATAATATTCTCTTGCCGAAAGCAATGATGAAAAAGTATAATATAGAGTAAATCTAAATACATTTTAAAATTAATTAGAAATGTTCACCACTACCAATCAATATCTGGAATATCTTTATTTATTTTATACAATTATAATAGAGAAAAGCCATCAATTCTGCTGTTTATAAATTATGATTAAAAAAGCAGAAACACTAATTAGTCTATTGTTCATTAAATTTAAAATTTTGTAAAACATAAATCCAAAAATTATTCCAAATTTTAATAATTGATTTTTTAATTATTATATTAAAACAAAAATTGAGTAATTTATTAAATAGCTTAGAACCAGATTTTTAAAAGACCTTTATTAAGATAAATAAATGTTAAATGATTAAAGAAAAGATCAAAAAATATAAAATTTGAATTTAACGAAATTATTTTATAATATTATTACTAAATGAAATTTAATTGTATCAGAAATAATAGATTAAAACTTTACAAAAAATCTAAATGGTTTTCTATTTTTTAAAATTATTTTCTTTGCACTCTTGTGATTTGATTAATAAATTTAATCAAAAATATTTTTACCAGATCAACACATAATTAGATCAATATTTTATATTTTATGAATTTAGATTATGTAAAAGTAAATAAGAATAATCTGCAATTATTTTTAGTTGTAAATAGAATAAGTAACTACTTTCAAAAATATTTTACATGATAATATTATCAATTAAATTGACTCTAATTGTAATTTCAAGTGTGGTATTCAGAGATCTTAACAAAAAATAATATTCTGTGAATTTAAGCAAAAAGAACAAACAATGATATTTGTTAAGAAAATAAATCTAATTAGTTTATAAATATATCAATTATTTTAACTTAACAGACTACCCAATTCCATATATTTTTCACTATTGTTTTCTATAAAACCATCTAAATTCTACTTCTATTTAAAGAATTCAATTAAGGCGTTCATTTGGTTTTAAGATTATATTGCTTAATTTAGATTGTCTTTAAATTGTTAATTTTCTTAATTTAATTTTTGTAATTCTTAATTTTTATTTAAACTCTATTCTTCAAGCTCTTTTATTTTTTCATTTAGGATCTTGATCTCTTCTTCATACTTTTTAATTTTTTCATTTTGAATCTTGTTATCTTCTTCATGCTTTTTTATTTTTTCATTCAATTCATTAATTTCCTTACTTTGTCTTAATTTTTCTGCTTAACTTGCCTTTTAACACATTTCTAAATCTTATTTCAAATCATTCAATTCTTTTTAACTATTTTATTACAATTCTTAAATTTATTATTTTTATTAATCAAGACTTTCATTTAATTATTCTAATTATTTTTTTAAATCTTGATTACTATTTTCAATTTCTCTATTTAAATGAATTTATTCTTCTTTTTCTTTTTAAAAGACTTATGTTATATTTTCTATTTGTTTCTTTAAATCTACAATTTCGATATTTAATTATTCTTTTTCTATTGAAGAAACCTATGTGATATTTTTTAATTAATTATTTTAATCTTCAATTTCATTATTTAAATTAATAATTTGACTTGAGTGTTATTCTTTAATTAAATTTAACTAATCTTTATTTCTATTTTCTTAAACAAATAAAACATCATTAATTTATTTCTATAATTCAGTTCTTAAATTTTCAAAGAGATTCTTTTAGTCTTGTGTTGATAATATATTTAAACAAGGATTGTCTACAGAAGATTCATTAATTTATATTTCATTTATTTAATTGTTGCATACTTAATTATTTGATAATTAATCACTTTATTATTTTTAAAATTTTGGTAATTCTTAATCTTAATTTTATTATTGAGAACTTAATTAATTATTTATATTTTGTTCATTAATCATGACTTAATTTATTAATTTATCTTTTAAATCTTAGACCAATATTATTGTGTATTATTTGAATAATTGCATAGCTAATTGTTTTTCTTACATATATTATTTGATTTAGTTATCTTTTTAATCAAGTAATAATCTCAAGCTATCATTTTATTTATTAACTTCATTTTAGATATTTTAAGTATCATTATTTTAAATAAGGTTGTTAGCTTCTTCTTAATTAATAATTTTATTTTGATTAGTTTGATTATAGATTTGGTTATTAATATGTGATTATTATTATCCTTAATTATTGTTTTTATTTAGAATAGTTTAATTTTAGCCTTGGTTATTAACTTATTATTATTTTTCTTAATCAAAGTCTTCACTTTTATTAGTTACAATATATAATTTATTCTAAATGTCAATTATCTATTTACCTTACTCATCAATTCTNACATTTCTAAATCTTATTTCAAATCATTCAATTCTTTTTAACTATTTTATTACAATTCTTAAATTTATTATTTTTATTAATCAAGACTTTCATTTAATTATTCTAATTATTTTTTTAAATCTTGATTACTATTTTCAATTTCTCTATTTAAATGAATTTATTCTTCTTTTTCTTTTTAAAAGACTTATGTTATATTTTCTATTTGTTTCTTTAAATCTACAATTTCGATATTTAATTATTCTTTTTCTATTGAAGAAACCTATGTGATATTTTTTAATTAATTATTTTAATCTTCAATTTCATTATTTAAATTAATAATTTGACTTGAGTGTTATTCTTTAATTAAATTTAACTAATCTTTATTTCTATTTTCTTAAACAAATAAAACATCATTAATTTATTTCTATAATTCAGTTCTTAAATTTTCAAAGAGATTCTTTTAGTCTTGTGTTGATAATATATTTAAACAAGGATTGTCTACAGAAGATTCATTAATTTATATTTCATTTATTTAATTGTTGCATACTTAATTATTTGATAATTAATCACTTTATTATTTTTAAAATTTTGGTAATTCTTAATCTTAATTTTATTATTGAGAACTTAATTAATTATTTATATTTTGTTCATTAATCATGACTTAATTTATTAATTTATCTTTTAAATCTTAGACCAATATTATTGTGTATTATTTGAATAATTGCATAGCTAATTGTTTTTCTTACATATATTATTTGATTTAGTTATCTTTTTAATCAAGTAATAATCTCAAGCTATCATTTTATTTATTAACTTCATTTTAGATATTTTAAGTATCATTATTTTAAATAAGGTTGTTAGCTTCTTCTTAATTAATAATTTTATTTTGATTAGTTTGATTATAGATTTGGTTATTAATATGTGATTATTATTATCCTTAATTATTGTTTTTATTTAGAATAGTTTAATTTTAGCCTTGGTTATTAACTTATTATTATTTTTCTTAATCAAAGTCTTCACTTTTATTAGTTACAATATATAATTTATTCTAAATGTCAATTATCTATTTACCTTACTCATCAATTCTATTTTAATTAGATAAATTTGACTAAGTTAGCTTCTCCAATGAATTTTATAGTTTTTCCTATTAAATTTTAATTTCATTTTTTGTTTTAATAATTTCTTCACATTAAACAGTAATATTTTATATTTCTTATTTTTTTTTTGAATAATCTTATTCAATATTCGCATATTGATTATTTATTTCAAATTATTTATCCTTTTAGCTTCTTAATTCTATCTATATTTCATTGAATTTTATAGTCAATTATTAATTTTATTCTTAAATATTTTTGTCTAAGAATTCTTAAAGTTTAACTTCTTATTCTTTAAACAACTTATAATTTTCTTGAATTATTTATTAAGTTTTTTATTGGCTTTATTATACTATATTCTACAATTAGTGTTATTATTCTTATATTTATTTTAATTATTACTATACTATCATTATTTCTGACTGGGATTATTAGAATTTCTCATCTTAATTATATATTTCATTATTAGACTTTTGCTATTATATTGATTATACTTAAGATTCAATTTCTTTTAATTTATCTTAATTATATTGATTTCTTTTATTCTAGTTTTCATATTCCTCTTATTGTTTTTTATTCATAACATCAGTTATATCTGATATTTTCTAATTTAACTAATTAATTTACTATTCTCTTTAGATTAATTAATTTTAAGTGTCCTTAAGTTTTGATTCTACCATGCTATCAACAATTTTTTATATCTAAATTAATTAGTATTAATTAAATTCTTCTAATTTAATCTAGTCAACCTTTGGTTATTATTAATTTTAATTAAGTTCTTTATTTTGGATAATTTAATTTTATTATTCAGAACTATTATTTTCAGATTTATTAGCAGAATTTGTATTTTGAGTCTTAATTTATTGTTGTTAATTATTTTCTTATTGTTATAATGGTTATGGAATATCTGGTTTGGGTATAATTTATGGAATTACTTTAGGTTATGGATTTAAGTAACTTTTGAATTCATCATAAACTTATTATATTGATGGCCTTTTCTTTTCATCATAAATTAGCATTGAAGTTAAAATGGTTTTAAATTATTATGAAATTTATAATTAATTGATTTTATTATTAACAGGAACTGGGTAGGTTTTATGATTTTTAATATTTTTAGTTACTTCTTAATGAGTTTATCCTAAGATTATAAATTTATTTATACCATCAAACAAAGGTTAAGTTTATAATATTTCATAAAAAACACATCCTAATGACCAGATATCAACTTTATCTGTATAATCACTTCTATTTTCTAGAATTTCTGGTGCTTGAAATATTGTACTACCAACTTATAAAGTTTTAACATCAGATAACGAACTCCTAATTAAACCAAAGTCAATAAGTTTAAAAACATTTCCTACTTTAATATAATTTTCTGGTTTAATATCTCGATGGATTAACTTCTATTAATGTAGAAATAGAATTGGGTAAATAATCTATAATTATATTTATTAAAATATTTACCTAAAAACAAATTTGTACTTTTTCTTATATTGATACATTCCTACTGTTATTTATGAAACGATATAAATCTTCTTGTCCAACTTCCATAACAATGCAATGATTCTTTTACCATTAAAAATATTCATATATTCTGATTAAATAAGTAGGAAGATATTATTAATTATTTCCATTTTCATATAAATTTTGGTACTCTATTAAAGAACTAAGAAATTATTTTTCATTAGGTTTCATGTTTTTTTGTATTTTAATTACTACTTATTAAGGATTATTGCTCCAATCAGAGGCGGAAGCAAGAAAGGCTCCTCCTTCCGCACCAGAACCAAGAAGTTTAGTTAAAAGAAATCTCCTTTTTGGATATTCTTTTGTAAAAGCATCCAAAAGTGTATTGACCAATTTGTTATACTGCATTTTCCTATTTCTATTAAAATATTAAATAAGCAAAGGATAGTAATTAAATTAATTTTATTGTTAGTGAAACTCTTAAATGTGAAGTATTTTTATTATAAATAAATAACTTTTTGATGTTAGTCTTATTGATTAACTTATATTCAATATATAAAAATATATTCAAACTTTAATAAAATTAGAAATTCTTAATATTACAAGATAATAAATCTACACTTAAGATACTTCCTATAGATTATAATAATTATAAATGAATTTCTAATGAAAATTATGATCTAAAATGATTTATNTTAATATTTTTAGTTACTTCTTAATGAGTTTATCCTAAGATTATAAATTTATTTATACCATCAAACAAAGGTTAAGTTTATAATATTTCATAAAAAACACATCCTAATGACCAGATATCAACTTTATCTGTATAATCACTTCTATTTTCTAGAATTTCTGGTGCTTGAAATATTGTACTACCAACTTATAAAGTTTTAACATCAGATAACGAACTCCTAATTAAACCAAAGTCAATAAGTTTAAAAACATTTCCTACTTTAATATAATTTTCTGGTTTAATATCTCGATGGATTAACTTCTATTAATGTAGAAATAGAATTGGGTAAATAATCTATAATTATATTTATTAAAATATTTACCTAAAAACAAATTTGTACTTTTTCTTATATTGATACATTCCTACTGTTATTTATGAAACGATATAAATCTTCTTGTCCAACTTCCATAACAATGCAATGATTCTTTTACCATTAAAAATATTCATATATTCTGATTAAATAAGTAGGAAGATATTATTAATTATTTCCATTTTCATATAAATTTTGGTACTCTATTAAAGAACTAAGAAATTATTTTTCATTAGGTTTCATGTTTTTTTGTATTTTAATTACTACTTATTAAGGATTATTGCTCCAATCAGAGGCGGAAGCAAGAAAGGCTCCTCCTTCCGCACCAGAACCAAGAAGTTTAGTTAAAAGAAATCTCCTTTTTGGATATTCTTTTGTAAAAGCATCCAAAAGTGTATTGACCAATTTGTTATACTGCATTTTCCTATTTCTATTAAAATATTAAATAAGCAAAGGATAGTAATTAAATTAATTTTATTGTTAGTGAAACTCTTAAATGTGAAGTATTTTTATTATAAATAAATAACTTTTTGATGTTAGTCTTATTGATTAACTTATATTCAATATATAAAAATATATTCAAACTTTAATAAAATTAGAAATTCTTAATATTACAAGATAATAAATCTACACTTAAGATACTTCCTATAGATTATAATAATTATAAATGAATTTCTAATGAAAATTATGATCTAAAATGATTTATTATATTATATATTTTAATTAAATTTGGCAAACTTCATTAATTTTATTCTTATATATCTTTAAACCATATCAATTTTTATATATACCTAATGTCTTGAAGTTAATCAATCACAAATTAAAAAAGCTCAAGACAATTCTATATTATCTCTTTTATTTTCATGAGTTTTAAGTCTTTAAATTTGTAAAATATAGTTAAATTAATGCTTAAAATAAATTTATCGACTCTTACAGAATTCATATTAGTATTAAACTAAAACTTTTATCAAAGTGATATTTATTTAAAATTATTTAATATAATATTATATATATATTTATTTAATAGAAAATGTAAAGTAATAGTATTATTGATGCACCAATCTAAAATTTTCCAAATAGGAAATTTGAAAGAATAAAAGTACTTGGATAAGGTGGAGAAGGGACTGTATATTTATGCAAATCAAAAAATTGGGGAATCAATGATTAAAAATAATTTGCATTAAAATTTCAATATTAATCTAAGGGTGATGAAATTTAATTTATTGATAATCTTATAGCATATTAAAATCAATATGAGAATTTAATTAATTAAGGAAAATCAAATTATTAATCATCTGGTTTAATTAGAATTTATGAGAGATTTTAATTAAATAACTAAGATTTTATAATTATGGAAGCAGGAGAAATAGATTTATATGATTATATAAAATAATAATAGAATTTATCATTTGATTAGAAAATAAAGATTTTAATTTAAGTATAATAATAATAATAAATATTAATAGATAACTTAATCAATATAATATTTACATTAAAATAATTTAATTCATAGAGATATTAAACCTGAAAACTTTATTAAAGTTGCAGATTAATTTAAACTTATTGATTTTGGATTAACAAAATAGAATTCATTCATTTTCAAAACTACTGGAGTAGGAACTCTACTCTTTTAGGCACCAGAAGTTCTTGAAAATAAAGCTAATTATGATTTTTCTATTGATATTTGGTCTCTAGCATGTGTTTTTTACGAAATTCTTTCAGGTCAAGCTTTATTTAATGGTATTAATTAAATTTAAATAGGTGAAAATTAAAATTAAGTAGTTTAGATGATTTTAGGGTGCAAATTAAATTCAAATTTTTTAAATGAAAGATTAAATAAAGGAAACATAGATGATACATTAAAAGATCTTCTAAAGTAAATGTTAAAATATAATTCTGCAGAAAGGATTAAATTATAGAAAGTTTTGTCTATACTGGTAGATTATAGTAACTCTAAAAGTAACAATTAATAACAATAATTTAATATATAGTCAAAATTCCCTATTTAATAAGACAATAAAATTTTAACCCCTTAAAATTTTTAATAGTTTGGAAACTCAAATTTGTAATAAAATATAATTACTTAATAAATTTAATAACTACAAGAACAAATTACAGATTTTAATTGTTAACAAACAAAAAATTAAAAAAATATTGAAAATTTATTAATGTAACTTGTGAATTAAAAAGATTAAATCCAAGATAAAATACAAAACTTAGAGCATAAAATAGATGATTTCACATCTTAAATAAAGAAAAAAGAAAGCGGGGATTAGGATTAATACAACTCATTATAAATATAAATTTAAAATTATGAAAATTAATTAAAAGTAAAGATAAATTTAGAACAAGAAAATTTTATTTTAATTAAAGATTAATAAAATAAAATATTAAATTTGGAATTAATTTTATCAGAAATTGAAAAAAAACATGATATGAAAATTATTCAGTATAAGAATAAAGTAAGTGAACTAGAGGCAAAGTTGTAAGAATAGATTAGTAAAGATGAATAACTAATCAGTGTTTAAACAAAAAATTAAGCATTAAAATAAGATGAAGGATAAGATTAAGAATACTAGATTTTGAATTCTATAAAGGATAATTCTTTTTAGTAAACTTTTGAATAATAAGATAACACTTCCTAATTAGAACATTAATAAAATGGGGTTGAGTTAAAATTGAATGGTGAATAAAAAGAATGTTAATTATAAAATAATTAGGATGTTAATAAAAATTAATTTGAGTAAATAAAATAGTAAATTTAGGATATTTTGAGTAAAATGTAAGTCATAGATTCAGATAAAATGAGATAACAAAATAAAAAAAATTTGAATAAATATTAAGGAATAATTGCTGATTAGATGGAAGATCTCAAAAATAAACTCTTTAAAACCATATTATAAATAATAAATACATACGGAAAGGGTAAAAATCAGCTTAATGATTTAAAGGCATTATTTTTTGATAAAAAAAAGATAAATTTTCCTAAATTGAATGAGATTATTTAACAAATTTATTAAGAAATTCAAACTTAGTAATCAAAATAAAATCAGTAGAATTTAAATTAAATAACTGAGATAAAATAAGAAACTAAGATTAAATAAGAACCTGCTAAACAATAAAATTAAAATTTAACTAAAAGAAAAAAATGAAGTAAAATAAATGAAAAATAAACATTTATTTATTAAAAATATTTTTATAGTATTATTCAATTCTTCTTGATCTTTAATTTTCATAATAATGAAATATTAAAGACCAAGTAATTTTTATAACAATTTTAGATATCAAACTAACAAATAAAGTTTATATTTAAGATTTTATAAATTTTAATTATTAGTCTAATAATTACTATTTCTAATTTTTCTTGACTTAAGCTTTTAAGAAATATAATTAATAAATATATTATGTATATGGAAAAATAAATTGTAATTTTAATTTACAATTTTATTTTTTAAGTGTCATAATATTTTTGTTGTAAATAAATTCTGAGCTCTACAAATTTCATATACTAATCAAAAAAAAACTGAGAAGGCATTTTAAAATGACTGAATGTCCATTATTAATCCCATTTAAATTTTTTCAAGTTATTTAAACCTATCTAGATATCTTTTAAATGGAATATAATTAATTTTTAAATTAATGCTTACTTAGCAACTTTTCTTTATCACTTTAATGATAGAATTTACTTCTAATTTCACTATTATTATAGGAATAAAGGTGGCTTAAAGAATTGGATTTTTTTCCTTTTGATATTTGGGGTTTGTTAGGAATATAGCTTTTTTTCTTTAATTAACTAATTTAAAGTTAAGAGCCTTGTAATAATAAATAACATTTAATTGTTTGTAGGAACTAATTTCTTAATGAACCTTGATAATTTTTATTTGATGCCAGCTCAAGAGTTCTTGATAATTAATAAGCATTTTTTATATTTAAACCAAATTTTTTCATTTTCATGTCAAATCATTAGTTCATAGCTTATGCTTGAGATTTTTGCAATTTTTACATTAATTTCTATTTAAGTATCTGAATGAAGATTAAGATTTTTGAATATAAAATATTGATGGAATGCAGATTCATTTCTTCTGGGAAGCACAAAATTATTTATAAATAAATAAAGATATAAAAATATTGACTATGCATTTCTAGCTTAGAGAAAAACTAGGTTCCATTATTACTTTTAGAACTAATAAAAAGGAGCATCAAACAAATTATGAGTTTGCTAAATATTATTCTCAATTTTTTAATTGTTACTTAAATATAGGGCATCTTGAATTTGCTATTACTATGGTTGTGTCAATTAATTAATCTTGTGTTTATATGTTCTAATTTTTATTCAATTTTTTCTGATTTTACTTTGACATAGTCATTTTTCGATCTTATACTTATTGTGGTGTTCTCTTGAAAAATTTTAGTGATATCTTCCCCTCTAAAGTAGCATCATAATTCTCTAGTAAGCTTTTATTTGTTATTTAATTTACTTGAGATCTTCTTTCGCCAAACTTATAACTCTATCAGAATCCTAAACTGATTTAAATATGCAATTATTTCATTCAAAGTGAATAAATCGTTTGTTAACCATTTTTAATACCCAATATAAATTTGATTAGTTTCAATTCTATAACATTTAAGATGTGCTCACAAGTAATCACTGATGATGCTAGATTTCCCATGTAATAATATCTCAAAATTAATGCTGAACGTAGCTGTTTGATTGATTCAAGTAGTTGCTTAGCTTATTGAAGTGACACAACCTAAAAATAGGAAATAAATTTTATTTATTATGTTTTGAGGAATTCTGTTTTTATAATAAAAAAAGGAGGAAAGATTTTTCTGAACAAAACTCTTTGAACATACTTTTCAAATTTGGATGACCCATAGGTCTTGGTTAATCCTGCTAATAAAAGTAATAGCCACCCTATATTAATTAAATTTTTACTAATTATATATATTCTAAACCATTAAGAGATAAAATATAATACTTTGAATAAATCTCATGGGTATGTAACATTAGATAGAATCATATGGGTTGAAAATACATTTTATCAAATCAAATTTAGATATACCTTCTAGAATATCCGATACAATTTGTAACTATATTTCATAGATAACATTAATCAAAAATAGAGGATTCATAAAATTTTTTAGGTAAGTTTATTATGGAAATACAGAATATTCTATTTCTCTTTTTTATGGCTTTGGAGTAAGGTGAAACAGGTTTTTTCCAATTTTCATTTTAATATTACTTCTAAGTAGCATAAACTTAAGAAAAATGATGGGTATTAACAATTTAAAAAGACTTATCTACATAATCGTATCGTGTAAATTTTAATTCATTTCTAAACTAAAATAAAAAAATTAATGAAAAATATTTATAATATCTTTTTAATTTAATATTTTTAAACCTTCAATCGACAGTAAGCACTAATCCCTTAATTATTGATTTCTCATATTTGTAGATGGTATAATATTACTAAAATTGTTAGGTTCTTTTCCTCCTTTTATAGCAAAGACGATAAAACTGATTGATATTACTTCTTTTTATTTCTTAAATAGTGGAACTTTTTTTAAGATTAATAAATTAAGAGCAACCATTATTATTCTAAAAAATCTAAATAACTTAAACTCCTTGCAGATCTTCTAGAAATTTTAGTGTTGATATATGATTTAAGTAATTTTGATATACTATTAAAAAATACAAAATTTGATTTTTTAAAATAAATAAAATCTTTTAGATAATTTTAATTACGTATAAAAAAAATTTTTTACATGATAGTCATATGTGATATAACAAGTGTTACAGATTTAGAATAGTAGATCTAAATTGATTAAGCTTTTTCTCAAAATAACTAAAATTTAATCTGTAAATTAACCCTTAATTAAATTGAATTGATGTTTAACCAAATACATTTATAAAAAACCATTAAAATTTCCATTTTTTATTTAAATGAATACACTCTATAATTAAAATAAAGTTAATTATGTTCCAAGGTTAGAGTTGTTCCATTAAACAATTTTTTTCTATACAGAATAGGATTAATTTTGACCTATTACTATTTTTAGTCTTTCATTTAAATTACTAGAATTAAGATTTATATCAGAATTGAAAAATTTGAAAAGAGAAATAGTATACATTATTAGGCTCTTTATAGATTATTAAAGCAGGAAACAATTTTAAAGTTATAGACTGTGGTTTAATTAATAGTTTGATATCTGAAAATAAAACAATAAAGGTTGAATTTCAATCTTTCAAGCACCAGAAAGCTATAAAGTATGATAATAGGCTTCAAATCAAGAATGATTTTTATAAGATTTTTTAGAGTAACTAATTGAGTATATTAAAGAGTTTACTTTTTTTGGTTCAACAAAAATTTCTTATTCAGTAGAATTTAATTAAAAATAATATTTAAATAGATTAATTTTACCCTTATTTTTTTTTATCGTAATTTATATAATCATGTATCAACTGGTTGGCTATATTATATATTATTAAAATTTACAGAAAATAACCTAACTAAAATATAACAACAAAATTATGTTAATACTTACAAAATTTAATTTTTATTTTAATATATAGATTGATTTTAAAAACTTAAGAGCTATTTAAATTTATTTAGAATTAGAAAGAAATTCCAAATCAAAAATTCTTGACTTTTCATAGATTAACTCAAACTCTTTTAGAAATCTCCCACAACGATAATAAATATAACTATTAGTTAGATTCTTAAATTTATTCATATATTTCCATTTTATAATCTACTCCTCACAATTATGATTTTGTTTGCTATTTAACTTACTCTTCGATACTTTTTCTAAATTAATAATAGTCACTACACAGCACAATGTAATTTTTTTCAACATGACTAAAAATTCATAGTTAATTGTATTAAAGACATTTCTTCCAAGCATACCTATATCTATCAAGATAACCTCTGTTGGAAAAGTATATATATAGGTTTAGGCAAAATTCAAAATTCTAACATAGTTCATTTTTTATTTTATACTCCCCTATTAAACTAACTCTTTTCAATAGAAACCTAATTCATTATCTAAAACATTATTTCCTTCTATTTATCGAAATCTCTACTTTCATTTAAAAAATGGTTAGATGGAATTAAACTTCCATTTTATAATATAATTATTTTAATTATGTAACTAAAATATGAAAGTATAAATATATTTACTTTGTAAAATTCATTTTAAAGAATCCTCTATTACAAAAAATCTTTCACAATTTCTAAAATTATATCATGTTAATTTGACTATTGTTCTACTTAATTGGTTTCACTTATTCAATATTTATAATTTAAGATCCTTTTAGTTTATATATATCTTTTATTTATTTAATAAATAAATATAATTAATTTTGCTCCATCCTGCTTATATGGTCATTTTTATGGGAGTGAACTTTAGAATTTTAAGAGTCAAATTGAACAAAATCCATTTTCAATATTTACGTTTTTTAGGTAGCTAAATTCGAATTTTGTAAATAATTTTTCCAGATTTAATTTGAGTCATAAATTACTCATAATCTTGCTATACAATAGAACCCCTAAGGTTACAATTAATTGCAAAGATATTAAACTATCTTGTAAATGTTAATTAATTATTTGTAATAAACTTATGATTATACTGATAATTATTTATTATTTTATGTATGAAAACTTTAAAGTCAATTAGACATTAATAATAAATAGCTTAGAAAATGAAAATTTTATTTTCAAAAAAAAAAAATACAATTTAAAAGCACAAATATTAAATATAACCTAAGAAATTAAATTTGATCTCAAGTATTTCATAAAATATTAATATAATTGATTGATTTAGTCTAATAAAATAAATAATTTATTTTATATTTAAATTTGTATTTTATAAATATATCAATTATTTTAACTTAACAGACTAACCAATTCCATATATTTTTCACTATTGTTTTCTATATAACCATCTAAATTCTAATTCTATTTAAAGAATTCAATTAAGGCGTTCACTTGGTTTTAAGGTTATATTGCTTAATTTAGATTGTCTTTAAATTGTTAATTTTCTTAATTTAATTTTTGTAATTCTTAATTTTTATTTAAATTCTATTCTTCAAGCTCTTTTATTTTTTCATTTAGGATCTTGATCTCTTCTTCATACTTTTTAATTTTTTCATTTTGAATCTTGTTATCTTCTTCATGCTTTTTTATTTTTTCATTTTGAATCTTGTTATCTTCTTCATACTTTTTAATTTTTTCATTTTGAATCTTGTTATCTTCTTCATACTTTTGTATTTTTCCATTCAATTCATCAATTTCCTTACTTTGTCTTAATTTTTCTGCTTAACTTGTCTATTAACACACTACTAACTCTGATTTCAAATCATTCAATTCTTTTTAACTATTTTATTACAATTCTTAAAATTATGATTTTTATTAATTAAGACTTTCATTTAATTATTCTACTTATCTTTTTAACTCTTGGTTACTATTTTCCATTTGACTATTTCTAAGATTTTATTATTCTTTTTCTTTTTCAGAGCTTTATTTTATATTTTCTATTTGATTCTTCAAATCTACAATTTCGATATTTAATTATTCTTTTTCTATTGAAGAAACCTATGTGATATTTTTTAATTAATTATTTTAATCTGCAATTTCATTATTTAAATTAATAATTTGACTTGAGTGTTATTCTTTAATTAAATTTAACTAATCTTTATTTCTATTTTCTTAAACTAATAAAACATCATTAATTTATTTCTATAATTCAGTTTTTAAATTTTCAATAAGATTCTTGTATTCCTATGTTGATTATATATTTAAACAAGGATTCTCACTTTTTTATTCTTAAGAATATGTTATTTCTTAAATGATTGATTATTAATCTTAAGTTTTAATTTAAATTTTTTAAACTTTTTCTTAATTTTAAAAGATGTCTGCCAAACTTTTAGCTTTATTTAGAGAAGTACTTGATTCTTTTAATTTATCTTAGATTTCTTAAATTAGTGTTTCATTATTTTAGTTTTTAATAAACAACTTTTATAATTCTTAATTTTTATTTTCATTCTCCTTTTTTAAATTTTCAGAAAATTAATTCATTTTATTTATTTTTTCCTTAAATTCTTTTATTTCTTTATTCAGTTAATTTTTTTCTGTATTGAATTTTACTTCTTCATCTTTGATTTTCTATTTGAATCGTTCTATCTCTAATTTAAAATTTTATTAATCTTATTCAAGTTGTTTCTTTTGTTGACTATTTTTCATAAAATAAAGTTTACTTTAAATTTTCTACTTATTTTATCAATTCAGTTATTTAACTATTCTATAAATCTATTTTATTTTAATTAATTTTATTTTAAGTTTGAAACTCATTTTTTAATTCATTTATTTTACTTTCATATAAACTCTTTTAATTTGTTAGGGTATCTTTAATCTATTACTATCCCTCCTTAATTAACTTCTCAAATACCTCATTGCATTAAGTAATATATTAATCTTAATGAAGTGGAATTTGGAATGCCTAATTTTTTAAACAATCCTAAAACTTTTCATTTTTTAATTAATTTTAATTTAAATTATTAGTTTCTTTATTACTTTTAATATCTGTATCAATTTATTCAATATTATTTTAAATTATTTTTTTAAAATCAATATTTGGTTATTATTAATTTAAATTAGGTTCTTTATTTTGGATAATTTAATTTAATTATTCAGAACTATTATTTTCAGATTTAATAGCAGGATTTGTATTTTGAGGCTTTATTTATTGTTGTTTATTATTTTCTTATTGTTCATATGGTTATGGAATATCTTGTTTGGGTATAATTTATGAAATTACTTTTTATTATGGATTTAAGTAACTTTTGAATACATCATAAACTTATTATATTGATGGCCTTTTCTTTTCATCATAAATTAGCATTGAAGTTAAAATGGTTTTAAATTATTATGAAATTTATAATTAATTGATTTTATTATTAACAGGAACTGGGTAGGTTTTATGATTTTTAATATTTTTAGTTACTTCTTAATGAGTTTATCCTAAGATTATAAATTTATTTATACCATCAAACAAAGGTTAAGTTGCTAATATTTCATAAAAAACACATCCTAATGACCAGATATCAACTTTATCTGTATAATCACTTCTATTTTCTATAATTTCTGGTGCTTGAAATATTGTACTACCAACTTATAAAGTTTTAACATCAGATAACGAACTCCTAATTAAACCAAAGTCAATAAGTTTAAAAACATTTCCTACTTTAATATAATTTTCTTGTTTAATATCTCGATGGATTAACTTCTATTAATGTAGAAATAGAATTGGGTAAATAATCTATAATTATATTTATTAAAATATATACCTAAAAACAAATTTGTACTTTTTCTTATATTGATACATTCCTACTGTTATTTATGAAACGATATAAATCTTCTTGTCCAACTTCCATAACAATGCAATGATTCTTTTACCATTAAAAATATTCATATATTCTGATTAAATAAGTAGGAAGATATTATTAATTATTTCCATTTTCATATAAATTTTGGTACTCTACTAAACAACTAAGAAATTATTTTTCATTAGGTTTCATGTTTTTTTGTATTTTAATTACTACTTATGAAGGATTATTGCCCCAATCAGAGGCGGAAGCAAGAAAGGCTCCTCCTTCCGCACCAGAACCAAGAAGTTTAGTTAAAAGAAATCTCCTTTTTGGATATTCTTTTGTAAAAGCATCCAAAAGTGTATTGACCAATTTGTTATACTGCATTTTCCTATTTCTATTAAAATATTAAATAAGCAAAGGATAGTAATTAAATTAATTTTATTGTTAGTGAAACTCTTAAATGTGAAGTATTTTTATTATAAATAAATAACTTTTTGATGTTAGTCTTATTGATTAACTTATATTCAATATATAAAAATATATTCAAACTTTAATAAAATTAGAAATTCTTATTAATACAAGATAATAAATCTACACTTAAGATACTTCCTATAGATTATTATAATTATAAATGAATTTTTAATGAAAATTATGATCTAAAATGATTTATTATATTATATATTTTAATTAAATTTGGCAAACTTCATTAATTTTATTCTTATATATCTTTAAACCATATCAATTTTTATATATACCTAATGTCTTGAAGTTAATCAATCACAAATTAAAAAAGCTCAAGACAATTCTATATTATCTCTTTTATTTTCATGAGTTTTAAGTCTTTAAATTTGTAAAATATGGTTAAATTAATGCTTAAAATAAATTTATCGACTCTTACAGAATTCATATTAGTATTAAACTAAAACTCTTTAATCAAAGTGATATTTTTTAATTATTATTTATTCTATACTATATATTTATTTAATAGAAAATGTAAAGTAATAATATTATTGATGCACCAATCTAAAATTTTCCAAATAGGAAATTTGAAATAATAAAAGTAATTGGATAAGGAGGAGAAGGGACTGTATTTTAATGCAAATCAAAAAATTGGGGAATCTATGATTAAAAACAATTTGCATTAAAATGTCAATATTAATCTAAGGCTGATGAAATTTAATTTATTGATAATCTTATAGCATATTAAAATCAATATGAGAATTTAATTAATTAAGGAAAATCAAATTATTAATCATCTGGTTTAATTAGAATTTATGAGAGATTTTAATTAAATAACTAAGATTTTATAATTATGGAAGCAGGAGAAATAGATTTATATGATTATATAAAATAATAATAGAATTTATCATTTGATTAGAAAATAAAGATTTTAATTTAAGTATAATAATAATAATAAATATTAATAGATAACTTAATCAATATAATATTTACATTAAAATAATTTAATTCATAGAGATATTAAACCTGAAAACTTTATTAAAGTTGCAGATTAATTTAAACTTATTGATTTTGGATTAATTAGACATAATGAAGGTAGGATAAAGACAATGGGAATTGGTACACCTTTGTTTTAAGCTCCTGAAATTGTTGAAAATAGTTAAAATTACACAAAAGCAGTAGACATTTGGTCACTAGGTTGTGTATTTTATGAAATTTTGACTAAAGTATCTTTATTTTAAGGTATATAACTTTTGTAAATATAGGGAAAACTCATTCGGAATTAATAAATATGATTAAAAATTGTAAAATTGATAAGAAATATCTATTAGAAAGATTAGACTAATTACCAAAAACAGGTAAAAATGATGATGAATTAAAGACCTTGTTAATATAAATGCTAGAACCTTTTGATTCATAAAGAATAGAAATAAATGTTGTTGTTGAAAAATTAAAAACTATAAGTTAAAAAGATAATAAATTTTTTTAAATACCATAATAAATATCTAATAATGATATAAAATAATTAGAAGATTTAATAAAATAGATGGGATTAGAATTAAATAATATAAATCAAGAAATTAAATAAAATAAAAATATTGAAAATTAATTTAAAATTAATGTTTAAGAATAATTTAATAAAATATAGTTATTTATGTAAAATTAAATACCTTAATAAGATTAAATAACTGAAATATGTAAATTTATATAATAAAATATAAATGAATTAAATTAATCAATTACAAATTAGATTATGAATTAATAATAATAATAATAATAATAATAATAATAATAATAATAATAATAATAATAATAATAATAATAATAATAATAATAATAATAATAAAATAATGAAAAAGAATAAAATTAAATGAATTTATAAATAATTAAAATAAATAAATATGAATAAGAGATTTAATAAATGATTATTAAATGTAAAGAATATTAATAAATTATTGAATAATAAACTAATTAATTATAATAATATTAATAAAATTAAAATAGATAATAAGTTGAATTATAAGTAAAAGACATTCAAATTTAAGAATAACTTAATAAAATTAAAGAATAATAAGACTTAATTTAAAATTATGATTAAAAATAAAAATAATTAGAAATTAATATTGAAATTTAATTAAAATAAAATAATATTTTATAATAATAAGTATAATAATTAGATTTATTTAATACATAACATTAAAAATATTAAGAATTATTAGATTTAAATAAAAGTTTAACTTAAACAATAGAATAATAACAATCTAATATTTAAGAATTACTTAAATAATAATAAAATTTATATGATAAATAGAAAACATAAGATAATAAGATTGAATAATATTTAAATGAATTAAAAATCATTAATAATAATTAATAATAGAATATTTCAAATTAAGTATAAAAGTAAGAAATAAAAGGAAAATCAGAATTTAAATAAATTGAATAATAAAAAGTTAATATAAATTAATAAAATTGTGATTAATAAATGTTTTAATTAGAATCTTAGATAGAAAATATGTAGAATTATATTTAATAATTATAATCTTAAATTGAAATAAAAAATAGGTAAGTTCAATAACTAACACAATAAAATAATGAATTGAAAAATAAATATAAAGAATTAAAGGAATCATTACAAAAATAAGAGCTAGATATTCAAATTAGAAATTAAGGATAAAATAATACAAAATAATAATTTAAAGATTTAAATTAATAATAGAATCAATTACAAGTTAGTTAAAATCAAAATTCAATTGACATTTATGAAATAGAATAACAAAGTCGAAAATATCCATATGGCATGATTTCTAAAAAACCCATGAATGTACCAAATTTAGAAATTGTGGAACAAGAGTAAAATAAAGTGAAAAATGGTATATTAAATTGTTAATTTAGCTAAACAAATTAAATTAAAATCTTGTCCTGCCAAAATAATTTAACAATATAATGAAAATAATACGCTTTCTCAAATTAATCATGAAGATGATTAAGATAATAGGTGATTATTATATTATATTAAGGTGTAAAGCCATTTGTGCTCATGAATCACTTTAAAATTAAATTAAGTGAAAAAAGAAGAATATTTTGATGTATATTACCAAATTTTAGATAAATTATTTCAGTTAATCGTAAAAATTTTTTAAATAAAAAAAGAAAAAGATGGGTTTAATTTAGATATTAAATTTAAAACAGTATTTATTTTTTACAGTTACTTTGTATTTCAATAGTCGAAAATATTAGGGCCTACACTTTTCAATTAACTAAGGTTAGTTTTGCATGATAGGTAATTGGCCTAAAAGTCTTGTTTTTTTTTTAAACTTATTAATTATTTATACAATTAAAAATTTTACTCATACAAATTTAAATAATAATATATAATTGTTGTAAAAATAAATATTATAGACAAATCTTTTATGAAAATTTTTATTTAAATTAGTAATTCCTACTTTTTCAAAGTTTGGTATGATTTGACTAATGTTAGTGTTTCCAAACATCATTCAGAATTTGATAGGTGCCATTTGATATCCAAGAATCAGAAATGAGCACATCAGTTAGTAAAAATGTTCAGGTTGTTGATATAGGAAGGGTTTATATTATTTTGAGAGTCGTCCAATTTAAGTATTTATATTATTGTTATTATGTGGTTTCTAAATAGTCACAAATAAGTTGTTATTATTAAATAAGGTAATTATTTTTAATTACTTTTGTTTTAAGATGGTCTGATACCTGAATTATTTAGTTTCTTATTTACAACTTCATTACAGCTCATTTTTCTTACCAAATTGGTTCATTTTGATTTTGGGTGTTATTTTACTGTATTTGATAAATATGGGTTCAGTAATTCTGTTTATTCTCTGAAGTTAAACCTCATTCACAATTAAATTACTTACTATTCTTCTAATTAGATTACTACTTACCAATACATTGTTATTCTTAATTTTATTATTTTTGTCAATCTAATTATTTAAATTGTTTCCTTATTAACAGCTACTAATCATCAAATATCAAGTTTTTTATAAACTAATATTCTGTTCTAATTTGAAGTCTCAGAATCTGTTTAGCAGTTTACGTTTGAGCATCTACATTGATTAAAAAAGAGTAAAACGATTAAATGCCATTGTAATTGTGTAGTATGAAAAATATGGTTCTATTAATATTTTAAACAAATAAAAGGAGTCTTTGCTTAAGATCTATTCTTCTTGACACTTTAATTAATTATAAAATTTTAAATTGGCTATTTGCCTTAATTATCTCATGACGGATCCATAATTTACAACTATAATAATTATATACTTGTATTTCTGTCTCACTAAAATTGTAAATGCATTATTTCAGATTTCACTTTTATTAAATAATAGTCTCTACCCTTACTTTTATTAAGCATATTTAGTAAATAGGGACATTGATGTTTTGATATTTTTGTGTAAAAAACATTAATCTGCATAAGCCAAGATATCTATCTCATTATCTGTTATGTGTTTTACTTCTATCAGAAAGCAATCAATAAATTTTGAACGAAAGTGGTGAGATTCATGACCCTTATTTAAGTCCAAGTTTAAAATACACCTTTTTTCTAAGTTATACGGATTAATGTATACAAGTTCGCGCTTAAAGAAAAATCTATTTATTCCCCTTCAATAAACGACAAAGTTTCATGACTTAATATAATCTCTCCATATTCACTGTGTTATAAGAACTCGAAAAGTCTATAAAAATCATAGCATTGAAACCATTCTTCTTTTGATCCATTCCATGATCACATAAATCTTCCGTTGTGTGCCAAGTCCTCTGAAGAATCCAGTCTAATTTTTCAATATACCTCCTTCCATATAAGTCACCAGCTTTTCCCTAAACCTCAACTCCATAATCTTGAACATAGGGCCTACTATTACAAGTGGTCTACATTCATTATTTTATAGGAAAAGGCAAGCCCAGCCAAATTTGTTATTGATTTGAAAGCTGTTTTCCTTCCAAGTATTTTAAAGAAGCAGAGGGTTAGTCTAAATAAATTATTGTGAAACACCATTATATGATCTTGCTTTATCTCTTGCCATTTGGCTTTGCAATTCCTACACCTATACAATGGTTAAATCGTTCATGGCAGGTTTTCTATTAGTGTATATTTGTCCCTGTGTAGATACTTATGAAATTATTCCATAGAGTTAGCAAAATCTCTTGGTTTATATGTATTATTTCATCTTAATGAAGCAGCTGAATATTTCATCAAGGCTCTTCTAATTCCTCGATTTCGTTTATTTTCTCATCAATTCCAACAATATATTTTCTCTATCTATATATCAGTAACTCTTTTAATTGTTATTCCTTCCTTGGGGATCCAATTCTTCCAAACTAACTTGTTATATTATTTTAAAAGGCTATTTAAATCTTTAACATTATTCTATAGTGACTCGCATCCTTTATCTGCTTTAATTTTATTAATTTTAGATTAATATTTTTTCTATTGCTTCTACAAGTAAAGGATTAGAGCTATTATTCCATTCTTTTAATGTCTTATGTCCTACTTTTTAACTCTATAAAATATGATATGATCTGTAGCTTTTCTAGTTTACTTTCCATTTCTTAATTAATATGAAAATAAACAGTAAAAAGAGATAAGTAGCAAATACTTCTCTTTATCTACTTCTAAGTCTGAAGAATAATAATCTGTGATGTTCCTTAATTTAAATTATATTTGAACACCAACATATACTCCTCTTGAGTGAGTTGATTACTATAGAATGTAAGACATTTGAACTTGACTTAGACTTAGAATTATTGGTTTCTACCCTCTTAGAGGTGTTTTGAAATTCTTCTGGTCATCATGTTCAATTTCATATCTATTTAACAATAATATCTAATAAATAATCGGACTTTTCTTTCTTAAACAGCATTTTTATAATTTATTTATCTCATAAAATTTTTAACAATCTTCATCTTAAATACTATAAGATTAACGTATATTTTGAATATATTTATACTTACAATCTTATTTTGAATTGGTACTTCATATTCAACGCAAGAAAAATACTTCAAATTTAAAAAAAATATAGATATTAATTCAACTTATTAATATTAAATAAATTTATGAATGAGCTTTCGATTTAATATTAAAAAATTAACATTATTGGAAGCTTAAAAAATAAAAACTTGTTTTAAACCAAAAAAATTAAAATATCTAAACATAGAAAATGAAATAATATTCAAAAAATAGAAAGTGAAAATTGACTCAGACAATTAGCTATAATGAATCAATGTATTTTAGATTAACTATGGTTGTCTACCTTTTATCATCTATAATAGTTCTGCAATTAAAGGCCAAAATCTTATAAGTTTGGCTACTAAAAACAACTTCCCAACAAAAGATTAAGCTGTTGATGTATGTTCAATAATAAAACAGTCAATAAAATAATATCTTAAATGGAGTTAGCACCATTTTTAATCAAAATCTTGCATATTTGAGCAAAATAAACCTGATTAAGCCTGGTTAATTATTGTGATTAAGATTTAAAGGTTGAACATCTTCTCTTCAAAAACTTAAACCTGGTTTTACTAAGGACGGTCTTGTGTAACTAATATTATAATATATGCTAATCTAACAAATTGATACATTTTTTAGCTAGTAAAAAAAAGCCATTGCTTTTGAATTGATAAGTTAAAGTATAATAGTTGAAATAACAAATGATGGTTATCAAAAATCTATTAGAGAGAGCTATTGAAAGAAAAAATATTTTGAAGTTGAATGAAGATTTGAAATTTAAAAAATAAATTTAATAGAAAGACATAGCTAATGATAAAATTAAAATATAACGAATCAATATCATTTCATTTTAATTGTCTAAGTGTATTTCTTTCAAATATAAAATTATGAAAATTGTAAAAAAATTATAAATGCTCTCTTAATTAGAAAATCTAGAAATTTTATTGTGTATATTGATAATAAAGAAATTTTTAATCATTTTTTTGAAATATTAAACATTGAGAATATTTATAATTATTTTTAACTTTTTATTTATAAAAAAAATCAAAAATATTTAAGATTAGAGTTAAAAATGCATCAAGTTTGATTTTTTTGTAATATTGAAATGCAATAACAAAATTGATTGCCATTTAAAATAATATTCTATAAAGTTTTTAATATTTGAAATTTCATTATTCATAATACATTTCATTATTATGAAATTTCTTTTTTATTTGTTTACGTTCAGTCTTTAATAAATTGATTATTATACATTTTAATTGTTCATCCCAATATGGCATCTTTTTTTTCGGACTTTATGATGAACTGTTTTATGCTTTTTGATAAATACCAATTGGTTTATTATTTTACTNCTTCAAATTTAAAAAAAATATAGATATTAATTCAACTTATTAATATTAAATAAATTTATGAATGAGCTTTCGATTTAATATTAAAAAATTAACATTATTGGAAGCTTAAAAAATAAAAACTTGTTTTAAACCAAAAAAATTAAAATATCTAAACATAGAAAATGAAATAATATTCAAAAAATAGAAAGTGAAAATTGACTCAGACAATTAGCTATAATGAATCAATGTATTTTAGATTAACTATGGTTGTCTACCTTTTATCATCTATAATAGTTCTGCAATTAAAGGCCAAAATCTTATAAGTTTGGCTACTAAAAACAACTTCCCAACAAAAGATTAAGCTGTTGATGTATGTTCAATAATAAAACAGTCAATAAAATAATATCTTAAATGGAGTTAGCACCATTTTTAATCAAAATCTTGCATATTTGAGCAAAATAAACCTGATTAAGCCTGGTTAATTATTGTGATTAAGATTTAAAGGTTGAACATCTTCTCTTCAAAAACTTAAACCTGGTTTTACTAAGGACGGTCTTGTGTAACTAATATTATAATATATGCTAATCTAACAAATTGATACATTTTTTAGCTAGTAAAAAAAAGCCATTGCTTTTGAATTGATAAGTTAAAGTATAATAGTTGAAATAACAAATGATGGTTATCAAAAATCTATTAGAGAGAGCTATTGAAAGAAAAAATATTTTGAAGTTGAATGAAGATTTGAAATTTAAAAAATAAATTTAATAGAAAGACATAGCTAATGATAAAATTAAAATATAACGAATCAATATCATTTCATTTTAATTGTCTAAGTGTATTTCTTTCAAATATAAAATTATGAAAATTGTAAAAAAATTATAAATGCTCTCTTAATTAGAAAATCTAGAAATTTTATTGTGTATATTGATAATAAAGAAATTTTTAATCATTTTTTTGAAATATTAAACATTGAGAATATTTATAATTATTTTTAACTTTTTATTTATAAAAAAAATCAAAAATATTTAAGATTAGAGTTAAAAATGCATCAAGTTTGATTTTTTTGTAATATTGAAATGCAATAACAAAATTGATTGCCATTTAAAATAATATTCTATAAAGTTTTTAATATTTGAAATTTCATTATTCATAATACATTTCATTATTATGAAATTTCTTTTTTATTTGTTTACGTTCAGTCTTTAATAAATTGATTATTATACATTTTAATTGTTCATCCCAATATGGCATCTTTTTTTTCGGACTTTATGATGAACTGTTTTATGCTTTTTGATAAATACCAATTGGTTTATTATTTTACTAATTTTAACTAACTTGTAATTGATTCTATTATTAATTTAAATCTTTAAATTATTATTTTGTATTATTTTATCCTTAATTTCTAATTTGAATATCTAGCTCTTATTTTTGTAATGATTCCTTTAATTCTTTATATTTATTTTTCAATTCATTATTTTATTGTGTTAGTTATTGAACTTACCTATTTTTTATTTCAATTTAAGATTATAATTATTAAATATAATTCTACATATTTTCTATCTAAGATTCTAATTAAAACATTTATTAATCACAATTTTATTAATTTATATTAACTTTTTATTATTCAATTTATTTAAATTCTGATTTTCCTTTTATTTCTTACTTTTATACTTAATTTGAAATATTCTATTATTAATTATTATTAATGATTTTTAATTCATTTAAATATTATTCAATCTTATTATCTTATGTTTTCTATTTATCATATAAATTTTATTATTATTTAAGTAATTCTTAAATATTAGATTGTTATTATTCTATTGTTTAAGTTAAACTTTTATTTAAATCTAATAATTCTTAATATTTTTAATGTTATGTATTAAATAAATCTAATTATTATACTTATTATTATAAAATATTATTTTATTTTAATTAAATTTCAATATTAATTTCTAATTATTTTTATTTTTAATCATAATTTTAAATTAAGTCTTATTATTCTTTAATTTTATTAAGTTATTCTTAAATTTGAATGTCTTTTACTTATAATTCAACTTATTATCTATTTTAATTTTATTAATATTATTATAATTAATTAGTTTATTATTCAATAATTTATTAATATTCTTTACATTTAATAATCATTTATTAAATCTCTTATTCATATTTATTTATTTTAATTATTTATAAATTCATTTAATTTTATTCTTTTTCATTATTTTATTATTATTATTATTATTATTATTATTATTATTATTATTATTATTATTATTATTATTATTATTATTATTATTATTATTATTATTAATTCATAATCTAATTTGTAATTGATTAATTTAATTCATTTATATTTTATTATATAAATTTACATATTTCAGTTATTTAATCTTATTAAGGTATTTAATTTTACATAAATAACTATATTTTATTAAATTATTCTTAAACATTAATTTTAAATTAATTTTCAATATTTTTATTTTATTTAATTTCTTGATTTATATTATTTAATTCTAATCCCATCTATTTTATTAAATCTTCTAATTATTTTATATCATTATTAGATATTTATTATGGTATTTAAAAAAATTTATTATCTTTTTAACTTATAGTTTTTAATTTTTCAACAACAACATTTATTTCTATTCTTTATGAATCAAAAGGTTCTAGCATTTATATTAACAAGGTCTTTAATTCATCATCATTTTTACCTGTTTTTGGTAATTAGTCTAATCTTTCTAATAGATATTTCTTATCAATTTTACAATTTTTAATCATATTTATTAATTCCGAATGAGTTTTCCCTATATTTACAAAAGTTATATACCTTAAAATAAAGATACTTTAGTCAAAATTTCATAAAATACACAACCTAGTGACCAAATGTCTACTGCTTTTGTGTAATTTTAACTATTTTCAACAATTTCAGGAGCTTAAAACAAAGGTGTACCAATTCCCATTGTCTTTATCCTACCTTCATTATGTCTAATTAATCCAAAATCAATAAGTTTAAATTAATCTGCAACTTTAATAAAGTTTTCAGGTTTAATATCTCTATGAATTAAATTATTTTAATGTAAATATTATATTGATTAAGTTATCTATTAATATTTATTATTATTATTATACTTAAATTAAAATCTTTATTTTCTAATCAAATGATAAATTCTATTATTATTTTATATAATCATATAAATCTATTTCTCCTGCTTCCATAATTATAAAATCTTAGTTATTTAATTAAAATCTCTCATAAATTCTAATTAAACCAGATGATTAATAATTTGATTTTCCTTAATTAATTAAATTCTCATATTGATTTTAATATGCTATAAGATTATCAATAAATTAAATTTCATCAGCCTTAGATTAATATTGACATTTTAATGCAAATTGTTTTTAATCATAGATTCCCCAATTTTTTGATTTGCATTAAAATACAGTCCCTTCTCCTCCTTATCCAATTACTTTTATTATTTCAAATTTCCTATTTGGAAAATTTTAGATTGGTGCATCAATATTTTGATTTTTTGCCTAATTCTATTGCATAAAAATAAATTTATTTATATTATTATTCATTATAATGTCGATAAAAAGCCACTCTTTCTAACTTAAACTTATTCAGATTATTTATAATCCACAGTTCTTCCTATATTATCTTTCCTTTCTACAACAATTTGCTAAATAAAATTTCTAGATTACTTTAACTTCTTTAACTTCTCCCTTCTTGATAGATTCTAATTCAGCTTCAGTCAACATAAGTTTTTCTTATGTTTCATGATACTCTCTATTAAGAATAATGAATTTTGATTTCCAGGTTTCTACTTCCTAATTTTTACAATATATATCAATAAATACTTTAGAAAGATATGTCATTTTTTCAACAGTTACTTCTTCATGTGTAGTCTATAATTCATCAATATGATGATGAGCATCTTCTAATTCTCCTCTAAGTTGATTAATTTCAGCTTATAATTAAGAAATGATGCCATCCTACTTTGTTATTTATCTCTATAAATAAATGATTATTTTAATACTTCTCTTTCAACAAGTGTGGTTTATAATTAAACCAAGCTTGAGCTCCTGGACAAATCATTTTTTTATATTTGAGCTCTGAGGTCAGAAATAGTCCTATCCTTTTATGCACTGTTCTCATGTTCATGTTCTAATTGCATTTTGACCATACGTAACTCCTTTTCTAATTTAGTTATCTATATAATCATTGTAATATTTTAAACTTATTCAGTGTCTGTCACAACTTCCTTTACTATTTTTACTTCAGGTTATCTCATTTCCAGTTCCATAATTCTTGCTCTTAGTACTTCAACTTCTTTATTATTAACCTTCTTCTTCTTTTGCTTCTTCACTTAAGGACATGGTTAATAGATTTGTTATTGGGGCATAAGTAAAAAGGTGGGTGGATGGTAAGTGTACTGACTATAGCATTTCTAATAGATTTGATTTGATATAGGTAAATAGAATCGACCATCAACATCATAATTATAAGGAATCTATGGAGTTTCTAATTCGTAGTTCAATTAGTCTGTTTCTGGATTCATTAATAACTCAGAAATAAAATAAATTAAAATGAAATTAAACGATCAAAAAAGCAACAGTCAATTAACCATCTTTCCCTAAGCTTACAATACAAATATGACTGCAGCATAAAAATACTTATCAAGAGAGTCAAGTGTAATAAAAAATGATAAATCAATTTTAAAATCTCCATCATCTAACTAATTATATTGTGCATCAAATAGAGGGAGTGACAAGAAAGTGAGAATTTAGGAATCTGCATCTAAAGGTTCAATATAATTGAAGAATACAACTTAATTTGGTCGAACATCAACCGAATTAATTTAAGTTCCTCCTATGAGAAGTCTTAACAGAGAGGATAGAGAAAAACTGATAGCTACTCTAATTTAATAGGTTAAATAGTAGAATTAATTAATTATATAATTGGAAGATAAAGCATAGTAATAGGAGGAACAATTAGATGAGTTAAATCTTTATAATGAGAAATATGAATAAAAAGAGAAATGTTATGGAGAGATAATTTAAAATAAAAATAAAATAAATTAAAGAAGTAAAATAATTAAAGATATTCATTAGTTTAATAGATAGCAGATCTCAGAGAATTGGATTATAAATAAACAAATGATCATTTAGAACTTTTGAATTAAATATATGAAGATGAGGTTGATATGGATATGGCAATTAAATGGAGAAATGCTAGATTGAAATTTAATTTTTTGGATGCTTTATCTAAATCTGCAAAATATTCTAAAAAGTTAAATCATATTCTTTTTAGAAAATAGAATCAATAATTGAAAGAATGTTTTAAGGGATGGAAATGTTATATTCAAAATAGAGCTTTATTGATTTAATTTAATGAAGTTAAAAAGTTAAGGATTTAAATTAATTTCTGGATGAAATGGAAACAATAAGTGGAAGATAAAAAATAATATTAAAAGAATCTAAAAATATCAATTCAGTTTAATCATTAAAATTTATTAAAAAAATGCTTTGAAAAATTGAAATAGAATTATCTTAAATATAATTTTAATCTATAAGATTTTTAATAAATTACTTAATCTGCTATAAATGAATTTAATAGAATCAAAATGTTTAAAGTAAAAATCTAATATTATTATAGGTTTTTAGTTAATGGACTCTCTGGATTAAAAAGTAGAATTAGAAATAGTAAATTATTTATTAACATATAAATAATGGTCGAATTAAAATAATGAAAGGATTAATAAAATTTTTGAAATAGAATTGTGATTTTCATAAGGAAAGAGCTAATAAAATAGTAAAATAAAGAGTGTAGGGGAAGTTAAAGAAATGGTTTAATTAATTTAAATAAAATTGGAAATAAAATAAATATAGAGAGAATCAAATAAAATTAAATAGAAATTTCTTTATAAAATAAAGACAATTTAAATAATGGATAAGAGAATATTAAATTTTCTTTAGATTAAATCATATAAGTATTAAAGTTATGAAGAAGAGAGAAACTTAATTCTTATAAAGATGTAATATAATAAATTTTATTATAGTATTCGATTCTATGAAAAATAATGCATATTGTAGAAAAATGAAGAGATAAAATGAAATATTGTTAAATAAGAAATATGACAATAGAGTTATGAATTGGGCATTTATGAATTGGTTAAGCAATCTCTTAAAGAAGAAGAATTTATTGGTAAAGGAGTAGAATGTAGTCATTTTGAAACAAAAGGACATAGATTATTAATAATAAAATGATGTATAGAACTTAAAATAAATGTACGATAGTGTCTAATAGTAATTGGGAAATTAAGAAGAGCAAATTAATAATTATAAAATATTGATATCTAATCAAAAAGAAGTAGAACATGAATTATAGATACAATAGTAATAGATAAATAAATAATTAGTGATTATTTGAAATAAGAATTAATGACAACAAAGGATCAATTGATACATTATTAGATTGAAGGAGATGAAATAAGGATTTTGAAAGAATAGTATACATTAGCATAATAATAATTGAAAGAGTTAAGGATGTAATAAAGATGTAATATTCAAATCTCATATAATTAAGTGGGATCTCCAATTAGAAATTTATAGAGTAGCGGAATTAATGTAGATTAAGATCAATTAAGAAAATAAGTGGAGATAAGTTCTACATTACTGAATGATTAGAAATAAGAGTACAATTAATTATAGATGGAATATTCAAAAGTAGTTGGAGATTATGAGAAGAAAATTAAAGACATAGAAAAATATTTTGTGGATTTATGTGACAAATAAAAATTATAGATAGAGAGATGTAATTAAACCAACATATGGTAGTGTTGAAGGAGAATCAAACTATTAAAATAGAGAATCAGTAGAATGTTGTTTCTAGAAATAAATTAATGGATGAATTAAATATGATACATGAGTCTTTTAGAGAAGAGATCCCATAATAATAAAATCGTACAAATTTTTAGACTCAAGATTCTTACGAATAATAATAATAATTTGTTCAAAATAGAAGATTAAAGTCACATTTATATAGTCAGACATCACCAATCTCTGAAAATTAATATTCTCAAAATTCTCCATAAAAAAAAGTATAGATTGAAGATAGGTATGTATAATATAGTATGATTATCAAGAAGGATAAAAGAAGAAGCATATCATTTAAGAGAAGACATAAAAAGACGATTGGCTTCTTTAAAGACACAGATGGATTGTTAAGTATGAATTTTTTATAATATTTTTAATCTATGAATAAATACTAACTATTGAAAAATCATATTCAATAATTGATATAGAATACTTAAAAGACAAATATATTATTTGTGAGACATGGTTAAACAAATTAGAATTTAAGTAACACCATATGTGGTTGGACAGATAGTAGATTAACAATAAGAGGTATAAATAATATTCTAGTATATTGAGGAAGAGAATAAGCTAATCAATTATTATAAGCATTATTACCATTTCGTGATTAATTTAAAGGAGTATATTCATCAGATTTGAGAAGAGCAAAAGAAACAGCATAAATAAGTTTAGGATTTCCTCATGATAGTTTAATAATTGAAGATTCAAGTTTAAGGTTTATATATAACATTACACAAGAGAACTCAATTTTGGGAAACATGAGAATATTGCATACTCAATTTTAGATTAAGAAACAAAAGATGTTATATTTACATTGTAATACCAAGCTCCAGAAGGTGAATCTTGGTAATAAGCTTAAGAAAGGGCAATGAAATTAATAATAGAGAAATGCAATTAGAATGGGACATATTTGATGTTTTCACATGGAGTAAAAATAAACATTATAATTATAAGGGATTGATTTGTAGTATAACATATTATTTGGGTTTGTAGGATTCTATTGGTAATTGTAGTTGTGTAGGTTTGGAATATGATAAAGAGAAAAAAGAGATGAAATAAATATTATTTAAATGGGAGATGCCATAAGAAGAGAGTGAAATAGAAATATGATATGAAAATATTTATTTATAATAAATTTACATATATAAATATGGATAAATTTGAGTCTTTAAAATTGTAGATAGAGAAAATCTTAGATTCAGATAAAACAGTATTAATTTTTATTAGACATGGAGAGACAGAAGCTAATTTTACAAAATAGTTGAGTGGTTGGCATGATGTCAAGTTGACAGAATAAGGTTTAAATTTAGAGTTTATTTTAGGTTTAAATGAAGGGAAATAATTATCTAAAGCATTTTAACCATTAAGAGATAGATTTGCAGGAATCTTCTGTTCAGATTTAAGTAGAGCTAGACTTACTGCTGAATTAGCTTTAGGATCATCAGATAAAATATAATAAAGTATGGAGTTAAGAGAACTTAATTTTGGGGATCATCAAAATAAAGTATATTCTGCTGACAACAAAAGTATCTATGAGATTTTGTTTACATAATAATATCAGGCACCAAATGGAGAGAATTGGAATGATGTATAGAATCGAATAATGAAGTATTTGAGATCTCAAATTAATAAAAAAGGAGTCTATTTGATTTTTACTCATGGTGTATGAATTATTATTTAATATTTAAGGGAGCCATCTTTTCTATGACTCATTAATTTGGGTATACAAACACCATAAAGAATTGTTCATGCATAGGTTTAGAATTAGATATCAATACTCTTGAAATAATGAATTAATTATTTTATTGGGAATTTCCCACTTAGTGAATTACTCAATTTATTTTATATTTACAGATTGTCATGATTAATATTTAACTAGTAATATATTATGATTAAAATCAACATAAAATAAAGTGATTCATTATTGTTCTCCCCCATATATTTTCTTAAATTTTTTGAGCTTGTTGCATTCCTATATATTTTGATCTTGGCTATAAAATATCTCCATCTATTTAATGTCCTAATGGTAAACTGAAAAAAACTAAATATAGAACTAAAATCCTTACATATCCAAAATAAGTCTAAGAATCTATATCTGTATAACAACCATAACCTTTAAAATGATTATTTCTGAATTCCCCTTTGAAATAACTAAAATCTGGCCAAGTCATCAAGCCTTGTCCATGCATCAAACCTTATTGTACTTATCCACAATATCTAAAAATTTATTAGTCTTATTACTTTCTACCATCTGGAAATGTAAACTAACCTCTCCCATCAATAATTCCACCTTTGAATTAACCTTCATATTTTATTCCATTTTTTCTTATTTCTATTCCATTACCTGAGAGTCTGTTATCACTCCAATAGCCTGAATAACAACAAAAACTACCTCTAACTTCTTTTTTTTTATTTTTAAAAACTCCAAATCCATTAGCTTTATTATCAATTAGATGACCTTCAAAACTAGAAATAAATTAGTAAAATTACACATCTCCATTTGAATAGATCATTCTAGCAGGTCCATTAGCCTTATCATTTTACCAAAAACTAACATAACTTCCTTATTATTACCTTTCTAAATAATTTCCATCAGTCAACCAATGTTATTTTCCTATTCCATTACGAATCCCATTTATCACTGAACCATAAAATATAGAACCATCAGAACATAAAAGATATTAGTAGTTAGAAGTATTAGTGTCCATCTATTCTATAGCCTTAAAAGTTCCCAATTCATTTATTTATTCTTAAACTTCTGGTCTCAATTAACCCAAACTTGTAATTTCTTATCCAATATTACAAAGAGATTAGGAGAGGTCTTCTAAACTATCCTACGTTTTAATATTCTTGTTATCTTCAAATTATATCAAATGAGCATACTTTTATATTGTTCTGCTATATTGATTGATATTTAAGTGCTTTAAATTGATGTCTTGGAAGTATTACTATTGCAAACACAACCCATTTTATAATATGATATATATATTTATCATTTTAAATAAAAAAGTAAGACTTATAATAGCCAAGCAAAATTAATTTGATTAATCATACTCAATTTATATAATCCTCATGAAACACTCCTCAATTTAATATTAAACCAACACTTTTCCATCTAATTAATAATTTATTAATATTTCATCCATTAAATAATACTTGCCTGAATTGCAGTTCACTATACAATAAAAGACTAGCCTTAAAATTTTTCCTCTATATACATCTCATATACAAATCCATCAAAAATCAACAATTTATGTTCTATGCTCGGACTAATTTAATTATTTAAAACAATATTTAAAAATGTTTTTGATACTATTATTCATAATTTTAGTTGTTATATACTTATAAAATATATAATTTGTACATGTTTTCTATTGTTAAATGCTGTTTTGATGTTAACATAAGATTGTAAAATAAATTTATTTTTTTAATATAAAACAAGTTTAGCTTAATTTATATCATTTTATTAATCCACACAATTACGTATTTCTAATTTCATTTATTAATTATTAATAAACCACATACTTCAAAGATTTAATGATATGATTATTAATAATTATTTACTTATTAATAATGACTTGGATGTAATTACTAGTCATCGACCTCCAACTGTTATCATTGAAGATTAATTTAAATGTCTTAATAACACTAATTTTTCAAGAACTTTTAGAAATACTCAATTGCTTCGTAAATTAAACACAAAATAAAATTATATGAACATGATGTCATAGACTAAACTAAAACCCTTAACAAAATCTTAAAGCCTTATTTGTTTAAGTCTCAAGACACCTATCTATGAGGCAAAAGAGAAAAAAATAGAATAAGCTAATTTAAGAATGGGGAAGAGAATGAAAAGATAAGCAGCATGTTAAACAGATTGTTTTGATAATAAAAATAATAATATATTTCTTAGAAAAACACTATCATGTATATATTAAATTATAAATATTTATTAGTCTAATAATTTAGAAAAATAGTTTTCTCTGAGACATTGTAAAAATCTAAAATTGATGTTTACAAAGTAGATGAATAAACAAAATAAAAATGATAATATTTTAAACCCTTATAAAATTCAAAGATTATCAATAAGCTTTGTTAAGAAGTGAAGCATTTTTAATTCATCTCCTGGATTTATCCTATTTTATACTAGATCTGCTTATTTAATTTTACCATCATATAAAATATAGATTTATGGTGCCTAAATTGGTGATGGCAATACTTAAGATTCATTTAAAATATTATATCTAATTATAAATAGAAATGAATACTTTCTCAAAGTGAGTTTTTAAAAATTTGATATATTTTTAACTCTATAAGGATTAGGATTACAGATATTCTAAGCAATTTTATCTAAGGTTTCAGCAACTGTATTACAAGCTGCACATCCTGGTTTATAAAAATAAATAAAATCAAAGCCTGATAATTCTAAATTATTTGGAGTTATAATTTGTAATTTTTCCAAAGGAATCTTAACAAATGTTTTTTCATAATATTCTTATTTATAATTATCTTATGGTTATAAATTTTATATCTATAATTTAGTTGTTTAAATAATAAACTATTTCAATCTATTTACAGTTACTTTATCTCCAAAAGAATATCTTTTACATTATTTATATTGATCATAATTATTATCTTATTATCCCAAATGAACAATATTAAATGATGTTGTATAATTTTAATGTGAATTAAGATCAAATAATCTTACATCATCTGTAATTCCATTATTTACTATTCCAAAATATGATTATATTAGATCAATATTATCTGAATAAATGATTCCAAATTTTTATTATTATTCTGTATTCATAGATTTCTTTACATTAATTAGTTTTCTAATAATCTTATCATTAAGTTCTTTTTGACTATGATACATCAATATATATTGAACACCCATTTATTTATAAATTAATAATTATGAATCCATTTATTGTTTGTTAAATACATAATTAACATAATTATTGGCTGTCAATGTCAATCTTTAAACAATCTTTTATAAATTTAATTATTGAACTGTCTCTTCCTTAGATCCTAATATATATCCAGATAAAGAATCATATTTCTTCTTCATTCTAAATGTATCAGCTATTTCTATATTTGGATCTGGTTCTATTTTGTTCATGCAGTATTCTTTTTCATTGTGAAAGAAAGATGACTCTTTTGAATTGAATATATTGGTCTATTTAAGTATATAGATTTCTCCTATATCATTCATTGATAAATTAAATTCATCAGCCACTTTTTTATCTTTTATTATATAATACTAAGCCTCTCTATTGTAATCTAAGTATCTGAGTTCTCTGAATTGTTCCTCCAATTATTATGGATCTTTGTAATTACGCTATTTGAAAGTATCAAATTTATTAATTTATTCTTCTGATTTTACTATTGTTTATTAAGGTATGTAACTCAAAACAACCTTAGCATCCATTTGATCAATTAGATTAATAGCATCTTATTTACTATTTAGAGTTTATAAGGGAGTTAAGAAATTAAGCAATTTCAAATAATCTTCTTCTCCTCTTATCTTTAATAGGAGACATCTATGTTAATTGACTGCAATCAAATCATAGTCATTAAAGTTACCATCATATATACAGAATTTGACTGATAAATGTTTTGGAAGATCTTCTATAATATTTCTATTTAGAATTATGATTGTATTTGTGAAATATTATGGATTAGTTAAAACTGCATTGACATCTTTTTCATTTATGATTTTCATGTTTTGCATATTAATTTATGTACATTTAAACTTCTATTATTATTAATTATAGACTAGAGCAAAGCAACTTACAATTTAAGTGATTTTAATCAATTTAGGTATTAATCTAATGGTTCTAAACATTATAAATATTTTTTAGTTTATATTGAAATACACTACAAATTATTATAATAAATAAAATAAAGTATATATAAATAAAGTTATTGAAAAAATACAAATAATTATTCATCTTATTCAAAAATCCAATAAATTGTCAAATATAATATTTAATATCAAAATTAATAAAAAAATAATATAATGATCAAAGTTTTTATATTAATTAATCTTTATATTTTAGTTACTCTAATACTATAACCAATAATCACATATATTTTTACATCATGATTGCTTAACACTCTTAATATTTAATTATAATGTACATATAAATAATTCATATGTTCATTAAACTGTTTATTGTCCTTCAACTGAAATCAATGCCATCAATTCAATTATCACATCATTTATTGGTGTATAAATTTAAGTTTATTTCTCTAATGAATTTACACAAGAAATTCTAAATATATGCAAAACATTATGTCCCAACTTTTCATAAATCATAATTAATACTTTATTAACTAGATTCCAATTGATTTTATCTGAATGCGTTTGAATTAAATAAATTAATAATTATGATTGATGAAATTGGGCTGCTTTCATAATTGGTGATTCTCCTCCCTTTCTTTAAAAATCAATTATACTATTGTTTGAATATTAGGTGAGGCCTTTGATTAAATTAAATAATCAACTATTGCAATATTGCCAATTGCACATGCAAAATGAAGCGGAGTTCTTCCAAACTAATTTTTCCATTACAAATTACTAAGTCTTGTTAATCAATATCTGCCTTTTAGATAGCCACTAAAAATTGAACCAAATTCAAATTTCCATTACTTGCTGCTTAATGTAATGCTGTAATTCCTTAATTTGTTAAAATAACATTAACATTAATTTCAATTTTTGGGGAATTAAAAAATTACACTATTTATTCATTTTTATCTAATAATAATAATATATAAAATATACTCTACATGATTGCTAACCAAAGAGCATACTTAAGTTAATCAAGTTATTATTTTTAATTGTTCATAAGAAAAATAAATTTAAATTATTTTTAATAATACAATTTATTACTATATAGTTTTTATTTGAAAACAAATAATATTTGAGAAACAATCATATAAATTTTTAGTTTTTACAATATTTAAATAAATACATATTAAATATATATCATTAAAATTAAATAATTTAATTTTTTAATAATGGAAAACAAAGAGTTAGAGTAAGAAATCAAAAAGAAAATATCAAATATTCCACTCAAAGATAGAGCAAAAGTTACAGCTCTTAGATATTATTTAAATAAATGTAAATAAGCTGATACAGACATGGAAACAACTTGTGATAATATTCAATCAAAATATGATAAATTAAGTATGCCAATCTATTAAAGAGTAAGACTCATATTTATTTAATTAATTAGGCTGATGAAATAATTTTGGGTACAGCATAATTGAATGAATAAAATCTTGGTTTAGCAGCTAAATTATTATCAGAAGAAGAATTATAATAATTTAATCAAATTCCTAAAGAATCTAAAGCTATTCCTGATTATTGGTTAAAAGTGTTTAAAAATGCTGATTTATAAGAATTACCATTAACAGAAAGAGATGGTGAAGCATTCAAATTTTTATAGAAAATTGAATTTACATTGGCTGAAAATGATTCAGATTTCTTCCTAAAATTCCATTTTGCAGAAAATCCATTCTTTAAATAAACAATTTTAGAAAAGAAATTTTATTATGAAGATGATGAATTAACTAAAGTAGAAGGTACTAAAATTGAATGGCATGATGGAAAGAATTTAACAAAGAAATTAATTAAGAAGGTATATAATATTATATATAATTTGTATATAGAAATAAAGAAATAAGAAGACAGGATAATTTAGAGTAATTTCAAAGGAAGTTGATGATGAAAGTTTCTTTTTATTTTTTAGATCAATTGATATATCCAATAAAGAAAAATTTGATAAATTACCTGAAGATGAAGTATTAATATATATTTAAAGTGTAGTAAATTTCATTATAAGGTTAATTAGATGTTGATTAAGATGTAGGTAGAGAAATTGTTGATGAATTATTACCATATTCTCTTGAATACTTTTTAGGAATAAAGGAATTTAAGACTGAAGATGATGCAGGTGCTGAAGGAGAAGAAGATGATTCTGAAGATGATGAAGAAGTTGAAGTATAAACTAAAGGATAAAATAAGGGAAAAGATAAGAAAAAGAAATGATTTATGTATATTATTTTTATAAATTGTAAATTTAATGATGCATTCAATAATTATATTATTTACATTTTCGTGTTGATTTTTAATAATAAATTAAATAAATGAGCAGATCAGGAGATTTCTAAACTAAAGTTGAGATGATTATTGAAAATGTATTTAAAAATAATTCATTATCTACTTAGTATCTTTAGAAGCATAAAATATTTAATATGAAAAATTCGATTAATCATGTTGATGTACCAATTTCTGAATTTGATCTGCTTGAAAAATAAATGACAAGAAATAATATCATAGATGATTTAATTCAAAAAATATAGGTTTTAATTGAAGCTAGTAATTATAATTCTAAAATTGAAGTATTTTCATTAATAAATCTACATTTAGATTGAGTAAAAGTTCATTCGATTTGAATAAGAAATTTCAAATCTAAGATCCATAATTATGATGTAATAGGATTGCAATCCTCCTTAATTAACAATTACTCGTTCTGAAAATAATTCGTTTATTGAAATGAGTGATTCGTTTCTGAATGATGAAAATGCTATTTCTTTTAAGAAAAAAGTTAAAGAAATTCAAGAATAGTTTTCAAAGAAGACATAACAATTAGATAATATGCTTACTTTAGTTATTGATTAATAGTAACAGTTTTTTACAAATTTTAGATTACAATTAAAACAACAAATTACTCAAAATCCTTCCATAAATCAATTAAATGATTAATAAATAGATATTCATCAATAAACAGATAAAATATTGGATTTAATATAACCAAGTAATAATCTTATAGTATATATATAAGAAATCTAATATTTGAATAAGGAACATTTTGAGGAAAAATATTAATAATTTAAAAAAGCAATGGAAGAAATGAAGAAAAGTGCTAAAGAAAAACAATCTCTTTTAATGACAATTGTAGATGAATGTAAAAGAGATTGTGAAAAAATTGAAAAAAAATTAAATGAACATATTAATTAAGTGAATGCAGAAAAGAAAAAATCTTGGATTCCTTTCAAATGAATTTATTTTATGTATAAAGTACCATATTTGCTAAATTCCTTAAATATAGATTTATAATACTTTATAAAATCAAATTAAATAAATGTTCTTATACTCAATTATAATTACTAATTCTCAATTATTTTTCATCAATCCAAAACATTTAAATATTAGATAACCCTAAGAATTATTAAAACTTATTTTAAATATATTAGAAATTATTTTAATTATGTATACAACTTTTAGAGTATTAAATAAAAATTACTTTTTTTTAGAATTTATCATTTTAAATACAAATATATATATATATTAATTTCTTAATCTTTAATAATGTATAAATGCCATTAAAAACTCAAATTTTTGATCTAATTATCAATGGTTAATGGATTTTATAGAATTTATATAATTTATAAATCAAATAGTTTATTAATATTTGGTTCTAATCTAATTAGTTTTTTAATTATATTAATATAATTTATGATTACTACAAATATATTAATATAATTTATGATTACAAACAATTCAATTTAAATAAATTGTTCTTAAATTCTATTATTCTGCTATTTTAATAATAAAATTTTCAGATTTCTACTTAATAGAATTTGAAAGTAATCAATAAATAATATTATGGATTAAAATCAATAACAATAAATCCTTGTATTCTATACTTTTTGCAAACAAACATAATAACTTCAAACAAAGAGAACATTTTTTAATGATGAATTAATTGGATCTGGAAATGAAGGTGTAGTGTTTCTAGCTAAACCATAAGACTGGTGTTTTAATGTGAATCAAGTAGCGATCAAAATACAGCGCGGGTATAATTAGAAAATTTTTGAATTTTATGAGAAGTTATCATAGCAACAACATAAATTAAATCAAAATGAATCTAATGAAAAATCATACATTATCAAAATTTATGAAATATGTTTAAGTCAATAAAAAGATTTAGTAATAATTATGGAAATAGGTGGATAAGACTTATATAGATATTTCAAAGAAAATAAAGAAGTAGATTTTAAAAGAAAAGAATAGATTTGCTTATAAGTATAATTTTTACTATTTATAAAATAGTTAGCATTAGCTATTAAATAATTACATCAACTAAAATATGTACATAGAGATATAAAACCTGAGAATTTTGTTATTGTAAATAATGAATTTAAATTAATTGATTTTGGACTAACTAAATAAATAGATGAAAAATAAATGACTATGAATGTTGGATCTAGAATATTCTAAGCTCCTGAAATATTAAAAGGAGATGGCCATTATACATTTTCAGTTGATATTTGGTCATTAGGATGTACATTTTTTGAGATTTTTGCAAATTAAGAATTATTATAAGGTAAAATTTTAATAAATTATTAAGCTGAAACATATTTAGATGCATTAAATATGATAGTTGATCATATTAAGAATTAGAAATATATTTATAATAGAATAGAAACATTAAATATTTCATAAGCATGGAAGGATTTAATTTAAAAAATGTTTAATCATATACCAGATAAGAGAATTACTTCTACTGAAGTTGTATTTACAATTCAATCCTTTTTAAATGTAATAAATAATAAGTCTACTAATAACTTCTCATTCCAAAATAATTAACGTTGTTAGACTCCTCAATCAAATACTGTATTTCCTAATTCTTAATAGAACATTCCTTAAATAATTAATCATTTTCCTCAGTAATAGAATGGTGTTATTCAGAATAATAATACATTTCTTAATATAAATAGCAAAATTACTCCTTTCTAGGGTTTTAATCAATAAATGAATACTAAATGTAATGAAAATTAATAAATCTTTCCTCCAAAATTTTAAACTCCTAATTTACAAAATTTTAAAAATATATAAACAACTAAAGCCTAAGTTTAATAAAATAGTCAGGCCAACATCTGTTTAATGACATAGTAAGAATAAATACCAAAATAAAATGGCATCTTAAATCAACATTAATATGTGTTATCTACATAATAATTACCAAATTAAAAAAATGATTAACAAATGTTTTTCAATAATGATACAAAATTTCCAGTACAAGAATAAATACATTAATAATTCAATTTGAGAATTCAGAAACTTGAGACAGATTTATAAGCTGCAAAAAATGAAATTAAAAATTTACAAGATGAAAATAATAAATTAAAAAATGAAAAATAATTATTATCAGATGAGAATGGAGAAATTAAAAATTAAATAAGAACATATATATAACAATAATAAAGTTCTATTAAAGTTCTTCACTAATATATAAATTAGAGTCAATAGTAATAAAGTTGAACCTATTTATTTAATTATAATAATAATTTAATTATAAACCTAATTTCTATAAGCATTTAAATATGTTATATGATATTTATTAATATTTTGATTTAAATATCTAATTAAAATAGTTAAATAACATTTCTAATTACATAAATATATTAATTACAAAAGAGAATACTTTAATTTTATTAAAAATTAAATCATTCAAATTTATTAATGAATAATACTTATATTTATTTGAATTTTTGAAGGTTATGGCCAAGAATATTATGGAATATATTTAATAGAATAAGAATATTTATAAAAGTTCCTTTAAGAAATTTTTAATGATAATAAAAATAGTATAAATGATAAATTTGGATTATATAATTGATATAATTCTTGAGGAAATGAGATAATTGAGAGTTATGGAAAATATATATAATATTAAGTTGAATTTTTTTACTTTTTAAAAATTGATTAGAAGATTACTTATAGTAATTCAATTGAAATTAGATATAATTGTCTATATAAAATAGTAAATTTAAAAATTAATTATGAAAAAAATCAAATGTAATACAATTATTCATGTTTAATATTAAATGAAATAAGATGCTAGCAATCCTTGACCAATTTTCATTTCACTAAAATTTCTTTCTATGTTGATTCCTTATAATTGTTCAATTATATTTTTAGACTCAAATAAAGACATAGTATCTTCAAGAGACCAAACTTTAGTAAATTCTACATTATTATTAAATTATTCTTCTAATTCTTAAGGTATATTTCTAACTATATTTCTCATTTGAATTTGATTATTCCTTTTTTCAATTTTAATCATATTTTCAATTTCTAAATTATAAATGTCTTTAAGATATATAGCCCATTCATTATGTTCTAATTTTGATTTAATATCTTTGATTTAATTTATATATAAATTAGATTTGTAAGATGACATAATCTATTAACTATATACACTTGTTAATTAAGTTATCTAACTAATTCTAGTACTTGAAGTGAATGTTGATAATATTCTCATTTTATTGTAATCTACTTCAAGGATACTTTATTACTTTCCAGATTAATAATATGAATTTTATTATTAATGAGTGATATTTTATGTTTCTTATTCATTTTGAATAATCTTTTCTTATTTTAATATATCATAAATATGATTTTCTAAATATTAATCATCCCTTTCTATATGAAATTAAATATCATCTGGTTCATTCAATTATAATTATTATACATTTCTTCCAATGATTTTAGATTCTAAAATATTATCTTCAAAATTATGATTAGTAGAATCTACTATATCTTAATTTAATTGACAAGAGAGTACATATTGTCTAAGATTGATTTTCACTTTTTCATAAAGATATTCAATTCCTCTAGGTAATAAACATACTTATACAGTCCATTGATTAAGAATTTCTTACATATATTTAGAATCGGCTTTTTAATATAATATAGAAATACCTATGATATAATTTTTGAACACTAAATAATCATTCGATAATTATTCAGATGCTTTGGTATATAAATAATTAGCTTATGAAATGACAATATCCAATATTTTTCCATAAAGGGATCCAACTTTAACATTTGAATGACCAATCCAATTAATGCTTTATTCATGTAATGATAAATCAAGAATATTGGATGTAAATTTATTTAATAAACAATTTACAGCACTTGGACAATATTTAAAATAATCATCATCATTAAATTTTTATGAAATAAGTTATTATTCATTTGTACAATGATCTTTCATAAAGAATTATAATAAGATGATTCTTTTTTATTTCAATAGAATTTCATATGAAGAAAATAATTCATTTTCAATAGGATCAATTTATGTATTTCTAGTACCTTTAATAACAATTTATGACCATAATCTAGCAAGAGCACTAGAAAAAGTGATTTTAGGAAAATAAGTAGTAAAATATTCTTCAAATATCAAATCAATTTTATTAAATATATTCTTTAAAGCTCTATTTAATCCCCAAATCATACCAATATAAGATTCCCATAAAATAGTATACATATTTATAAACATAGCTGGATTTTTTTCAGTTTTAGTTATCATTAAAACATTTCTACTAAATAAACATCTTTAATAAATGAAATAGAATATTTGAAGTAGGAATCTTAATAAAAGAGGAATATTTTCAGAATCTAATATGGTTGGATCCTTAAGAAAGTTATCGATCACAACCCATCTCAATTCAAATAATAGTTAAGTATGTTTTAAATTTGTGATATCAAATTTATCTAAACAATCCTTATAAATTTTTTCAGTTAATTCATCAAGAGATGGGACTTTCTCAATAGTTGTATAATCATTAGTTTTTTAAGCCAATTACAATTGAAACCAACTAGTTGTACATTACTTAAGAATATCATCTGTCAATAAAGGTATTGGCATATGTGGATTATGACTTATTTCCAAGATTTTATCAACTAATGGATATTCTATATTAAAAGTCTTTTATATCTCTTCTTCTATAATTCTCATTTATTATCTAAATGATATTTATCAATTGTTACATGCTTCTTTAGAAGTTTAAATATATCCTGATCCATGATTCATCTTAGTTCGTTTCTATACTCAACAATTGAGAGTGATATACAGAAAGAAATCTCTAATGTAATCCATATTCTACAAAACATCGAAGTTATAGTTTCTGTAAATAGAATTAAGTAAGAAAGTTTGAATAAATGTTACTGCTCATTTCTACCATGAATTTTAGTTTTTTATTCACTAGTTTAAGTTAAAAACATTCTCGTATTGTCAAGAAATTTAAGAAATATTGTAAGATTTTAATGGGATAATTAGGCATCTCTTCTTCACTCATCTTTCTAAAATAATATGCATTTAATAATACGTCAGGATATCTTGACTTTATAATTTCATGTTTTCAGATAGACTTTTTCTTAATTTTGAACTTTCATTTGATTCTTTTGATGCCAATTAACTCATACACATCCCAATCAGATAATCTCGTTTTCTAAGTTTCTTCTTTTCCTATTATCCCTATTGTTGACTCTAGTTTGCTCCCATTTAATTTAATTGATTGTATTATATAACTATCTATTTAAATACTGTTAACAATAAAATCCATATAGAAAACCTTGAACAAAAACAATTATTATCTTCCCAATTATCAATCCTTATTTACTATAGAGTATATTTAATTTTTATAATCATTAAATGGATCAAGTCGATATGATAAATGATGAAGAGTAATCACCACTTCACATTAAAAGAGAATTAGATATTGATATACCATATAGAGTAGCATTTCCAATATGTTACAATTAATAATAGAAGGATACTCCAAAAACAGCTATGAGAACTATTGAACATCTTGAAATTGATGAAGTATAAATACAAACAGAAACTACTCCAAAAACTTAAATTGATATATCATCTCCAAGAGTCCTCTTCTTAACTCATTCATAAATTATGGGAATGAATCAAGAAGAAGATGAAGTGCCTTTTAACAGATCTACATTAAACTATCCTCTTTCTGAAATACCTGAAGAACTTACACCTAGTAATTTACCTAATGTACTTCATTTGTTTATATACAAGTAATCTAAAGTATCAAATCAAGATGTTATTATTGATAATATGAGTATAGTAAATAGTTAGTAGTTGAAATTTAGTAAGAAATCTTCTGAAACTAATGTGATATCAAATAATAATATGGATGGTAGCAAATTGAAAGAAGAAGTAAATTGATCATTATATAATTATAGTTAAAAGAATAAATAAGTATTTTGGAAAGTAAAATATAAGAATTAGAAAAAGAAAACTTTATTCTTAAGAAAAGATCTAATTAAGAAAAAGTAAGATTTATAGAATTGTAAATGGAAACAGAATATAAAATAGCTTAATTGAATGAATAATTACAAGATTAAGAGATTAATTATAAAAAATAGATTAACATCCTTAAAAATGATCTCAATAATGCCAAATTATCAATTAATATGTACAAATAATAGATTCCACATCATGATAATCAAGGGTTATAATTGTCATAATCATAAATTCAATTCCCATAATCATAAATTTAATATCCATATAATCCATCTTAATAATAAAATTATTAATATTATAATAAATAATAATTAACCTTATCTTAATCATTTAATGAATAATTAAACAAAAATACAAAAGATCTATGTCTTACTTAAATATAGTATGAAATTATTTATTCTAAATTAATTAAAATTATTAAGAAGATTGATTAATAGATTGAAATAAATAAAATTGATTTATTTGATCTTTTATAAATATTAGAAGAAAAAGTTAAATAGATAGTAAATATTGATGAAGAAGAAAAAATGGATGAACATCGAACATTGTTATCTACATTAAAAACTGAATTGGGATAAATTAAATAAATTAGAGGTTAATTATCTAGAATATTTAATGATAATAATTAATTTATTCATAAGAGAAATAATGATAATTAAAATGATTAAAGGATTAATGAATTGAATCTCTAAATCTTAGGAATTAAATAAGAAAAATTAGAATTATTTGAATTAAACTAAAAATAATAAAATTAAATTAATTAACAGAATTAAATTATTATTGAATTGTAATCAAAATTAAGTAAGATTTCTATTATCAAAATTAGATAATTCATCATAAACAGATACTTAAAGAATCTAATCTTAATTTATTCGTTAACTCTAAACAAATTCTATGTCTGATATTAAAAATATTAAAGAATAAGTTAAATAAAGATAAGATAGTATCAAGTAATAATAATATATATAAAAAATTATTAGAAAAAATTTTAAATCCCAAAACTCTCCTTAAAGTAGATCTGAGAATGCTTCACCATAATTAAAATTCCTAAATTCTCCTAAGTATATATATATATATTATTAGAAATTCGAAACATTCTTCCACTTATTAAAAATAATAATCAATTGATAAAAAATATTAATTCTATAATCGAACATCTGACTTTAGTGTTGATAATAATAATAATTCAATTCATTAACCAACTAATATTAATAATAGTATGCATTTAAGTGGTGAAATTATTTAAAAATTAGTTGATCAATTCAAAGGAAATTCGATATTAGCATAGAAAATCTAAGGATATTCAAAAAAGAATTGAAATATATCTATATTAATTTTGTTTACTTATATATATGTTACCTTTAAAAACCAATAGAATTAATTATAATAATTAATTATTTTATTGTAAAAATATATATGAAAAGAATAATTAGGATAAATCCAATTAATATTCCTGTTTAGAATGCTCCAATATTATTAGAAATGATGGATAATGATCTATTTTATATCAAAGCTAAAAAATAATTAGCTGGTAATATCATTATTATATCAATTAGAATAATTAAAGGATTATGATTAAAATGAATTTGTATTTTATTCAAAAAGTAGAAATAAATTAGTTAATGAAAATGATAGAGTATCAAAGTAATAAATTTATATTTTACTCATTAGACTATTTTTAAATAAGGATTAAAATGAAATTGAATTTTATCTAACATCTTATTTAATTAAATAAGTGGTTTTTGGAGGATAAGCAAATGTAGGAATACTTTAATAAGGCAATAATAATGATAATAATGATAATAATTCAAGAGATTTAGAAAATAAAATACAGGAATTAAAATTAGAAAATAATAAATTATAAAATTAATTAAAATTAAAACAAGAAAAAATTGATTAATAAGGTGATAACTTGATTTAATTAGAAAATTATGAAAAATAATTTAAGAAACAATTAAAAGAAGGGGAAGAGTTTAGGGTTCAAATGAAAAAAAAATATGAAGATATTTTATAAGTTAATTTGTAATTGAAGAATGATCTTAAAAATAAAGAAGATTAAATTGAAGAATTTAAATTTTAATAAGTGACTTTTGAGGCAGAAAAGAAGTATCTTTAAGAATAAAATAAAAGAGAAAACTATTACAGTAAATAATCAACAGTTGAAAATGATAATTAAATGGAGGAAATTATACTTGAATTAGAGAAATTCAAAAAAATGTATGAAAAAGAAAAATTTGAAAGATTAAAAATCACTGAAATTTTATCTAATATTAAGGATGTATAAATACAATAAAAAAATAATGTATTCTAAAAGCTTGAAGAAATTAATCAAACAAGAAATTAAACAGAATATGATATTATTAATTTAAGGGAAGAATTAAAAAGATCTGTAGAAACATGTCGTTAATTTAAAGAGTAAACGATTCAATAAAGAAAGGAAATTTTCCATTTGGAGGATAAATTTAAGCGTGCTTAAGAAAAAAATACTAAATTGGAAGAAGAATTACAGAATAAGAATGAGGAAATTTAAAAATTAAAGAAGATTATAGAGGAGAAATAATAAGATATATATAAGTAAAATCTGCTTATAGAAAAAAATAATCACTCAAATAATTTATAAGAAACTTAAATGCATAAATTAACAGATGAGATATCAAATTTAAAATAATAATTAGAAAATGAAACAAAAAATATTAATAAATTATAACTTGAGAATGAATCAAAATCAATTGAAATTGAAAAATTGGAAAAATAAATAAAAGCTGAAATTGAAAAATTGGAAATATTGAAATAATAATTTCGAAATCAATTTGAAAAATTGGAAAAATAACTTGAAACTGAAATTGAAAAACAAAAATAAATAGAATAAAAAAAAACCTAATTAATTAAGCGAATCAAAGAAAATGTATTAAGAAAAGTAAAAATTGAAAAAATTATTTCATGTACTGAAAATCTTTTTAAAAATTGTTCAAAACCTTTAGAATTTTTAAAGTTGGAGGGTATCATGATAAGCGATTTAATTGCTGAAGTTTAAATAATTAGAGTAGATAACAATAAAGCATTATAGAGTTTAACTAATTATGATGATCCTAATATAGCAGAATTTATTGTAATGGAATCTTTAGGAAATTGGGAAATCAAAAAAAGTATAGCAATTGTAAAATTTATTTTATTTATTCTAGAATGGTGATGGTACAAAAAGAAAAGGATTTCTGATGTAAGTTATGAAATGTGAAAAAAATCTTTATGATAATTAAGTTTTCATAATTAAGTAATTAGAAGGTTATGAGAAAATAGTGAATAAATTTGATGCTCTTTATGTTGCTTAAAATTCTTTAATAGCAAAGATTTTAGCTGAGCATTTTTAAGAGAAGATTTAAAAGGCTTCCATAAAACCACCCTGTAAATTTGCATACAATGATCCATATTTATTAAAGATAGATGGAAGTATGAAAAATTTTTATAGCATTTAGACTATTATATTGCTGAAAGATTGATAAAAGGGAATTTTTTAAAATTTGACCAAGAAACAGATATTGGAAATTATTTTTAAGCATTTCAAATTTTTACTTATTTAGTGACTTAAAAAATGCTAATGGTATCAAATATCTAAGGAAACTTTAATGGTTCAGAATATATTTTGTGTGATCCAATTATTTCTTCACCTGAAGGTATTTTAGGGGATGAGGATTTAGGAGAGCAACTTATCGATTCTTTGTAGGAAACTAATGAATGTGTGAAAAATTACCTATAAAGTTTAGGGATTTTACATTTAAGTTGATAATGAGGAATAAATTAAATTTTTAATAAATTTAATATTTTTTATAATTAAAGCAACTCTAAAATCAAAATTATCACATTAATTTAATAAAAAAATAAATTAAAATCAAAAAAATGATATATATAATAGAATAGAAATGAAATGAAATACCATTAAAGATATAAATTCTATAGTTAAACTGTAGTTAAATTAATTGTAGATTAGAGAACTTAAGTAAAATTACAAAATTGTATTAGAAATTTAATAAATGAATAAATATGTGTAATATTATAATTTATCAATTAAGTCTAAAAGATTGAATAATTTTGTGTCTTTGAAATGTAGTGATATTAACATTATTTTAAAAGATAAAAACTGTAAAAATTCGAGAATATTTATAAATAAATATGTATACAATTTTTTTTTCATTGATTTCTTTTATCTTACTTTATATTAATATTAAATTAATTATCAAATATCAATCAAAATTATGATAAGTAAGGAATAAAATATAATATATTTTTGTTTTCTATAAATATTAGATTGTATCTATTTTTCTTGAATTATTTTTATTCTACACACAATTTAAAACTAATATTCTTATCTTTAATTCAATTAAATTTAATATATATTACTAGGATAATTTTTGATATTTTAGATATACTTTGTCTATGGTTATGAAAATAGTATTATATCTAATTGATTATTGTTATTAATCTATATTTTTGAGATCAAAACAAAATTGTTTATTTTTCTGGATAGATTAATAATGATAACTTTATTTAATTAATTTCAAAAACAAAAGATATTTTGAATTGAATAGATCATTATATAGTTACAAATAAATTAGGAACAAGGACTCTGTTTTTTAATAAACATATTTATGGAACATAGAATTATTAAAAAGAAAGAGAATAAAGATGTTTATTGTTATTTAGTGGTTGATTTACCTAGTTCAAAGGTATTGATTATGTTCTCTAATTAATTAATATTTTGAATCCCATCATTTTTGGGTACGACTTAACAACAATAATATACATCAGAATGATTAGTAAAGGAAATAATTAAGAAGTTGAACAATAAGTTAATCTAAAACATCATAATAAGAAGTATTGGAGCTCTGAAGAAGATACAAAATTGTACTCTGCTGTAATTTTACATGGATCAAATTGGAAGATTATAGCAGAATATCTATCTGGAAGAAATGCTTCATAATGTGCATAAAGATGGAAGAGAATTAAGCCTAAAGAAGTAAATATATAATTAAATATAAAAGAATGAAAGAAATTAGAAGTGGAGTAAAGAAGAAGATGATGAAGTACTAAGACTTACCAAAAATTACTAATATAATTGGAGAGCAATAGCTCAATATATCCCAAATAGAACTGGTCGATAAATTAGAGAGAGATTTGTCAATCATTTAGATCCTAATATTATTAAATCACCTTGGACTTAAGAAGAAGATAAATGGATCTGGAATATGTATTAAAATATTGGTACTAAATGGTCAGATATGTCTAAATAGTTATCAGGAAGACCTGTATATATATTTTATATACTAAATTTTAGGAAAATATGATAAAAAATAGATTTTATTCTTATATTAGAAAATAATATGGGAAAATATAAAATCCGTATTATGTAGTACCTAATAATGTGAGATTTTTAGAGAAGGATTCAACGAGAAAGAGCAAGATAATTAAAAAAATTAAAAAATTAAGGAGGTTTTGTTAAATAAAGAAATCACAAGAAGTTAACAAAAATAAAGACTAATATCCAGTTTAAATTGAATTAAAGGTTGAATAAGATTAATATCTAATGAGTAAAGAATTTTTTAGATATGAATACTAATAATAATAATAAGCCTAATAATAATACTATCCATTAATACCAACAGAATTTTAGAAATTTCAATTCCCTTAAATTATTTATCCTTGTTAATTTGTTACTACATCTAATTTTGGATCTGAGTATTATGCATTAATAAACTCATAAGATATTTTGAATTGTTAAAAAGAATAAATAAATTAATCTACATTTTCTGATATGACTAAATCATAGAATAATGAAATAGGATGTTTACCAACTTTGAATCTTTAAATGATCGGATTTTAATAAATTTAATAAAATTAAATAGTCACTAAAGAAGAAGAAGAAGAAGAGAATAATTAAAATCCAAAAATTTTAAATAAAATAACTGATAAATCATTCCCTCTTTAAATTAGAGCAGATATTATAGAAGAGTTACAGAAAAAGAATTTAGAATTCTAATTTAAATAATGAATAAATATATATATATATCGATTTTGTTATTTTGGTAAAGATCATATTCCGACTTTTGATTTAACGTATTATTCAAAACTTGGTTATGTTAATAGGCCGAGTGCTTACTTACTGATTTCAATTTCTTTATTATATTAAGCAACAGTTCTGTTATAGAGATCAGTTTCTGCAGCATAATTATCATTTTCAGCTTACAATTAAGCTTAAAGAGTAGCTCTATCATCTTTTCTTTATCCAACATATACAATAGTTTCTCCCAATTTTTCTATTATATAAAATAAAAATATTTACATTCATTAGCAGCAATTTCAGAATTTTTAATAAGAACTGCTCTTTAGAATTCAGCAAATTCTTTTTCTAATTAAGTAACTCTTTCAGTGAATTTAGATTCAGCAGCACTTTCATCAGCAGTTTCTTGATTTAATGTGTCAACAAATTGAACTCTTAATTCATTGAAAATCTTAACCAATTATTAGATAGATCCTTAATCAGCAAAGTTTTATTCTGTTGCCAATTCAAGTAAAGCTTTAATAATAGGAGCAAATGAAGAATGATTTTAGAAAGATGTTTAGATTCTTTCCAAATTAGATTATACTCTTTTGAATTAAACAAGAGATGGATTCGTAATCTAAGATAATAGTCCTAATGATTCATCAACTGCACCAATAGCTTCATTAATTTCAGCAATATTAGATAAGAATTATTCATGTTATTTCTTTCTATTAACAGTTTCTTAATCAAGTATTCTTCTATTTTCTTCAATATTAATTTTTAATTAAGCTAAAGCATCTTAAAATCTTTATTTTTATGGAATAAGAACATTATCAATGAAATCTTCACCATTAAAAATATCTAATAATATTTAATAACAAATAACCTCTATCAGCATCTTGTATTTCTTATTCATATCTTGTTACATCTCTATTATGTTCATCTGTTCTTCTGGAATAAATATGATGAATGTCATCTAATTCTTCTTCTAATTAATCAATTAATTAATTTATAGCTTCAACCAATTCTGTCAAAGCACCACCACTTCCCAATTCTACTTCTGCAAATTCTAAAATAAAAGAAGCCCATTTAGATTCTCTCAATTTACTTAACACTTCTTCTTAGTGTTTTTCCATATTGAGTTCTACACTCAATACACTCAATACTAAACAAACCAATATTCCTGTTCTCATTTATTATAAATAATAAAAACGACTATTAAGATTTATTAATTAAATATGTTTAATCATAATTATTCTAATATATTTAATTACTCAAGATTTACCGTTGTCTATTTTTGAATCTTATATTCTATTATTCAANAGAGTAGCTCTATCATCTTTTCTTTATCCAACATATACAATAGTTTCTCCCAATTTTTCTATTATATAAAATAAAAATATTTACATTCATTAGCAGCAATTTCAGAATTTTTAATAAGAACTGCTCTTTAGAATTCAGCAAATTCTTTTTCTAATTAAGTAACTCTTTCAGTGAATTTAGATTCAGCAGCACTTTCATCAGCAGTTTCTTGATTTAATGTGTCAACAAATTGAACTCTTAATTCATTGAAAATCTTAACCAATTATTAGATAGATCCTTAATCAGCAAAGTTTTATTCTGTTGCCAATTCAAGTAAAGCTTTAATAATAGGAGCAAATGAAGAATGATTTTAGAAAGATGTTTAGATTCTTTCCAAATTAGATTATACTCTTTTGAATTAAACAAGAGATGGATTCGTAATCTAAGATAATAGTCCTAATGATTCATCAACTGCACCAATAGCTTCATTAATTTCAGCAATATTAGATAAGAATTATTCATGTTATTTCTTTCTATTAACAGTTTCTTAATCAAGTATTCTTCTATTTTCTTCAATATTAATTTTTAATTAAGCTAAAGCATCTTAAAATCTTTATTTTTATGGAATAAGAACATTATCAATGAAATCTTCACCATTAAAAATATCTAATAATATTTAATAACAAATAACCTCTATCAGCATCTTGTATTTCTTATTCATATCTTGTTACATCTCTATTATGTTCATCTGTTCTTCTGGAATAAATATGATGAATGTCATCTAATTCTTCTTCTAATTAATCAATTAATTAATTTATAGCTTCAACCAATTCTGTCAAAGCACCACCACTTCCCAATTCTACTTCTGCAAATTCTAAAATAAAAGAAGCCCATTTAGATTCTCTCAATTTACTTAACACTTCTTCTTAGTGTTTTTCCATATTGAGTTCTACACTCAATACACTCAATACTAAACAAACCAATATTCCTGTTCTCATTTATTATAAATAATAAAAACGACTATTAAGATTTATTAATTAAATATGTTTAATCATAATTATTCTAATATATTTAATTACTCAAGATTTACCGTTGTCTATTTTTGAATCTTATATTCTATTATTCAAGTATCTAAAATTAATAGAAGAAACTATATTTAAGAAATGAAATATGTAAATTTATCGTATAAATATAATTAATCTTAAAATAATTTATATAATTTTCATAATTAAATAAAAATTTGACATCTCTAAATGAGCAATGCATTTAAATAGGCTGGAAACACTCTCTCAAAAGGTAATGATTTGGGATAGACTGGACAGAGCTTTGCAGGATCTTAAAATCCAGCATCTTTAAAAGGGAAACTAATGAGTTTAGAAGTAATGAAACTGATACCATATTTTATAATAGGAAACAATCAAAGGTATTCAAGATGAGATGAATTTCCATAAGAAAGAAGTTTAAATATTAAAATCTGAGAAAGACACTCTTGAATCTGTTTTAAGTATGAAAACTTAAGATGTCAAAAAAACATTAACTAATGAATTAATGAGAATAGAAGAAGAAATGAAACGGTATTCTAATTTAATAAAATAGACATTTCGCCCATCAAAAAGCAGAGAATTCTAGATTATAATAATAAATTACTGCTCTTAAAGGAGAAAAAACTGCCCTCCAATAATAATTACTTGGACTTTAAAGAAGAATTGCTGAATTAGAACTCCAAGTTGGATAAGAGTAGGCATGATTATTTGTCATTATCAATATATATACATTTTTATTATCTATAATTATATTAATACTGATATCATAAGATCAATATCTAAAATTCTTATCAATTTAGATACAAGCATCTTCTAATAGTTTTAATAATGCTTCAGTAGTGCTTTCTCTTTCTCTTCTCTCAAAATTGATGTCTTATTATAATTTACCATGCACATCTTCTATCATTCTAAAAATCTTTCCTTAAGTTTCCTCTCTAACTTTCTTTTCAATCAACAATTGATCTGAGAACTTATTAATTTCTTAATCAATTTGTTCACTCAAACTTTCTGACGATTCTTCTCTAAAGATATCAAACAAAAATCAAGTACCTTGATCTTCTTTCTTAATCCAATTAATTTTTAACCAATTAAATTTATTAAAGTACTTCTGCAATCTTAGCTTAACTTCTATCTTCATATTAATGATTATTTCTAGTTATTGTCAAAGTGATCTAAGTGAATCTCTCATCAATTTATTTTTGCAATTTAGTTTCTCCTTATCCTCTAATATTTCTTTCTTAATCAAAAGATAAAGCTATATTATCAGATAAAGTTCTAAAATCTCTTTCCTTCTTATCATCAAAACCCTAAAGTTTATAAATATAAATAATACCTCTCTTTCTGCCTTTTGATTATGGGCATAATCTTATAATTTAAGAACTTGATCCTTTAAAACTTTGAATTTTTATTCATCTTTAGGTTTTTCTGAAGATAAAACATCCTCTATAATTTTTATTCTTTCCTCCAAGACTTCTCTTTTCTCCAATTTATCCTTATCTATTCCATTTTATATATGATTCCATTTATCAGAAAGAAGCTTAATCCTTTATCTAGATGGTGAATCAAGATCTTAACTCAAATAATTAACTGTTGATCTTTATGGACTAGATAATAATTATGATCTTTAAAGTTTTGATGTTGATAACTTTGAAGTTGACAATAACATTCAATAATATTTTGCAAATAAATTTATTTATGTATATATTAGAATATCTATAAAATTCTCTTATTGATTATTATCTTATACATTAGTTATTTGATTGGATAATAAATGAAATCATAACAAATTAATATCAACTCTTCATATTTCTTGATAAACTTTTTAATCTTAATTTTATTTTAATATTTTCTTTGAAAATGTAATAGATTTAATAAAATTGGGTTGGGAAATTAATCAATGCAGCAACAACAGAGAATCCAAATAGAAATTATAGAATAGAAAATGTCTTAGGTTAAGGGTCTTAAGGATCAGTCTATTTAGGCAAACATATTATTAATAACTTTTAATAAATTGATGTAGCAATTAAAATATAATCATATATGAGTGAATAAGAAATTCAATTCTTAAAAAGTTTAATTCAATATCAAAATTAATATGAAAATAATAAACAAAATTTACAAAATTATAACCCTTCATATATAATTAGAATATTTGACTTCTTTCAACATAATAATGATTGGATCCTAGTTATGGAATTAGGCACTTAAGACCTGTATAAATTTATTTAATCCAAACATTAACTTCCAATTTAATAATTAGGATAACTATTAAAATAAGTAATCTTTTATATTTAATTAGATTACAAAATCTATCTCTTTTTTACATGATAAGTAACTTATACACAGAGACATTAAGCCAGAAAATTATATTAAAATAGGAGATGAATATAAATTAACTGATTTTGGATTAATCACTACTTAATTTAGATAGAAAACTACTAATGTTGGAACTGTATTATATTAAGCTCCTGAACTTATTTCTAATCTTAATAATTATACATAAGCTATTGATATATGGTCTTTAGGTTGTATATTCTATGAAGTACTTTCTGGATAAACTTTGATTTAAGGAACAACTTAAGATTAAATATAGAAAATGATTTTAGCTCATAAACAGGATTGCACTTTAATTAATTAAAGAATAAATTCATTAAATTGTAATAAAGATATAAAAGATATGATAATTTGTATGATGGATCCAAATCCTTTAAATCGATTAAAAACTTAACAAATTATAGAAATATTAGATTCTAAATTCTCCTTCTAAAAATTTCCAATAATAAATTAATTTCCACAATAATTAAATATTCCATTTGCTTAAAATAATTAATTCCCACTTCAATATTAATAAATACAACAATAATAATAAGGAATAATTATGCAATTTAATCAATAAAATTAATCATAATAATAATAATTATTAGTGGATATGTAAAAGTAATTATCATAATAGTAAATTTTATTAGAAAGTATAACAACCAATTTTAAATTTCTTGTTGGAATTGTAGAAGATACTAAATATATGATGAATAAGATTAAAAAAGGATAAGAATAATAAAGAATTGAAATCAATCAAATTAAAAATGATATAAGCGTTGAAATTTAAAATATTATTAATGTTAAACTTGATGTTTATTAAAATAATATAATATCTAAAATAGATAAAATTTGTGAAGAATAAGAAGTGATCAAAGTTAATTAATAAGAATTACTACTTCAAAAAGATTAGGATTTCATAACATAATTTTAAGAGTCTATCAATGATAAATTTAAGAATATAGACAAATTTATGATAAGCATTCAGTCAATTTTGAAAGAAAACAAATTAGAAAAAAAAGAAATCAAAAATTAAGTATAAATTTTAAATTATTAAATGAATGAATAGTTGAAGTAAAACCATAGTGAATACTAATTTGAAAAGAATATCAATGGCAAAAAATTTGATGAAAATTTGATAACTAAGTTAAAATAAAAAAATAATCCACAAAAAAAGGATAAATAATAAGTATCAAAAAATGAAGATTAAGAATCAAATAAATCTAATTAAAATAAACAGTAACAAAATACTATACATAATAAAAATATTATTAGGATTGGTACCTAATAATATCAAACTAAAAATTAATAACAAAAATAAGGTAGATAAGCATAAATATACGATGATGGCGATAATGATTAAGATATATAATCTATAAATAATTGAAAAATGTTTTATATTATATTTTATTTATCAAAATACAAATGAGTATTTGGATTAATTTTTATAAAGTATATAGTATTAAAGTATTACAATAAATTTAAATGTATAATAAATCATAATTTTATTATGTTTCTTAAACAACCTTTGATACAGTCTCTTGCAAATGGAATATAACTGGCCACATACCATGTATATGAACAGAACTCAGTCAATAGAAATATCAAAACTAGAAATTTTGATTTAAATAAATAAACTGAAAGAAAGATCATTACTAGAGAAGAAGCAAAGATAATGGATGTCATTTTTCTTTCATTGTCAATCATATTTTCAAATTATTTTTTAAATCCTATTAGAAATGCTGTTCTATAATAATTAATATTTAAGAATACCCAAACAATGCTAAAATATTTCCTAAACTATATGTAAGTGCAAATTTATTAGGACTACCACCCAAAATTCCAATAAAGGATCCAAAACTCAATATTTAAATAAAATATCCTTTTCTATGAAATTTATTACTTACCTAAAATAGAGCAGAATGCAAATCCCATTAATCTTTCCTTATAAGTAAGTGATGGGAATAGACTTTCATTTTCATTTTTAGGTTTCATAGGTCCACCAATATCAAATATCTACATCATTTTTTATTTATGTAAATTAATATAAAGCTCTTAACAAAAACAGGATGTACTTTATGTTAGAAACCAATTTTTATTCTAAAAAGATTGAAAACTCATTATGAGAATCATCTTAGAATATTATCAATTAATATTGACAACAGAAAAGAATATGAATAATACATAAACAAGGTGCCTGTAATTTTAATCAATGAGAAACCTATTTGTGAAATGAAAATATATGAGGGTTTAATTAGATAAGAAATAGAGAATATACTATAATAAAAATGAATTATTATGAATAAGATAATTGTAAACCATCATATTATTCTATCTTCTTATTAATTTTTTAAGTTTCTGAATTGAAATTCTTATTAATTCTTAATTGATTAAATATTTATATGAAAACATTCTAATAATAAAATTCTTAATAAAACATAATTAGAATCAATTATTTATAATATAATAATAAACAATTTTATTTACAAAAAATGAATAGATTATTTTCATTAATACTTTTTTTTCAATTCTTCATATTTCTATAAATCTTATTCACTCACTGAAGGTCTAATACATTTCAAGGCTTCTCTTAAATCTTCAATAGCTAATTCCATTTCATTCAACCCACTCTTAATAGTTCTTTTTGTTGCATAAATAGTAGCTTAACTTACTAATCCATAAAAATCAGCTCCAGTCATATTGTTTGGTATTTCATCAATAATTTCATCAAATTTATCACTTTTAGTAAGTGCTCTTAATATTTTAACCCTACTTTCTTTATCAGTTTTAATGCCTAGATACATTAATTTATCAAATCTTCCTGGTCTTAATAAGGCTGGATCCAATAAATCTGGTCTATTTGTAGCCCCTATAATAAATATTCCATCTGATAAATTATCAATTTCAGTTAATAATTAAGCAACAATTCTATCCATAACTTAATTAGAATCACTTTAATTTCCTCTTGCTGGAGCCAAGGCATCCAATTCATCAAAAAATACAAGTGAAGGTGCATTATCTTTAGCTTTTTTGAATAAATCTCTTATATTGGATTCACTTTAACCAATATATTAATTCAACATTTCAGGTCCTTTAACAGAAATAAAATTCATTTTCATTTCACATGCAATACATTTAGCCAATAAAGTTTTACCTGTTCCAGGTGGACCAAAAAATAGTATTCCTCTTCTTGGTTTTACAAGTTCATCAAATAATTCAGGATACATTTGTGGTAATATAATAGTTTTTGCAACTTCTTTGATTGCACCTTCCATTCCACCAACATCATCCATCTTTGTTTTTGATGAAATTGTTTAAGCTATTAATTGAAAATATTATTATTACTTTTTAATTTAGATTCTAATTCTTTAACAAAATTCTATTTATTTTAAATAATTTCCTTTTCTAATACTCTCCATGTTGTTTCTCTTAATAATTATGATATTTCATCTTCATTCTATTCTAATTGATAAAATTCAATTAATTATTTTGAAACATTTGTTTATGGATAAAATTTTATATAAAAATCAACGAATGATTTTAAAATTGGATAAGTACTAAAGTCTTCATTAGATAATATTAAGATCACATTTTTTTATTTTTTTATTCTTTTTATAATCTTAATCATTTCATTACTAATATCATCTTTGCTCACATGTTATTTATTAAGTAATAAAACCTATTCAATTTTTGAGAAATTCCTTAACAAAAGTATGCAAGGAGAATCTTAAATTTTTAATATCAATTTTTCAGTGAATCTTAAAGAACTAATCAAACCAAAATCTTTTTCAAAATACAATATTCCATTCTAATTTGCTATTTATTTCAATAAAATTCTTTTTCCTAAACTAAACTATATAAAATATAAATGCTTACTTCTTTCTACTTTCAACTCCTATTGATATTGATTTATGAAGTCTTATGATATCATTTATTTATTTTTTGAAATTATCATAATCTCCTAATTGATATACAATATCTTAGAATTTCAAATCAAGAGTTGATTTAATTACATGAGAATAAGAATATTCATCTTAAAATTTGATATTAGTAACTTTAAAATCAAGAATGTACCAATCATTCTATTTTTCTGCTTAAATCTTATCAATATGAATATAGACATATTGATCTCTTAATAAATTATTTAATTGACAACAATTAGTAATTTTGGATCTACATTTAGTTGATATTTCACAATTCTACAGTCTATTTTCAGATAATACAATACTATAATCTTTAAAGCAATTGTTCATCATTTAATGTACCTTTGATTATAAGTTTTTCTTTGATCATAATTGGAACATGAAACAAAGCCTTTAAAAATTTTTGGGTAATTAATCTTGAATTTTCATTGTTGATCTAAGAGATTTATTAAATATAATTACAATTGATAATGTGACTTCTTTACATATTGGTATGTTAGGAAAAAAATTATATCTAAAATTTTTATCATCATATTAATAAGGAGAGTGATTTGCTTTAACAAAATGGACATTTTAAGGATCTTTTAATTATAAGTACAAATGTTAAGATATATAAATTTGATTATCTTTGATTTCATCATTACAATTAATCATAATAGTTAAGTGATTATCTAAATATATATATCCATATGCTAATATATTAAAGTGATCCATTATATTCCTTGAAGCTTAAATAATATATTATTCATTAATATTATTAGTATAATTTATTTGTCTGGGTGTTAGAACAAACATTTGATTATTATTTGTTAAAAAAAATAAATAATTCAAAATAATCAAAATGTTTTCCATTTATTTTTATCATAACAAGACCTGATCATTTGATCATCTTTTAAAAGACACATTATTTTATTAGAATAATAAATAGGTTATGTTAGAAAATATGCTTATTATGGAATAGGATGTTAAAGTTAATAATATAATTTAGGTTAAAATTCTAAAGTAATAATAAATATTAAAATACTTATCTAATCTTAATCAAATTCTTCTTCTTCTTCAATTTGAATCATAAATCCTTGATTAATAGTTTAAAATGATTATTTTTATAGTATTTAACCACCAAATATATATATCATATTAGAATTAAGAATTTAAATAGAAGTAGATAAAATAGTATGTAATGGATATTATGTATGATTAGTAGTGTTTTCTACTCTTTCCCAACAATCTTATTCTATAAAATACAATTCTAATAAGCCTTAACATTATTTTCTTAAATCTTCACCTTCAGTATTAGCAATTAAACCACCAAATTTAACAATTAATTTATTATTATATGTACATGTTGAATGTAAAGTTGATAACTCTGTTAAATGACTTATAATTATTAATTAAATTATACTTAATTAATGTAATTTAATTAGTATTTATATTATATTTTTCACATTTAGCTAAACAACCTTCTTTATAATTTTAACCTCCAATAATAAATATATCTTTATCTACTGTACAAGATAATGAAAAGTTCTTTCTTAGAGTATACATTCTAGTCTTTTTAATGAATGATAATTATGGATGATCATATTAATAAATAGTTTTATTTTCATCATCATTTTAACCATTATCATATCCTGAAAAATAATATATTTAACCATCTGATGCCAAAATAGATCTACTACCTTAAGATATAAGAAAATCAATTTCAAGTTCAACTTTTGTTATTTATGGATTTTATTGTTTTAAATCTAAATAATACAAAAATTTAGTTCCAGGTTCAAAATAATGTAACCATGATCGATAAAATGAATATTCTTAAGTACCTTAAATTGTATTTTTCATTTCATCTAATTTTTCAGGAGCATAACTTAAAAACTTTTAGAAATTCTTAATAGATTTCTATTTAGTTTATTGTGCCTATAGAGTCATTTAATTAAGACTCTCAATTTAAGAACTTAACTTATTTTTTTCATATATCACTAATTATTCTAATTCTTTCTAAATCACTCCAATAAAATGTAAGGCTACATCATCATCTATTCTACCATAAAATTTTTAATTAGCTCTTTAATATATAAGTGATTCCAATCTATTTTTCTGATATTATACTTAATAATCCAAATCTGTAGACATCACTTTCTTTTGAGTATCAATTGAATTGATATCATTTTAAAATTATCTAATTTATGTTAATTAACCTTAGATTTGATCATATAAAGCATGAATACTCTATTTTACTTTATATTCAAATTTATCTCTCAATCCTTAGATATATTTGTCAAATAATTTATGAATCTATTATCTTATTGATTCTATTTCTAAAATAATCTCATCAATATTGCTATTAACTGATGTTATTAATGCATTTGCTGCTCTATTCTCCGCTAATTCCAATTCCTCTTTTACCATATTCAAATTCTTCTCCACTTATTATTTACATTCTTATATTGTTATTGTGAACTATTTATTTTAATATATTTAATTCTTTTTATGTCTACTTTCATGATTCACTTTGCAATCATTACATAATCGTTTATATTTAAAACAATCTGGATGTATGCAACTGTCTCTTAATAATATGAATTTACATGTAGGTAAAGTCTTTCTAATGTAACTTGCACTTATCCTCCATTACTATAGAAATTAATTAATTACAATATTAACAAAAATAATAAATTTATTAATTCAATCATTCATTTTCTAAATTATAACAATTACTTTTCTATTAAGAACAACTCTGCTATAATTTATTTTTAATTGCCAATTATTTTATGAAATTACAATATCCTGGACATTCTAATTCTTATAATTTACTCCATGTACAAAATGATAAATTGCTTTTATTCTTCTTTCTTTCTTATATTTATTCTTAATTCTCAATATATTTTTATGAATCCTCACTATTATGTAATTATTTATTATTCATTTTACATTTACTCATACTTGTAGAACAATTTCTAATAAAAAATATTTTCATATATTTATCTTTTGTGTCCAATACTTCTTTTTTCTTTCTTGCATCTGCAGATGCTGTAAAATTGAATTAATGTGGATACTTATTCAATAACTCTTTAACTGCCACCTCTTATATTTAATTCAATTATCTTTATGATTCTCTTGAAACTTTTTATGCATCTTCTTTTGATTATGCTAATAATTTAATTTCAAAGAATTTGTTTATTTTAGATGAATTCATTAATGTTATTGGATCTTTTGGAATTTTTTAAAAGAATTCATTAGGCTGCTTCTTCAATTTCTCCAATTTTTATAATATTCTATCATCCCATATTGTATCCGATGTTTATAATGCTTGGTAGTCACAAGTCTCATTTCTTTATAAGTCCTATAAGAATTTTACTTCAGGTTTTTTTATTTTTCTTTTTATATGCTTATTGATCAATACTTTCTAGTTTCTTTAGGCTTTTATTTTATTTCATCCTAACTTTATGAATGCTTTTATAAACCAGAAAGAATATGTTTGAATTCTATTCTTTGTAATGGAACTGGTATTCTTTAATTGTAATAATACATTTCAATAATAATATTTTCCTTATTTTATTAAATGTATTCAAAAATATAATATAATTTAATTAACTTGAAAATTATTATTATAAATATCTTAAAAATATCTCAAAATGATAATCATATTTGTTTTATAATTATGATTCAAAATAACTATTACTATTTATTATTTTGATAAATCTTAAATTTATTTAATTCTTAATCTAATTTTATATTCTTTTGTTATTATTATTATTAAATCGACTATTAAATTTTTAAGTTTTCAATTGCTTTTCTTTTTTCTTCTATTTATTTTTTTAATTATTCAATATCAATTTACTATTCTTTTAATATTTATTCTTCATTTTTTAAAGAATTCAATTCATTTTGATAATTTTGTCCCATATAAATTTTTGCTGTCAACTATTAAATACTTTCTTAAAGTTCTTGTATTTGATTAGGTAATTCTAAAAAATAATTTATTTTGTTTTCTAATTTTTATTTTTCTTCTTATAAATTTGAATATAGTGAAGATAACTAATCGAATTTAGAAGCTATTATTTCATTATTGGATTTTTCTATTTGATTTTTGAGATTTTGAATTTCCTGCTATAATTTATCATACTTTTATTTTTAGGTTTCTTATTTTAAATTTTCTGTTTCATAAATTTTTATTTAATTTTCTAAAATGCTAATTTAATTTTGATCTATATTTTTCTTTTCTTCATTAATTTTTTTTGTTAGTTCTGATATTTTTTTTTTCAGTGAATCTTGATAGTATATTTGTTTTTCTACTTCTTAATTCTCTTTTATTAATTCCTCTAATTAATAATTTAAATTCTTATATTATTCAAGTTATTTTTTGGATTTCTCCAAATTTTCTAAAGCCTTTTAAATTTTTAATTTTTCACAAATTAGTTCGTTGTTTTCATTTATTTTATTCTAAATTGCATCATAATCCTAATTGGCATATTGTTACTTCATTTATTAAGCTAATTGTTAAGTTATTGTTTACATCACTTATTATTAGTTACCCAAATTCTTTTCAACTTAGGCTATCAAATTTTCAAATTCAAAAATAATTTACATGGTTTATTCTTTATCTTATTATAGTGAGTTGATATTTATCCAATTCTTTAATATTTAAATAAAATTCTTGGTTTCATTTAACAAATTTACTTAGTCTTTAGTACTTGAATAGTGCTAAAATGATTGCACTGAATTTTGTTGTTTTTGAGTGAATCGGCCTTGATGTTATAGCGATAAATTCTATTGCCCTTGATTTTATTGGAATTGATTCTATTGCCCTTGATTTTATTGCAATAAACTCTATCGCCCTTGATTTTATTGGAATTGATTCTATTGCCCTTGATTTTATAGCGATAAATTCTATTGGCCTTGATTTTATTGTAATAGATTTTATTGGAATTGATTTTATTGTGCTTGGAGGGATGGTTATACTATTTCACTTTTTTTCAACAAATCTTATGCATCATTTGCAGTTATTCTTTGATAAGGATCTGGATGAAGCATGCTTTTGATTGTTTGCTTCCATTTGTTAGAAATCATAAGTCTCTCAATTTTATTGAATAATGAGGATTGATCTAATTTATGATTTAAGATTAATTTTTCTATCTCATGTGTATTTATTGCTATTAAATATTTTGATTAATTACTTTCAAGCAATTTCTATCCTGAAATAATTTCATAAAACACAAAAGCCATGGCCCAAACATCAACAGACATTGTATAATCTGATTTTCCTTCAATTAATTCAGGTGCTTGATAAAACTTTGTACCAACAAACTTAGTCATGTATATTTCATCTTGATTGAAGAACTTAATAAATCCAAAATCAATTAATTTAACTTATTGGTCAATAAATAAATAATTTTCTGGTTTGATATCCCTATGAACTAGTTTTTATTTATGTAAAAAGACTATTGATTATAAAATCTAATAAAAATAAATTTAATACTTATAAACAAATTGATTACTTTTACTAAATTGATAATATTTTTTTATTCTATTCCATATATTTAAATAGGTCAATATTTCCTAATTCCATTACTAAAACTAAATAAAAAGAATAATCAAAAAAATCATAAATTCTTATAATGTTTGAAGCTTGATAATTAGAGCTATTATAATTTTCATATGTATTCTAATAATCTATAATTTGTTTATAAAACTATCTAGCATAATCTTTAGTAAAAGTTGAGAATTTTAAAGCAACTTTATTCTAATTTAAACACCAATTTATTGGAATTGCTTCATAAACACTACCCTCTGATCCTTATCCTAAGAGTTTTGACAATTTAAACTATCTATTAGTATACTATCCTGAAGGTGCTGATATTATTGTGCCGACATCTATTTAGTTAAACTAATTCTATTAAAACATAATTAAATAATATTAGAATAGATTTAATAAATTCTTCCTTAAGATTTAATTTTTTTCTAAAACTTTTTTAAATTTATAAAATTAGAAGTCAAACTAGATGAACTGATATTTAGTTTATTGTGTTATAGTATTGGTTGATATATTTTTTTGAAATTCTATCAAAAATAAATAATTAATTTTTATTGATACAAATTGCAATAAATGATTTTTGGAAATATTAAGTATTTATAAATTATTGTATTAAAAAAGAAAGTATGATTTTTTTTGAATCCTACATTGCTTGGGGCAAGTGAGGATTTTACAATATAAATCAAAAAATTTGTAATAAGTACCATTAAATGATTAATCAATCAATTTAACTTTTATTTTGCAGAAGCTAACTCAATGAGAACATTCGATTTTATTATTAGGAATTAGAAACACTACTTAATAATTAGTTTATATAAAATATTTTTTATCTCATAATTGCCTATTTTATATCTCTGAAAAAAACTAGAATCTTTCATTGTACTTACTAGTAATTCTTTCTAGTTAATTTTCTTTAAAATGTTTCAATTTTTAATTTAATTTATAATTCAATTCTCTAAAATATCTGTGAAGAATAATACTAATAACTATTGAAGCTAAAACTTTGAAATATTTAATCAATTTGTAAAAACATAAATTATATGTGGCTTCTTCATTTCTAAAAAATCTATTAACAAACAAATAATAATTAGATTTATTAGTAGTTCTTATTAGTCTAGCTAGAATTACATAAAATCTAATAATTAATTAAAGATTTCAATAGTTTACAAACTAATATGAGTTTTTTGTAATTTTTATTATAGAAATGTAATTAATATTTTATTTCATATATTATGATTACATAATTGAAAAAAATAAATAAAAAGAATATAAACTATATAATTGTTCTAAATAATGTATTATTATAATTTAAATTATAATAAGATATCCAAAATAGTGTTAATATTACTTAAATTTATATGATCACATGATCTTTTTTTGAAATTCAATAAATTTAATTTATATACAATATAATATTTTATTGATTAATGTTCAATATAGTTTTATTAGTGGTTCTAGTGTTAGAGATTTAAGCTGATAAATTAGTATAAATTCAAGCATTATGGAGACATGGTGCAAGAACACCAATCTTTTGTAATTGGAATTGTATGTATTTCAGAAGTCATGAAATGCTTGAAGGTTATTTAACACCTACAGGAATGAGGTAACATTATGTCTTAGGATAATGGATGAGAGAAAAATACATTGTTAAAAACAAATTATTAAGTGATACCTTTAATGCATCAGAAATTACAATTTATGCCACAGATGTTAATCGTACAATCATGAGTGCAATGAGTAATTTCTAAGGAATGTACTCAAATAATGGTCCTAATGTTCCTAATAATGTAGAAGAGTCATTTCTTAAACCCCCTAATCCAAATGCTAAACCAGATGATGATATTGGATAATAAGCAATTAAGCATTAGATATAAGTTCTTCCAATTCATATGAGAGCAGCTCTTACTGATATTCAATTAAGAGCTTATGGAGCACCATAATGTGCATAAGCTGCCAAATTTTAGATTGAAAATCAACATACAGAACTTGTAAAAAATGTAAGTGTCAAAGCTCATGATACAATAATTCAATTTTGTAATGAAATGAATATAGATCCAAATAATTTCACCATCTTCAACATGTCTGAATACATGGATACATTCTATTCAAGTATTTATAATGATTATCCAATGCCTCCTAATTTAAAAAAAGAAACCTATGATAAAGCAGATGCAGCATATTCATTGACAATTGCATTGAAATTATATTAGACTTGGAAGTATATAAATTTATATTCTTAGATAAATTACAACTTAATCAGCTCCATTTTTCGATTAATTATTCGATTATACAGAGAAGGCCTTAAGTAAAAGTGAAAATACTAAATCATTCAAATATGTAGTATACTCAGCTCATGATGTTACAGTATAATTAATTGCCTCTGCATTAAATATTACATCAGCTGAATGCATGGCTCAAGTATATCTAGGTTAGGAAGTACAAAATAAAAATTGTATCTATACATATCCAGGATTTGCTTCAAATATTATTTGGGAATTATGGCAAGAAGATACTACAAACGAACCTTACTTTAAGATACTCTATAATGGTACAGAAATGAATTTGTGTAATAAGAATTCAACCAAATGCTTCTATAAAGAATTCAAAGAATTAATCTTAGCTTAAAAGGGAGATTTTGAAAAAGATTGTGATATTGAAATAGAACCAATTGTATAATTTTAATATATCCATAGATTGAATATAGAGTTCCTGTTTGGATGACAACACTTACTATTATATTTATTGTAATCATTGTTGGATTTTGTTTTTATGGCATATACTTGTACAAGTAAATAAGATAGGATAAAACTTTGTTAAGTTAAAACATGTGATATTTGAGATTTAATATATAAAATTATCAAAATTTGCATTTCTAATTTATCAACCAATTCTATTTTCCCTCTTAAAATTAACAATATATTAAATTATTTATGATAAAAACTACATAAACTCCACTCAATAAAGAAGAACAAAGACGCTTAAATTAAATAGTTTAATAATTACTAGACTCTAATGACAGCGTAGAATTTAGACAACCAGTGGATTACAAAGCATTAAATTTACATGATTATATTACAATTGTCAAAAAGCCGATGGATCTTGGCACTGTCTAAAGAAAATTAAATAGCAACACTTACAAAACAGTGGAAGAATGCTTGGATGATATTCAACTTATTTGGGATAATTGCAAATTGTATAATGGTTCATAGAGCGTAAATATTAATAAAAATAATCAAGTGGATTACTAAAATAGCAGAAAAATTAGAGAGATTATTTAAGAAAAATGTTAGAAACTATTTACCTCTTGTAAATCTACCACAATTTGTGCCTAAATAAAAAGAAGCAGGGGCAGGGGCTGATGTATTCTAGGAGGAACCCTAAGATTAAGTGAGTTACAATGACAAAGTTGAGTTTTCTAATAATCTAAAACAATTGGCTCCTGAATAAATTGGACTTATAGTTCATATGATCTAGAATACATCTCCAAATGCATTCATTGAGATAGAAGGAGAAAAATATTAAATCATAGTAGACTACATTGAATATGAAGCATTTGTTAAATGTTAAAAGTAAATACAAACTTGGATTGCAGGTGATTCAATCAACAAGAAAGTGAAAATTTGACATATTTATATATAATTAAATATTTGGAATAAAAATATATTATATAAAATATCATTTTCTAATTCCTAAATATATTTGATTGAAAAGTACCACTGAAAACAACCATTCATATTGATATTTATGAAGTTGTTAATGAAATTATAATTCTAAGAAATCAGAATGCAATCAGTTAGATTTTACAAAATCAATAAAAATAAAAAATTCAACAACAATATATTCTCATTTAGCCCTAATATTCATAAATTATGATTGTGACTATTCATGTATTGTTGAATTTAAATATTCACTATATTATTAGAGGCATTTTATATATGAACTATTACTTTTCTTATTTCTGATATCCATAATTGGTATATTTTTAGCATAATCTCACTGAATTAAATAATGAGTTTACAATAACGATTCAATTTTTTAGTCTTTTAATCATTGTTTACATTTTTTATTTCTGGAATACTTAAAATATGATCTTCATGAAATATCTATTATTTTCCTAATAATTAATAGAATATGTAATTTAATAAAAAATTAACAAGATAGTAAATTGAAAACGAAGATGAAGATAGTATTCTAATTTCAATATTAAGGAAATAAATTGGCCTCTAAAAATTAATATTTAAATAGTTTCTAATAATTTATTTATCAGTTCAAAATGAATTATTAATAATCCATAACTTTACTTATCTATATTTAGATATTTCCTTTATTAAAAATTTGAAACCTTCATTTAATGAATAGATTTCTAATCTAATATTTCTTTCACCTAAAAATGTTGTTATAAATATTCAATTTAAATTTTGAGCGATTAAATAAACTTTTGAGTTGTCAAATTTATACAACATTCTTACAACCTCTTAGGGTATAATCTAATTATAAAATTATAAAAATTCTTTAAATCCTGGAATACATGGTTACTTTCCCTTTTTATTAAGTACTAATTTAAATTATTTACTATTTCTAATACATTTTTTGTCTTTGTTTTTTCTTCAATTTGCCATGCCTTTGCACTCAAGTAAGTTTTTAAATAAACCCTCAATTACCACTATTAGCTTATAGATAGCTTCTTTTAGTAAATTCTATTGAAATATAATTATAATTTAATTTTGGAAATTAAACTAATACCAACCAAGAAATTTAGAAATTATAAGGATATGAAACTGTAATTTTCGGTAATAAAAATTATTTCATCAAGTAATACATTATTCCTGATAATTATTCTGTAGCAAAAGGAGTTAATTTATAAAATTTTTCTTAATTCTAAATATTTTTGTATTACTTATTAAATCTATCTTAATCTTAATCTATTTTAATCATATATTTCATTCTATTATTCTAAATCTTCATCCTTTCTTCCATTCACTTCAAATAATAGTCAACTATTAAATTCTAATAGTAATTTAACCCTGCCTTCAATAATTCCTGTTATATTTTTTTTTTGTTTAAGAATGTTTAACAGAGTTTAAATTTTAATTTATGATTCAAATTCTATCATTTTCTAGAGTCTTAATGCATGAGTTTTTTAAGTCATTCTATTCTTTCAAATATTTAATTATGTAGATGCTTTTTAAACTTCTTTATTTAAATTTATATGTTATATCTTCCAGCTATTTATTTTTCATTTATAAATCTATAGGTTAAAACCACATTCTTGCATTCCTTCAATATTTAAGAATAAGTAATTTTGCTCTTTCAAGAGTCTCTAAGTGATTAATGATAATCACTTTATATCTTGTATTCTATATTAATCAATCATTTCAATAATAAATTATAAATGTTAACTTTAACAATAAGCAAAATCAAAAATTTCTCCCACTTGGCCTCACAGTATTAGTTGGAAATTTTTTTTGTTCCTTCTCATATTATTCTTTTTCTTATTTTAATTTTGTTTCCTCATCTTGCATCTCTAATTTTAAATTCTTTTATTAATTTAATTATTTTATTTATTATTTTAATGATTATATGTTGTTTTGTATTGTTTCAAAGTTTTTTAATTCATTTTTTAATTTTTCAATATCTTATGAATACACTGCCTATTTTTCTCTTTCAATAGGTAATTCCCTAAGTTTAGCTTTCATTTAAAGTATTTCATTTTTTTTTTCATTGACATCTGCCTCTATATCTTCTAGTTATTTTAATTCTTTTACAAGTTCTTAAATTTATTTCTATTATTATTGAGATTAGGATTAACAAATTTATAATCTTTCAATTTCCTAATTGAGACTATCTATATATTGTTTATTTTTCTCTAGTTCATTCTAAATTAATTTTAGATATTCATGCTTAACCTTTAACTCTAATATTTCATCTTTTTATTTTATAACCTCTTACTCTTGAATTTATAATATATTGATCTCCTAGTTTAACTATTCAATTTTTTCTTGCTATTTTAATTTCTAAGTTTACAAGTAGCTAATTGTATTTATTTACTATTCTAATTTTAAAATCTTAATTTGATTATTTTCAATATCTTTCTAAAGTTAGATTTCATTACTATTTTTACATTGATCCTATAACTCTTTTAGATTCTATTCTAAAATTTCTTTTTTCATAAATAGTTTCTACTTTTATCTCAAGTCATCAACTTTTTTTTAAGTTAATTTATAATCTTAATCTTTAAGCTCAAAATTCTAAGTAATTTATGTTAAGTAATTTAATTCAGTAGTGATTTTCTGAAAATTCTCATTTAAATCAAGTTCTTCTTAACTAGAAACAGATTTTTCCTCAATTTCTTAAATCAATTACCTTTATTGATCTAATTTTTATTTAATACTAGGGGGAATTTCTTTCTTACAAATCTATTAATTTTACTTTTAAGTTTCTTGACTAGAATCAGAACTATTAGTTGATAATACAAAATTAGGGTTATTTTCTAATTAATTTTAAACTTTTATAATTTGATCTTTTATATTAGATAAAAATTTGATTGATTATTCTTTTTGTTATTAAAATTAAATGATATTAGCAGGCTATTATAAATGCATTAGCAAAGTATTTAATTATTATATTAAGGAAATTTATTGGATGCCTTGCCCGTTGAGAGGAGTTTATTTTACAAAGTTTTATGTTATTTGTTATTAGGTTGGAATAATGAATGTGTTTTACTTGGGATTGATTACTATAGTCTATTTTAATAATTTTTCTTATGCATCATTTGCAGATATTCTATAATTAGGATCAGGATGAAGCATGTTTTTGATTGTTTGTTTCCATTCATCATTAATCACAAGTCTATCAATTTTATTATATATATTGGATTGATTAGTAATATGAAATTTTACTTAAGTTTCTAATTCTGTGATGGTTTTAGCTAATAAAATAATACATAATTAAGATACCGTCTATCAGTTAACTTCCTGAAATAATTTCATAAAACACAAAAGCCATGGCCCAAACATCAACAGACATTGTATAATCTGATTTTCCTTCAATTAATTCAGGTGCTTGAAAAAGTTTTGTACCAACAGATTTGGTCATGCGTTTTTCATCTTGATTGAATTACTTAATTAATCCAAAATCAATTAATTTAACTTATTGGTCAATAAATAAATAATTTTCTGGTTTGATATCCCTATGAACTAGTTTTTATTTATGTAAAAAGACTATTGATTATAAAATCTAATAAAAATAAATTTAATACTTATAAACAAATTGAATACTTTTACTAAATTGTTAATGTTTTTTTATTCTATTCCATATATTTATATAGGTCAATATCTCCTAATTCCATTACTAAAACGAAATAAAAAGAATAATCAAAAAAATCATAAATTCTTATAATGTTTGAAGCTTGATAATTAGAGCTATTATAATTTTCATATGTATTCTAATAATCTATAATTTTTTTATAAAACTATCTAGCATAATCTTTAGTAAAAGTTGAGAATTTTAAAGCAACTTTATTCTAATTTAAACACCAATTTATTGGAATTGCTTCATAAACACTACCCTCTGATCCTTATCCTAAGAGTTTTGACAATTTAAACTATCTATTAGTATACTATCCTGAAGGTGCTGATATTATTGTGCCGACATCTATTTAGTTAAACTAATTCTATTAAGACATTTATTTATTTATTGATTAAATAAATTCTATAAAAAATATTTAATTTAAGAAAGTAATTGAATCAAAAATAAATAATATTAAAATATGAAGTATTTAATTGGCTCCTTATTAATTTCCTTTCTATTTATTTCTAATTATTTTAATAGCACCTAATTTTAATCATCTGATTTTGAGAATTGGTAAAAATAATATGGATATTTTAATACATAATATGAGAGATAATATAGAGAAATGATATACAATTAAAATAAAAAGTTAATATAAGAACATAATAGCAAATAGAACATTACATACAGAATGTAGGAGAACTAATTTATGACTTTAACTCATGAGGAATTTGTAGGAATCTACTTAAGTGAAGTAAAGGAGTCTATTTAAGAAATGACAATATTAAATTAAGATTTATATAATCCATTGTAAGCAGTAGATTGGAGAAATTACACAACAGTTTATAATTAAGGGTCTTGTGCTGCTGGATGGGCATTTTCAGTGGGTAGTTCTATTGAATCATGGTTTTATATAAGAGGTGGTGGATAAAATATTTCTGTATCAGTTTAGCAACTAGTTGACTGTGAGAAAAATTCATCAGGATGTAATGGAGGCATTAACACTCAAGCTATGTTATATGCTTTAAAAGATGGACTATATAATTCTCAAAATTATCCTTATGTTGGTACTCAATTAGCATGTAAAGCAACAAAGAGTGGTACATATTTTATAAATAATTACACATTTGTTGGAGGATCATCATAATCATTACAAAGTTCCTTATAAAATTATCCTGTTTCTGTTGGTTTGGATGCAACAAATTGGTAATTTTATAGTACAGGATTGTTTTCAAATTGTTCTGAAAATTTAATTAATCATTATGCACTTGCCATAGGGTTTGATTCAAACAACAATTGGGTTGTTTAGAATTCATTCGGAACAGGTTGGGGTGAGAATGGAATTATTAAACTACTACCTAATAATACCTGTGGAATATTAAATCAAGCCTATCAAATATATTGAAAAATATTCATCAAAAAAAATAATAAGCCATTATTTAAAAATATTTTTTAGATTTGAGCAATACTCTATAAATTTTTATTTAACTTAATATTAAATATAGTTTTATTCTTCTACTTTGTTATTATTGTTTAAATATCTGTATATAAGATATTATTAATAAATATACTAATAGATTTGTATGTAAATCATAAAGAAATTATTTTTTTAAGAAAGATTTCTTTAGAAATAACTAGGTGTATATATTCAAATGAAAGGTTCGAGTCTCAATAATTCCAGATTTTTATTTGAATATTTTGGCACATTGCAGAAATATCCATTATGACATTTAAAACACAATTTTTAGGATTGTCGATTTGAAACATAGGAAATAATTATTTATGATGTTGATAGCATAAGTAAATGTATAGACAGTGTATAAATCATTAATGAGGTTATTTTATGCTCTTATTTGTTTAAAAATAATAAAAGATTCTAGAGTATGGATTTTCTTAAGAATTCTCATTAGTATCAATTCCTTCCAAAATATTATAATATATGCATTTGATTATTTGAATATTTAAGAAATTAGATAGTTAGATAGGAAACTCAAAGGTGAAGATAATAATAGGGAAGAATATGTATTAAAAATATGTTATGGTAAATTATTGTAATATAGTAATTAAGAATAAGGGGAAATGTAATAGGTTTAAGAGATTTTAAGAAAAGTATTTTGAAAAGAGGAAATAATTATAAGATTATTAGGACTAATTAAATATATAATATGTTAAATTCGCAAACGTAATCATAATCAGCAATGTCAATCTTGGGTTATGTACCTGCTTTAATAGTTTAACATTTGTTGAATCTGAAGATGAACAAATTACCAAGAAATTTGCCAGAGAAATAAAATATAAAGAGTGTAGTGATGTTTGCAGACATTTCAGGATTCACAAAATTAACAGAGAAATTGAGTTAATTAGGAACAGAGGGAGCTGAGAGAATTGCATTTGCAATAAATAGATATATGGAATTGTTAGTTCAGGGAATAGGAAGAAGCGGAGGTGATATTTTCAAATTTGCAGGGGGTATTAATATAAATAAGGTCAGATGCAATGATAGTGATTTGGCCTCCACCTCCAGAGGGGAATAATTTTGTTTAATAGATAGAGACATTACTTAAATAGGCAATCCAATCAGCTTTATTAATTTAGGAGAAGCTAACTAAGACAACGATAGAACAAGGGATTTAATTAAGTGTGAAAATAGGTAATAAGTTATAAAGTAAAGATTAGGATTTGGTGTAGGTGAAATGAGTATAATACATGTTGGTGGTGTATTTAATAGGATTGAATATTTAGCAACTGGTGATCCTTTATTGTAAGCTTTTGCTTCTGAACATTGTCTTACAGAGGGTGGGAAGATAATAATCTCATAATAAGTTTATAATTTAGTGAATAACTTTTTTGAATGCAAAGAAGTAGAACATCATGAAAATCATTATGAAGTCATTTAGATAAAAAGTACATAAGCTAAAGTAAAAATGAAAGCAGATGCATTACTTATAAAAAATAACATTACAATAGCTAAATTTTAAGCTATAAGGAATGAAATTTAATCATATATACCAGCAGCATTATTACCATATATAGAAATAAATGAGGAACCATGGAGTGCAGAATTAAGAAGACTTTCAGTAATGTTTGTAAATTTGGGAATAGATTTAAATGATGCTAAATCAGAGAAAGGATTATAATAGATATAAAGAGTTATAATGACAGTTTAGAAATGTATTTATATGCATGAAGGATCATTGAATAAATTATTAATGGATGATAAAGGTTCAACATTAATTATAGTATTTGGATTGCCTCCTTTATCACATTAAAATGATGCAGTAAGATCAATATTAACAGCTTAATTGATGAGAATAGAATTACCAAAAATAAATTGTGGTTGTGCAATAGGTATAGTAACTGGTACTGTATTTGCTGGAGTTGTAGGAACAAGTGGATCAAGAAGAGAATATTCTGTATTAGGAGATTCAGTTAATTTGGCAGCACGTTTAATGCAAGCAGCATGTGAAGAAAAAGAATATAAAATACTTGTATGTTCTGAAACAGCAAAGAGTGCAGAACATAATCTTAGTTTTTAATTTTTGAGATCATAAATTGTTAAAGGTAAAAATTAACCAGTTGAAATTTATGTTCCATTAGAAAAATCTTAAGCAAGTACACCTGGTAATTTCTTTCCAATTTTGAGAACTAATAATTATGCATTTGGTTTTAAAAGAAAAACAGAATTTGCTAATTAATAAATTTTTGGTAGAGAAGAACCTTATAAAAAAATACTTAATTAAGTAGATAAAATTATGAGAGGAATTGATAAAAAAGGTTTTATTAATATTATATATTATTTTTAGGATTATTTATTATTAAGGGTTCTTTTGGAGTTGGTAAAACCATGTTAATTAAGAAAGTACTTCATAGAGTATAAGAAAAATTAAATAGTAATTAATATAATCCTTGGAAATATGGAGAAATGCCTTAAATTTTGACTTCATAATTAAATCCTGTAACTAGATCATATAAATTGAATGGTATTGAATTTAATCTGATTAGTGAGGACTACGTTAGATTTTGAAATAAATTTTTATTCTATATTCTAAAAGATTGGAAAGAGAACCAGATTTATCATTATTCTAATTAATGATTGATGAATCATTGTATTCTCAAAATACAATCAATCTACTTAAAGAGATATTAGATTTGAAATGTATTTCTAGAGTTGATAATTTCCCTCCAAAAAGTAATGATGATGAAAATCAATAAGAATTAAAAAAAATTGTAAATATTTTGTTAAATATATTTTTAAAGACTTTGTAATTCTTTAGTAATTATTTTGAATAAGTACCAGAAAAATATTAAAATCTTTATATTGGTAGATCACCTGAAGAATTAGGATGGGATATTAAATAATCTAATATTAGATAAGTCATTAAATATTCAATAAAATATAGTAATATAATATGTCCAGTTATACTTTGTTTGGATGATATGCAAAATTATGATAATTTAACTTTTAAGATAATAAGTTTAATGATAAAAACATATGATAGAATATAAGTATTAGGATTGTATCGTGATAATTTTCATGAAATGACACTTCAAGTAAAAACAGCTGAAAAGAAAAAATCATAAGAAGAAATAGCTATGGATGGTATAAGTAGATTAGAAGATGCTATAGAATAAAATTTCTATAGTATTATTTAATTAAAAGGAATAGAAAGAAAAGGAAAAGATGATGAATTTGCTAAAATGATTAGATATTCATTTAATATATCTAAATTTGATATTGAAAATGTAAAAGCAACATAAGAAGAAATAAGAAAAAGAGATCCATCAATAATAAATGATGTTTGTGTACAAGAAACATTAAATAAAGAAATGAATCATTAATTCTTATTCTTTTAAAATAAGTAATAGTTAATAGAATAAGATATTGAATTACTCTTACTATCATATATTTATTTAAAAACCTCTGGTGTACCACTAATGGTATTAAATTTTACACAAAATTTAATTGATTAAGGATATATTAAGATTGGAAATAAAAGTGCTACAATAACAAAAGAATTAATTAATTTAATCAATTATGAAGAGAGTATAATTATTGATGCTCCTTGTGATCGTGTAGCAGTAAATGGTCCAATTATAGATAAGTAATTATAATTTATATAACATAAGATTGCCTTGTTTAGAACAATTAATATTAAAAGTAGCAAGTATAATTGGTGATATATTTGATATCCAAATGTTGAGTAGAATCAATCCATTTAAAGTTGCAGTTAATAATAGATTGTAAAAAATGATGGATGAATTAGAACAAAAAGATTTCATTGAGACAATGGAAGTCTAAGAACAAAACATATATTATAGATTTACATGTCCTTTTATGAGAGATTGTTTATATTAAAGAATCACATTTAAATAACGTAGACAATTACATAAAGCAGCTGCAGAGGCTATATAATTATTACCTTTGGCATTTGAAATAGATGAAAGAATAGAAAGTAAGAAGTTGTAATTTCATTGGGTCATGGCAGAATAAAATAATTAATTAGTATAGTAATCTACTCAAAATTTCAAAGCAAGATAATCAAGTGGTTCTGTTAGAAATTTAGTTTTAAGAGCTACTTTTGGAATAGGATAATCTAAATAAAAATAAGAAGATAATAGCAATATTCAATTAGCTTAAAATAATTAATATAAATTTGAAAATTTATCATCAAAGGCCATGAGATCAATTATATTAAAATAGATTTCTAATAAATTAACAAAAAATAATAACAACATAAATACAATTTTAAAAGAAGGTATATTAGAGAAGAAATCAAAATAAAATGTATCATGGGCACCTCGATATTGGGTATTAGATGGAAAGGAAATGAGATGTTATTATACAAAATAGGATATGTTAAAAAAGGAATTACCTCTTTGTACTATTCCATTAAAAGGAATATATTCAGTGATTCCATTAGATGTAAGAGAGTAAGGAGAGACTAATTTTCCATTATCTATAAGTTCCACATTATGGTATAAGAAAAACAAAGAAATGGGAGAGAGAAGATTTTTATTAAATAGTAAGAATGTGGAAGATTTGGAAATGTGGATAATATATTTGGAATTTGCTAAAGCTAAAGCAATTTATGATGATTTTACAAATAATTATGGAAAGATCAGTTTTCCTTTAGGTAATAATAATGATTATTATGATCCTGAATTCAAATATGATGTAAATATTGAAGTATTAATTTATAATTAAAATTAAAGAAGTAGAAATTATCATTAGGATTACAATATGATAAGAGTTAATAAGCTAAAATGAGTAAGAACTCTGTACTTTCAAGAAATTCTAGAGCATCACGTATGACTATTGCAACTAAGTAATTTAAATTCATGGAGAAAGCATCATAAGAAGATAATCTACTTTAGACTTCTTAAATTATTGATAGTTAACTATTGAAAGATAGAATTAATTGTTTTTTATAGAAAAGGTATTATATTTATATTGATTTAAGTATGCTTTTATTATTTTCTCATTTGTTTGATATGTCATTGTAAAAATAAGATGATTATAATTTGCTTGGTTAACCTAATATGGTAATGAAGAAGATGACAAATATTTTCAAGATTGATAAACAATTAACATCTGAAAATAAAAAATAATCTAATGCTTTTATCAATAATTAATCATAATCATAATCAATATCAATAACTAATTCAAGTGATATGAATCCAAATGTAATGTAATAACCATAATAATAATAATAATAACGAAAAGCAATAACATTAGATGGAAATCCATTGATAGCTAAGAAAATGGATACTAGTTTAGATGAAGAATCAGGAAGTAGTAGTAATGAAGGAGGAGAAGGACTCTTATAAACAAAAACTTTATAATAAATTATGGAAGAGGAATATGATAATGAAATGAGTGGTATATTAATATATTATATTATTATAGAGAGTACTAATTAATAATAATAATAATTAAAACAATAGAGAAATTAAAAATATATAGAAGAAATTAGAATGAAATAAAGTTCAAAATTTTAGTAGGAAGATAGAAAACGTTCTGATAGTTAAGAAAGTTTTGAATAAAATATTGCCATTTCTAGAAGACATACAGATCGATAGGATTAAGTAGCTAAATAAATGAATTATTTTAAACTTCCAAATTAATAATAAGAAGTTAGAAATATCACTGAATTTAAATTAGATATGGCTATCTAAGTTGATTTATAGAAACTCAATAATTCTATTAGTAAATCTATAAGTAAATCATCAATTGATCCAAAATCTGAACTTTCCTATCAATAAAATGATAACTAAGAATTCTTAAAATTATTTGAAAATAGCACTAATTAAGGATAATCATAATAGAATAATTAATTCAGTAATAAAATATTAGATGATAATAAGAGAGACACTATATAAACACATATTTCATCTTCAAATTTCTTATCTACTTAATATCCATTTTTACATCATCAATCAACTCTACTCTCATCTAATACTAATTAAAAATTAAGATAGCCTTAATAATATGCAAGTAGATAAAGTTAAATATCTCAAAAAACTATTGCTAATTCAATTTCATCATAATAAAATCAATATGGAACAGCATTAAATACTTGTAAATCTTTAAGTGGAGATATCTTCACTTTAAGACCAGGCTATAGAGTAGTAGTCACAAGAATAGATTAATAGAAGAAATTAATTTATTGTAATTATTAGAATATGTAAGGATTATTTTATTTGAGAGATATAGCTGTAATTGAAGGTATATATAATTTTTATTGATAGAAAATCAAGATGACTCTTAAATTAAAATGAAATCTAGAACACCCACTATGTTTGAACTCAAATATAAGGAATTATTGAATGATAGATTTAATACAAGAAGCAAATCTCCAAATTATCGTTCTGCTTAATGTAAGACTCCTCCAAAGAAACCATTTATGAGATTTTGAATTTTACTATATTCTTATATAAATAGATACATCTTAACAGAATATTAATTAAAAATTCAAATTTATGATTCCTTATCATTCCATCATACAACCTACACTCAGGTCAGCAAATCAAAGTAGTGGATTCAAAGAGTCTGAAGACAAATTTCAACATTCCACACCTAAATACGTTTTAAAAGTTCCCATCCCATCATTAGCTACATTACAATAAGCACCTTAATCAGATAACAAAAGTAAATCAGGACATAAAGAGAATAATTTCAGTGCTATGACATTTGATTAGAAGTATTAATTGACAATTCAAAAAGAAAATGGAATCCAGATAGCCAAGGTTCAGATAATAAATATGTATTATCTTAATCAGCCAAGAAAGTCAACACTGAAAATGATGATGGTTCAAGTATAGTTGAGAAGTCATTTACCGAAGCAGCCTAAAAGATTTTGAAGATAAAAAATCTCGAATTGGAAAATAAGGTTTCATTACTTGTTATTGAAAATGAACGTCTTACAACATTTCTCAATGATTAATTTCAAGAAAATGAAAAATTAACCAATGATCTATAAAACTATTAAGCAAGTCTTTAAGATTTATCTAAGAATTACGAAGATAAATTGAATATAGTTTTGTTGGAAAATGAGAAGATTGTAGCTATAAATCAAACATTGACAATGAAAAATGAGTAGATGCAAAATTAAATAAAAAGATTATTAAATGAGAAAGATGAGGAAATTAATAAAACTAGAAAAGAATGGGCAGGGAAATACTAATAATAAATTAATTAAATTGATGAAATGAGAAAAAGTGAAATACACTAAGTAGATAATAGAATTGATAAGTTATAATTTGAAAAATCAGAATTACAAGCATTAATTTAAGAATAACAATAAAAATTGATGGAATTCTAAATTGAAATTAAAGTCAGAGATTCAACTTTAGCTGATTATGAAAATGTTAAAGTAGATTTAGCATCTAAAATTCATAAAATTGAAATGATGAGTTAAACTATATTAGCTTAAGAGAAGAGAATAAATGATTTAGAATCTAGATTAGATATAATGGTGGCTGATAATAAATAATTACATGATGTTAATGAATAATTAAATTAAACTTAAAGAATATTATAAGGGACAATGGAAGATAGATAGATTGAATTTGATAGAGAATCTCATAAATAAAAAGATTTCTATGAATTGGAATTAAGAAATTTAAGCAATAAAAATAAATAGTTAATTGAAGAAATCAAACTTAAACATTAAGAATAATTATAAACTTAAAGAATTTAAATAGAAAATGAATTGATTAAAGAATTAGAATAATATAAAATGGAATTAGAAACAAAATAAAATGAATTAAATAATAATTTATTGATTTGGTAAGAGAAAGAGAAGAATATAACTTAGGAGAATAAAAAGGAGATAGAAATAAAAGATTAAATGATATCTACATTAAAATTTTCAAATTAAAGTTTACAAGATTAAATGAATTAATTATAAACATTAATTAACAAGTAAAATATTTATATTAATAAGAATGTAAGAAGATTTTGATAGTTAATATAATTAGAAAGAGACAGAATGTGTTAAGATGGCAAAAAATATACATCTTAAAGAATAGGCATTAAAATAAATGAGTTTAAGATTAGATGAAATTTGTAAATAATTGAAGATCTTAGAAGAATAAAGAGATGAATTAAGTTAAGAGATGAAAAATAAAAATGATAAAGTTAAAGATCTTGAGATGAAATTAGATATTGTTGTCAAAGATAATGACACTTTAGAAAATTAATTAAAAAATAATTAAACTTAGGTAATTATTTAAAATTAATTTAGTTACAATTATTGGAATAAAGATATATTAATTTAGAATAGTCAAGTGAATAAAAAATAGAAGATATGAAAATATAATATTCATTAGAAGTATAAGCATAAATTGAATAATGTATTACTTAATATTAATAAACTATTAAATATGAATAAGATCATTCTGAATAATTAATGAAGAATTTAAAAAAATAATAAGAAAAAGCTAAACATTTTGAATTATTAAGTGAATAATAATTAAATGATATGGAAAAATTAAATAAGAGAATAGAAGAATTAATTGATGTATGTGAATAAAATGGATCAAAAATGATGACATTAGAGAATCTACTTAAAGAAAGAGATAATGATTATGATACCTTAAATTAAAAATTATAATCAATAACTGAAAATTATGAATTGTATTTTATTTAAATAATTTTTAGGTAATTAGATGTTTTAAAGAGATAAATGTATGATATGGGTATGTAAAATGAAGATTTGGCTTAAAATTTGAATTAAAAATAAGAAACATTTATAAGTATGATTAATTATTGATTTTTTAGAATAAGATGACTAAAGAAAGAAAATTATGAATGATTTAGCAGAAGTTACAAAATAAAAAATTGATTAAGATTAATTAATAAAGAAGATGAAAGTTCAAATTTAGAAATTAGATGAAGAAAATAGAAAGAATTCTGATGATTCAATAAAATTCAAAAATTAAGTTTATTAGTTATAATAAGAAATTGAGGAGATTACTAGAAGTATGTAATTGAATTTTGCAGAGAAGGAACAAGAATTATAAAATAAATATGAGAATACAATTATGGATTTAACATAATAGTTGAATACAATAACAATGAAATTCAATGATTTAGTAAGAAAGGAGAAAGACAATAGATTTAGATTAAAATTATTGAAAAGCAATCCTTAAATGAAATTACCATCAGAATTAGAAGATGAAAATTGTTATGAAACAATGAAAAGAAAGATGGAAGATTAATCATAATATCTTTAGAGATTAATTTTAGAAAATGATGAATTAAAACAATAACAATATTCTCATATTAGTAAAGGCTCATTAAATGATTAATAAAAGTAGAAACCTTATAAATAAAACATGAATATTATCAAAGATCACACAACATAAGATACAGATCGTACTGTTCGATAAAATGAATATCAAAAAGCTATGAATCCTTTTAAATCATAGCCAGTAAAAGTAGTCCCAGTATTATTTATTTTGTATAATTAAGGTTATGAACAATTCTCAGAATATTCTTGATTAGAGGTATGGAAGTAATAGGCCAATTGAGAGAGAGGTTTACTTAGGATAAACTCAAAATACTAAGACGGAACCTCATTTGTATAGAAAATAATCATTATAACGATTTTGAATAAGAATATTATAAATAATATAATGAAACCTCTGTTTTTTAGTAAATATATATAGTATTAGTAATTCATAGTTATTCAATTCTTTCATTTATATGAAATCTTACTTTCTTATGACCTTCATATAATTTAAAAGTGTAATCCGAAGCAATTTCATAATAACTTTTTGTTGGGGAAAGACTCTTTGTTGATTATTCACTCAAAGTAAAGAAGTTTCTTCTATTTGAAGGATGTTCTTTTTATAAGATATTTGAAGATTAAACTACTTAAATTGGGTATAATGATGAATTTTGATTAGGTTATTTATTACAATCATTTGAAGTGTTTGATTCTTATATAAGTTGAAATGGAATTAATTTAAGAGTCTTCAAATTCTTTCTCTAATTGATTTCACTTTTTGTTTTTGGAGAAAAAGTAACAAGTTCTTAGTATTTATGATTAAGAGTATGATAATCTTCTTCATCTGGTATGATATTTAAATTAGAATCCATAGAATAACAAACTTTTAGATTTGTATTATTATTTATAATCAAATGATATTTCAACTAATATAAATATGGTATTCATAATTTTAGTAAATTCTTCGAATATTTGTTTAGATTTTCTATTATGTATTAAAAAAGAAATTCAAATAATAATTATTGAATAAAATATTATTAATTAATTAATTAATACAAATGGTGGATGCTAAACAATTGATACCTATGAAGCGATTTTTGGAGTCATAGCAAGATAAAATCAAATTATTTTCTATTGATTAACCAGAACAAATTCATATGTAAATTAATAATCATATATCAAGTTACCATAATATAGGTCGTGTAACGAAAATTGAAACAAAAACTTTATAGGAATAAAAATCAAATACATCCATAGGATTCTTCGCACTTTATGGTATAATGTAATTAAAGAATTGGTCATATTTATTATTGGTTACAGAAGCCAATATGGTTGGATAAATATTGCAAAGAACAATATTGTAAGTAGAATAGATAAGTTTCTTACCCTTAGTTTCTAATGGGAGATTAAATGAGTAATACTATTTATTAATCTAATTTTTTTAGCATTCATGCTGATGATTAAACTTATTGTAAAATGTTAAAGGAAGTATTTTCCACAAAAACATTATATTTTAGTTATGAATATGATTTATCTAATCCCTTCGATAAAGTTATGGGGAATAATTCTCAATTCGGTACTTAATAAAAAACAAGTGAAGGACTACATTATTATAAGATTCCAAACTATCGTTTTGTATATAATTGGGAACATATCAAATTTTTAAATCAATTTTAAAGTACTAATCTACCAGCTTTACAATATTGGTAAACTATATTCATAAGTGGATGTGTTTTGATTAGATATTGTAAACTAAATCAATAATCTGATTGTTTTTTAATTTTGGTTAGTAGAAGAGAGACATTAAGATCAGGTAGAAGATTTGTATAAAGAGGATGTGATTAAGATGGAAATTGTACTAATTTTGCAGAAACTGAATAAATATTAATACTCAATAAACAAGAGTCAAGAGATATATATTCATTTGTATAAACTCGAGGATCTATGCCATTTAATTGGTAATAATAGCCAACATTAAAATGGGCACCTAAAGCAACTATTATAGGAGATAGATCATATAATTCTGAATTATGTAAAAAACATTTTGAAAAATGTGCAGAATCATATTAATAATTATAAATAATTTTAAATTTAATTGATAAAAAAGGAACATAAAAAATGTTAGGAGAATATTTTACAAGTATGATAAGTAGTGTTAAAACAGTAAAAACTAAATATGTTTGGTTTGATTTTCATCATGAATGTAGAAATATGAAATATGAGAATCTTTCTAAATTATTAAATGAAATTAAAGAAGATATCAAAAAATCAGGATATTTTCATGCTGAAATTGATAAAAACAATTATAATATTTTATCTAATATACATTCATAATAATCAGGAGTTGTAAGAACAAATTGTATGGATTGTTTAGATAGAACTAATGTAGTTTAATCAGTTGTTAGTAGAAATTTCTTATTACATATTTTAAATTAAGCAAATATTATCCATACATTAACAGGTGAAGCCTTATAAGTATTACCTAATGATCTTGAATAAATATTTAGAGATCAATGGACTAAAAATGCAGATATAATGAGTGTTTTATATTCAGGAACTGGAGCATTAAAAACTGATTTTACAAGAACTGGTAAAAGAACATTCTGGGGTTCATTATAAGATGGTAAAAATTCATTACATAGATATTATATTAATAATTTTGTTGATGCTCATAATTAAGTAAAATAATATTTATAAATATTAGAATTGTATTGATTTAGCATTAGGAAAATTGGATGCAGATAAAATTAATTATAAAAAGTCAAAATTTAATGGAGTATTACAACTTTTCATTTTTGTAATTTAATATTTTTATTTTATAGATTATAATCTTAATGTATATCATGACAAGCTTTTTACCTGGATTAATTTTAGATGATTCATCTACATATCGTAATTCTTGTTTAATTAAATTATTTATTATTGGGATAAGTCTGTTTATTACAAGTAAGATTTTACTGAAAACATATTATTTGTTTATATCCAAACCAATAAGAGATCAAAATTGATTATCTAATATATAAGCATATATCAATAAATTAATCATGCTTTACAAGGCATATCTAATCTCTAATAATAGGCATTCAAAGATCCAACATAAGTGAATAAAATAGCAATTACAACACTAATATGCCATATTTGATGACTTTGTCCACAATTGTCAAATTTTCCTGGGATTTACTTCTCAGGAAATCTAATATTATAGATATATAATCCAGATCTAAATATAAATGAATATTATACAAATATGAAATAGCCATAGCAGCATAATAAGGTAATTAAGATTCAAAACTATATCCTTCTAAACAGCTATCACCTATTGCAAAATGAATGAGTGGAATAGCACTTGTAAATCCAAGACCTGCAAATAATTTGTTTTTTAATGATCTCCATTCTGCAGTATAGAAGAAATCAAATAGACAGAAACTAAAGAGAATTATTGCAAAAAAGCCTTATAAACTGGCATATATGATTGCATATTTTAGATTGCATTAGAATCCATAAAATAATGGAGCAAATGTCGAACCTGAAACAAGAAAACATATACCAGCATAATCTAATCGAATTAGTACTTTGTTAACATTTTCTGAAAGACAATAAAAAAGATGATAAGTTGTACTACAACCTAAACAAATGATGGCAGAAACTAGAAATGCTATCAATGGCCATCTAGATATCATTTTATGTAGTTTCTCTTCATCAATTGTTTGTCTTCCTGTAAGATGTTGAAATTCTAAATATAAATCGATCCAATCAAAATCTTTTGATTCTACTATTTCTGTGGCTTTCTATTTATAATCTTAAATGATTTCTGAAATATTATAATTCCATTTTAAGTTTTCCCAATCAAAAGCTTCAGCAATATTTTTTTGGATTTTTGAAAATTCTTAATCATATTAATGTGCCACTTCATTGAAATACTTGTTAACTGTGTCAATCTTTTCATGTAATTGTTGCTACATCAATTAAACATCGTCTTAAAAATGGTGTAGTCCATTCTCCAATTATTCTTAGATTTATTATTCTAGAGTGAAAGCATGTTCATAAATGTTGTGTAATGATTCTACATAATTGGTAGTTTCATGTACCATTGAATGACTATATAGCTCTATGACGAAAGAGTTCATCATAATTTAACCATAGGTAAAATATTAGTGAGACTATGATGATAGCACCTATTAAATGTGTCCAAATATTGACCAATTCATTATGCCACATGAACATACTCTTTATAACGTCCTTCTTGTTTTTGAAGTTAATTCTGTATCCATGTTTAATATATTGATCTTTTAAGTAACCAGGAGCTTTACAAATTGGACCTCTATATTTTAAATATAAATAAATACATAATTCTTTCATGAATGATATTATCTTTAATCTCTTTTGTTGCTTATTGGTTTTCTGTAGGAACTCTATTTGTTATCTTGTTTTGACTCATTATAATTATTAGATGTTAATTTATAAATTATGATCATCATTAAATTAATGAGAATAATTGAGAAATTCTTATATATAATTTGTATTTGTGATATTAATCACTATTTCAAGATTAAGTATGAGTAAAATGTTTATTTATATTAAAGAATGATGAAATTTATTAGTATTTATAATTATTAAATTAATACTCGAATAGTTAAAGAACTATGACGTAATCGCATACAGTATTTAATCAAAACAATTTAGCTCATGAAACATTAATATACATATGGAAAAGCAATTATTAGCTCTACTCACAGTCACACTGTTAACATCAGCAGCCTATTTCATGAATGGCAAAGATGGAAGTCTTACACTTGAAGGATAATTCTCATCTTGGAAATAATAACATGGAAAGAGATATTCTGATTTTGAAGAAGTTCATAGATTCTCAGTATTTGCTTAAAATTTAGCAGTTGTTATGGAACACAACTCAAAATTTGAACTTGGATAAGAAACATTCACTTTAGGAATGAATTAATTTGCTGACCTTACACCTGAAGAATTCCAAGCTTCATACCTTACTCTTAAACCATAAGCTTAAGAAAGACAAAATGTCAAGAGTTTCTCTGGATTGAGATTCCCAGATACAGTTGATTGGAAGGAAGGTTTGACAGTCAAGAATCAAGGTAATTGTGGTTCATGCTGGGCATTCTCTGCTGCTGCTGCCCTTGAAGCTGCTCTCCATCATTAAAAGAAAGAAAAAGTTAATATTTCTGAATAAGAATTTGTTGATTGCACAACAGCCAAACTCGGATATGAAAGTGAAGGATGTAATGGTGGTTGGATGGATGATGCTTTTGATTACACTGTTAACTATGGTGTTGCCACAGAAGAAGAATATCCATACAAGGGAGTTGATTAAGCTTGCAAAACTGGATTAAAAAAGAAATACTATATTGATTCATTTGTTGATGTTGAACCATTGAGCTCAGATGCTCTTCATGAAGCCATTGCAAAGACTCCAGTCTCGTAATATATATTTTTATATTTTTAGTGTTGCTATTAAAGCTGATGGAATCATGTTCTAACTTTATAGTGGTGGTATCTATTCCAGAACTTGCTCAGCCAAAAAGATTGATGATTTGAACCATGGTGTTTTGGCTGTTGGTTATGCCAAAGATTCCTATACTATCAAGAATTCTTGGGGAGCCGGATGGGGAGAAAAGGGATACATGAGATTAGCTATTATTGCTGCTAAAGAAGGATAATGCGGTATCCATTGGGTTCCATCATATCCAGTCTTTTGACATTAATCATATAATAAATAATACACTAAAAATATTTAGTTTAAATTTATATTAAAATGCCACCAAAAAATAAAGGATTAAGTGCAAAAGAAAAAAGGGATAGAATTATGAAAATCTTCACAGAACGCAAAGAAGTTTTTAGTTATCCCTAACTAGAAAAAGAAGCTGAAAAAGTAGGCATTAGAAGAGACAATCTCAAAGAAATATTAGAAAGTCTTTTATCAGACAATCTTGTTGAAACAGAAAATTTAGGCACTAGTAAATGCTATTGGTCATTACCAAGTTAAGCATTGATAAGATTATAATAAAAATGTGCAGAATATGCTGAAAAAATTGATTAGGAAAGATAAAAGGAAATAGAAATTGAAGCATAATTTGAGTCAATGAAAGAAGGCAGAGAAAATTGTTAATAAAGAACTGATCTTGAAAATGAAATCAATTAATATAGATAATAGTATTCAGTTCTTCTTAAAAATTTTGAACTTAAACAAAAAAATGACCCTGAAAGACTATAAAAGCTAAGTAATCTATTTTCAATATTATTAACTATAGAAAAGGATACTGTTAATTTAAGATATGATGCAAATTCATGGACAGATGATATTATTTAACTATCATTCTATCTAAAGTCCTAAGCAGGAATGAGTTCAGAGTAATTAGATCAATTAGGAATACCTGCTGATATTGATAATATATGAAGTTTTTTTATTATTTTTTATGAATTTATATAACTATATAATTGATTATTTAAACATTATATGTATTATTCCAATAAAAAGTATACTAATTTATTAGTTTATATTTTTCTATAATAAATGTATAAATTTTGCTCTAGTTCTGATAATAAATCATCGGAAACTAAAAATGTTAATTAAGTACTTGTTAATAAAAAATCAAATTTGAATACAAATTTAGATAATCTAATGACTTTACTTGATATTTTAGATGATTAGTTGGATGCAAATTTTATATCAAAATAATAATAGTAGAATCAAGAAATTATTTAAACTTAAACTAACTAAAATGAATTACAATACTAGTAGGAATTAGAAGGAATCAATAAAAAATTATAGAGAATTATACTGGATTTAAAAGCTGCAGAATAAAATAGGATTTTTGAAAAATAAGAAGAAATGGTCAAAAAATTTGAAGAATTAAAGAATTTTGCAAAAGAACAATATTTAAAAATATTGCTAAAAACCCCCAAAATTTTAAAAGATAATAATTTTGTATTAACTCGTGAAATCCTTGAAAAGGTATCAACGGATTCTTTAATTGAATTGTAGGAGCAATTGATATAACTTGAAAAATGGTAAGAAATAGTCAATTTTTATCAAAATAATTAAATTATGTGAATATAGATATTGATATTTATCTAAAATTTAATAGTATTCAAAATTTAGGCATTGATATTTTTATTTTTCTTTCAATACCTTCCATATCTCTCTTAAAAATACCTGTCTTGACATCCCTACTTTCCTTGCCTATAGAAAAACATGGTTTAGTAATGCAGTTTGATTTTATTTGCACTCCAATAGAACCCCTAAGGTTATTTAATAAAGAATACTTAGTATAATAGGTTTAATTCTTATCAAAACTCTTAATTGGTTTCATTTTATCACCTTTTGTGAATCCAATACTAGGTTAGCTTTCGTGAGTGATATCCAATGATTTGTTTAAATCATAAGCTCCAGGACCAATTAAATCAGGAGTAGAACCTTGAAATGATTTAGAAATTGGTCTTCTGGGAGCTATAGTAAACTGAGGTCCTATTGTTTTAATGAGATTGTCATATTGATCAGGTCCAGGAACTTTATTTTTATAATCTGTTTTGAAACGTTAGGCAAGACCAATTTTAACAATAGTGGAATGCATTTTTCGAAAATCATTTGCCTTATGAGGTTCAAACTATTAAATTTTTAATATGATGTAATACATCTTTATCCTGTCTTGCGTAATAATCATATTAAGTTGAATTTAGAAAATTCCTTTTCGCTGTTCCTATTTTCACAGCTGTATTTTTAAATAAAAGCTCTTTTATGAAATTAGAGGAATTATAACAAGGCCCTGGACTATGTTTCCCTTTTTGAAGTAATTTCTTATCTCGATATATAGATTATTCTTAATATCTGGTTGATGATCCGAAGCTATATGCAGGTGCAGTCTGCTTCAAAGAATCTAACACTAGAAATAGATGATTTTTAAAGAATTACTCTTTCCTATTGAGGAGTAACGCTTTTGATTTTCAAGTTCAATGAGATCATTTGGAGTGTATAATTTAGAATTACTCATGATTAAAAAAATAACATTTATATTGAATAAATGAATTACAATTATTTTTATTGACGATAAAAAGGCCCTTTTTGAACATAATCAAGGAATCTGAAATAAAAAAATAAATCTAAAAATTGAATTTAAATAAAGGATTTCATTAAATATAAAAAATTTGAAAGGACAGTAAGAAAAAAAGAAAATTAAGGGCAAATTGAATAAAGATTTATTTTTTAATAAATGACAATTTTTTTATATTTTAAATAAAAAAATATTAACTTTTTTACCTTTTTAGATTGATTTATTAATACTACTAAAATGTTTTAATAAATGAGTGAATCAATAAGCACTTTATATTTTAATTTTAGAATAAACATTAGAAATTCTTAAAAAAGAAGATAACTATTATTAAAATATTAAATAGATTGATATTTATAAATAAAAAAATCTTACAATTTCTAAAATATAATCAAATAATAATTAATTAATTATAAAAAAAAGTTAATGATGTTGTTCTTATTAAAATATATTATTCTATTATAAATATTATCTAAATTAAAACTGAAAATATTATATATAAATTGTTATTGATTTTACTTATTTATAAATACTTGTTTATTCTGTTTTACTACTTTTGACCTATCATTTACTTTCTATTTATTGTTTTATGCAACCCGTAATAGAATAAAGAATAATATATTAGGCTCTATTATAAATTTTATAGATTAATAAAGTCCAGCTGATTTTATTAAAACAATTCAAGATTTTTAATATTTATACAGTTTTTTTAGTATATTAATTAGAAATTCTCTTGATTATGTTCTTTAATTTTGATAATCAATAAATTTGAATAAATCTACTTGAATTCTATAAGATTATTATATATATAAAATGTTAAATCTATGAAATATATCTGAATATTAATGAAATTAGTATTTTATTTGTGTTTCTATTTGGTATTAACTTAGGAGAATAGGATAAAAAAGAAAGTAGATATTTTAATTGATGATATACTAAAGAGTATGAGCCTAGCAGAAAAAATTGGCTAAACCGCTTAAGTTGATTTTATATATTTGAATGATGCTTAAGGGAAAACATAATATCATAAGATAAAGGAATGGAATCTGGGATCTTTGCTAGTGGGAGGAAATGGATGTCCAGACGATGAAAGTAATATTACTTCAATGGGATCTTGTATTAATGCCAACAATTCATAATGGAAAAAAGTAGCTGATTTGGCATTAGCTTAAGGAATTTCTGTAATAGTGAATATAAGTGAAGAAAAATCAACTACAGTCATTATAAAACCATTGCTTGGTACAGATGCTATACGTGGTAATCAACATTCTGTTGGGGAAATATTATTTCCTCATAACATTGGTCTAGCAGCATCGAACAATGTTGAAAACTTTAAGAATTCAGCGAAATGGATGAGAGATAGTGTGATTGAAAGTGGATTTAATTTTGTATTTTCACCCACAGTGGCAGTATCACATAATCCATAATGGGGAAGATTTTATGAAACTTTGGGAGAAAACACAGATAAAGTAAAATAATTTTCTAAAGCATTTGTTAAAGAAGCCTAAAATATCGAATTAGAAACAGAACATATACATGGAGTTTTAACATCAGTCAAACATTTTATAGGAGATGGAGCTACAATAAATGGATATGAAGAAGGAGACTCAATTGTAGATCAGCAATTTATGGATGTCTTCATTTAGAATAATATAAAAGGATATGAAGGAGCTATAGAAGCATAAACTGGCAACATAATGGTCAGCTATGATGCAATCAATGGTGTGGCTATGAGTGTACATCCATTTGTTAATAGTATATTAAAAGCATCAGAAAGAGAAGGTGGATTAGGATTTGAAGGATTTGTTATTAGTGATTATAATTCAGTAATCAAAAGTGCTTCATTTGATTTGCCAAGAGAATCTTAAAAAATTCCGTTAGACAAAGCTTATGCTGACTCATTTAATGTTGGAGTAGATATGTAAATGATTTCTGAAAATGTTGAAGACTATTAGACCTTAATTGAGAAATTGGTCAATGAAACTGATCAGGATAAACCAAAAATAGACGTAAAAAGATTAGACGATGCTGTTAGGAGAATATTAGCAATCAAAGATAAAATGGGATTGATTGAATATAACGAAGTAATTGTAAAAAAGTATAATTTATAAGAAAGAAAAAAATTAGAAATAGTAAAGGACAAAGAATAGGAATATTAAGATGCTTTGTAAGCAGCTCTTTAATCATTAGTTTTATTAAAAAATTAAGTAAATACACTTCCTGTGAACAAAAATTCAATTGAAAACATTATTTTATTGGGAGATAGATATATCCATATAGGAAATGGATAATATAAAATATTTTCAGATTTCGATAACATAGGTGCTCAAAATGGCGGATGGACAATTAGATGGTAAGGATATAATGGTAATGATTACTGGTCTGGAGATTTGAAAAATAAATCCAAAGCCTCATCAATCTTAGATGCTATAAAAAAAAGATTCTAAGATACTTAAATTTATTATTCAAAATATTCGGATCCAACTAATTTAGATGCTATTCTTGAAGATAGAAATAACTTCAGAAATTTGTTAATTGCGAATCAAGACTAATTTTCTTAAGCAAACACTATAGTCATTCATGTATTAGCAGAAAATCCTTATGCTGAGTATATGGGTGATATTAATTGTAAGTATTGTTAAACAAAAGATAAAAAAGGTTGCTTATACAATTAGCATGATAATCTATACTAAACTGAATCATAAGCTACAAGATTAGAAATTAAAACAGGTACATATGAAAAATAAGTATCATTATCTAAAATTTTTAGTTAATTAACAATATACTTAAAGGTTAAAGTAGAGTAATTACTGTTTTATTAAGTGGAAGACCAATGCTAATAGAGGATCCATTATCTTTTAGTGATGCTTTTATAGCAGCTTGGCTTCCAGGTACTACAGGTGGTGAAGCTATTGTAAAGTCGATTTTTGGTGAATATGGATTTGGAGGAACAAATAACTCCTTCAATAAATTACCATCCCCTTGGATTTCTACTTTAGATTCTATTAAAGATTATCCAAAGTATGATTCTGCTACTACACCTAAAATTGAAGATCCTAGATTTAATACAGGATTTGGACTTGAAACAACTTCAATTAATTATTCAATTTTAGAATGAAAATTTAAATAATAACATATAAATAAATTAATCTATTAAGTGTCCTAATAAAATCCAAAATTCTATCAATTAAATTTCTTTGTTTATATAAACTTTCTAATAGAAACAAAGAAGAGTAAATTTAGTAAAAGTAATTTATTCAGCTTTTCAAGTTATTATTATTCCATTTTCGATAAAAGAATTAAGTGCATTCTTCTGAATTTGATCAAATCTTAAGAAAAGATATATTCAAATTCCGATTAACTTGTTTTTATTAAAAAGCTTGAAAAATTATTATTTATTAGTCTAATTCTCAAACTTAAAATTGGATATTAATTAGTTAATATTCAATTGAGAAAATTAATAAGAGAGTAAGAAAGTTGGCTCAAAAATAATTTGCTCTTATATTTAATTAACAATTATTAGAGTAATGACAAACAATTACTTCAATTAATTATGAATTTCAATTAAACTGTTTGATATTTGAATGAATTGAAATAATTAAATGACAATAAAAATAAATATTTATTTCCATTTCAAATAATGAAAGATTACTTAAACAATATAGATGAATTTTATGATACACAAATAAAGGAATTAAAAAAATAAAATGAAAAGAAGTGAAAAATGAAGCAAATTTAATGAGCAAGAAATTAGTTAATTTCTAACTTGCCTCTAGTTAAATATTAAGTAATAGAAAATACTATAGTTATATGAATTAGATTGATAAATACCTATTACTTTTACTTTGATTCTTAAATTGCTATCAAATAATTATAAAGATATTTTATTTAAAATTTATTAAATAATTAGAATTGTATAAAATATTATATTTGTTGATAAAAATTAATTTAGACTTATCATTTATAATCTAATTCTATTGATGAATATCCCTTTTTATGATCATCCCAAACTACTAAGTATTTACCGTCATCTGTTACATTTCCAAAATTCCAATTGGTAATACAATCGTATTCATTTACAACAAAGAACTTTCCATTTAATTCTTTTAATAAAAATATGATATTTTTAGATCTAATAAATAATATGCTTTTATCCTTCAAATAGATAATTGGGAATAATGAGCAACCTAAACTGTTATTATTTATAATTAATTTTATTCTATTTTCACAATCCTCTTCGTAAATCCCATTTTTTTTGGAAAATAGACAAACCACATTTAATTCTTTGCTATAAGGTAACCATATGAATTTCTGATCATCCAAAAATTTTAAATGGCATCCAGAACAATTTAAAAACTATTTAAAGGTTTACTTAAATTAAAATTATTTGTCTTAACCAATTTCCCAAATTATTATTAATTAATCATCACCACAAGACACAAAAGAATTTTCAGATTCATTTAAACTAATGGCCCTTATGCTATTCATATGTTTTTCTAATGAATAGAGATAAGATAACTTATTTTAATTAAGATCAACTTACCAAACAATAATTTATTTATCTTCACCTCCAGATAATAATTAAGTTTCATTTTTATTTAAATTCATGCAACCAACCCAGCCCATATGCAATCTATATTCTTGTGATTTTTTCCAATTATTATAATTAGTTTTTTTCCAACAAATGATAGATTTATCATTCGAACAAGATATAAAGCTCTATTATAGTTTACTATAAACAAAGCAATAAATATAACTGGTATGTGCTTGCAGCGTAGATTCCAACTTTAATTTTCCATCATGAAAACCCCAAACTTTAATATCGAAATTATTCATTGATACCATTTATGATCCATTTTTATTAAAAGCTATTGCATAGCATTTGTTGTTTTGCTTCATAAAATCATCCTTTAAGGATAACTAAATCTATCCGTCATGTTCATTTCTACTTTATTGTAAGCTTAATTCTTAAGTTGATATTTAATTTTATAAAGATAATATTTTTGGTTGATTTGGTTCCTCTTTCTTATTAGTATATTAATTAAAATTTGATAATATATCTTAACACTTTTAGTTTTACTTGAAGGACCTAAAAAACTCTAACTTTTCGCTCATTTTTGATTTCCAAAAATAATTAGCCTAATTGATTTCATTCATAAAAGTAGACTTTTCTTCATTTTCTAATTTTTCAGTTATCAATTTTTCTAATTATAAATGAAAACTATATTTGGAATTATTATGCCCTACTTAATATAAATTTTGAATCCATGAGCCACTATACCCAATAATTTCATCCAATTAGAAAATAATCTAAGATTTTAATTTATGTATATTTCCCACTAGATCTTTAATCTGCTTAATATTAAACTGAATAGTCTTCTCCAATTTTTCAATCTTTGAATTTTAAACCTCTTCAATTTTTTTACAAATCAGTTCATAACCCATTGTCTTGACATTTGTAGATAAGCATTTGATACATTCTGCACATAAAAGTCGCTGATTTAATTCTAATTTAGGATCTAGAATAACCATTAAGATTGGTAGCTAATGATTATTGCCACATAAAAGTTCCTTTTCATTTTCCTTTCTAAAAGATTTAAACATTAAATTTATAAATAATCATAATAAAATTTGGGAAACATCTATTTAATGATAATGAATTATAATTATAAGTTATAACTGATAAATTTTAATATTATAAAATTCATACTACCCAAAATTCTATATTCTATTTACAAAACTTACTAGTTAATATTTAGATTTATTTTAATTATTATAATCTTCCCATCTAAAAATAAATTTGAAAATTAAGAATAGAAATATAATGTGAGAAATAAATTTAATTTGAATATTTTTTTAATATATATCAAGATAAGTCACCAGAGAATTATCTCAATCTAAAAGTATTAAAAAAAAGAAAATTCTGATAACCAAAATCTTATAACTTTCTATTACCTTATATTTTAAACATGATTAATTTATTCAGACTTGATAGAGAATAAAAAAATTTACAGGAAATTTAGTTATTCTCTATCAAGTCAATTGATAATTTAATTTTTGTTTATTATGATTTTATTGCTGTTTTATTTAAAGTAGATTAAGCAATAAAACATAGAGATTCATTAAAAACTGTGAAAATCTTATATTTATAGAAAAAAAAGCCATTCTATTATTCACATTTTTTGCGAACATTTGATTTATATAACAAATTTATACTTTGTTAATGAATTTAAAACAAAAAGAAATTAAAAATGATATATCAATAATATGTATTTATCTGTTCTTTTTGCTCTACAAAAATAAGTTACTTCCTTTTTCAGGCTGTTTATTCAAAGGAAATATTAAAAAGTGTGAATTGAAATAATAAATAGTCATAAATGATTATTTACTTTTTTATTTTCTGCTCTTTTTTGATTTATTTTTATTTTTTTTTAAGACATCAAATCCAATTAATATTTAAGTTTAAGAAAATAAATATTATATTACAATTTAATATATTATTTTTTCTATTCTTGATCCAACACTCAAACTTATATCATCTCTTTATTTCATATTTTCGTAAATGGGTCAAGTTTTATGTTAATTTCTAATTTTCATTTTTGATAAAAAGTTGCTAAATCAGTTCTTTTATAATATGTAAGAAATTGATATTTCTAGTAGCTTTTTTAGTTGAATTAATTGTTATTGATAGAACTTAAAGAACAACAGATTAAAAAAAATCTACTAAGAAAATTCAAGACACATTACTTTTGATTCATTTATTAAATTTAAATTTGATTCCTTAAATGATATATTACCAAATAAAATGATAAATGGCCAATTTACATAATTCACATTTAGTTTTAATTATCTTGCACCAATAATTTTAATCAACAAACTATAAAAATAATAGTTAATTAAAAACTAAGAGCAAATAAATAATCGATCTTCTATGTTATATTATTTAAACAAAAATAAATAAATATTTGATAATTAAAATATAAATAATCTTATCAAATAATAGATTTATCTTATTAAAACTATTTTAATTGTTGATAATCAGGGCAGCTTTCTCTAAGAGAGTGACCTAAAGAAACATTTGAGAAAAATCTTCTTTTTATTATACTATCGTAAAGTTCTTTAGAAATATTATGCTTTAGAAAATCTTCATAATCTTTGAGTTATTTTTCACAAGCAAAACAAGGCAAATTTTCAAAATTCATGTTTTCCTTAGCTTTCTCATCTAAATAAGTTTAAAGACATTGACTGTGAACCTTTTCATTGCAGCAAGGTGTCTAAATGGATTAATCAAAATTTAAAACAAATTCAATCTAACATTTATCACATTTTTTTTTAGGTTCATTTTTTCTAGGCTAAATAGTTGATGAAAATAATTTTTTGTTAATTTGTTAATTTTCTTATTTTTCAATTTCGGTATCCATAATTTTTGGTGTTTCTAGGCAATTATTATAATTATCTGAAAAGTTATTTGTTGAGGTTATATTTCCCTTAATTGGTTAGCTCTTCATATTTATTTAAAATTATTCCTATTCCTATTTCTATTATATTTATTATTATTTTACTTTTAACTGTTACTTTTGTGCTAAATTAATACTACTAAAGTTCCGATTTATTTGATGATTTTTTTGAATTTGATTAATGGGATTGGATGGAATTCCCAATCCAAGTAAAGTTTGGGAGCCATTCCCTGCTCTAATAGTATATTTTTGACATTCTGAATCTTTATACTAGGTATTAGAATTGCTTTTATTAACATAAGGTTAGATTGTGGAATAGGGTTTGCCTTAATTTTAAGTAAGTGGAGGAATATTGGAAAAAATTTTATTGGTTAGAATATCAATATCATTGTTTGTTGAAAATATAATGTGTACTTAAGAGCCATATTAATGAGGGCTTTGATATACCAAAATTTTATAGTTTAATTTCTCTTCACTTTGATTTTTAAGTGAAATATATTATCGATTTTAAAATTATTAAGGGTGCTCTCCAATTAAATGTTTTTCTAGAGCAAAACATTAAAATAATTATTAATCAAAAATTTTAGAATTATTAATATTTTGAGGAAAGCCTTATAATGTATTTGGGAAAAAATGGTGACAAAGTTTTATATATTAATTTTGATTGATATCGTTTAACTATTAATTTTTATTTTGAAAGTAGGAATAGTCTTAACTTACAGATTATTACTATGATAATTTTATCACTTAACAAAAGAAAACTCCCAAACTTACTTCTAATTGATCTGATTCATATTTAATTAATGGTTTGCTATTCCATTTTAAAAGTTTAGATTCTAAATTAGTAGGAAAGTATATCTAGTGTTCTTTTACATAATCCAAGATCTACTATTTTGAATAAATCACCTTCGAATCATTAATTATTTGTTATAAGTTTTGCATTTCTATTAAAAATGAAATATATTGTAAAAATATTAAGTCATATAAATTATATTGAAAAATTATTAAAATTCTATCACTAACTATATTAATGTATGAATATCTGAAATAATTAATTACTAATACTCTTGAAAATTAGAATTAGAGATTTTAATAAAGAATTCATTCATATTTTTCTCCTGCTTCAAGGAAATACCTGAAGAATTCAAATATTATAAATGAATTTAAAATCTTTAGTTTAGATAATTTTATTAGCTGCTGTAAATAATTTGATCTTATGATGAATAAGATAATAATTTACTAAATTATATAAATTAATTTATAGTTATTCCAAAAATGCAAATTTTTATGTAATTACAACTTTTAATTCTCATCATTTTTTTAAGTTATATAGTATTTGATTATTGGAATAATTAGTTCATATCATATTATTCATGGATTGCCTATAAATTTATTCAAATTTGATTAGTTTGAGAAAATTAACTCCTTTGAGAATAAATCGAGATTAATTATGAGCTTTGAAATATGTATAAATATCAATTGGATTTATTTTATTATTTTTCTAATTTTTATTTAAATGAAAATTTTCACATCAATTTTATTGTTAAAAATTAAAGAATCCTAATATATAAAGAATTTAAACTAAACTAAATTTTGAATAGCTTTGATGATAAAATAGAATTTGAATCATTCAATTATAAAAAATGAAGGGTAGCATAATATTATACAGGAATTGTTAAAATTAAAATTGATGGGGATCCTAAAGATTTGAGATGCTTAGAGATTTGCATAATTTTATTTTAATTTTAAAGTATAATTGTCGATCTAAGAATGAATATCATATTAGAATCAGATTAGTATTATATTTTAATCTAATGATTTTCAGAAAATTAACTTTACTTTTAGATTCCTGTGTTGTTTAGTAATTAGTTTAAATGAATTGATAAATATATATTAAGATTGTTTTGCATATGAAAACTATCTCATAATAGCAACNTTTACATAATCCAAGATCTACTATTTTGAATAAATCACCTTCGAATCATTAATTATTTGTTATAAGTTTTGCATTTCTATTAAAAATGAAATATATTGTAAAAATATTAAGTCATATAAATTATATTGAAAAATTATTAAAATTCTATCACTAACTATATTAATGTATGAATATCTGAAATAATTAATTACTAATACTCTTGAAAATTAGAATTAGAGATTTTAATAAAGAATTCATTCATATTTTTCTCCTGCTTCAAGGAAATACCTGAAGAATTCAAATATTATAAATGAATTTAAAATCTTTAGTTTAGATAATTTTATTAGCTGCTGTAAATAATTTGATCTTATGATGAATAAGATAATAATTTACTAAATTATATAAATTAATTTATAGTTATTCCAAAAATGCAAATTTTTATGTAATTACAACTTTTAATTCTCATCATTTTTTTAAGTTATATAGTATTTGATTATTGGAATAATTAGTTCATATCATATTATTCATGGATTGCCTATAAATTTATTCAAATTTGATTAGTTTGAGAAAATTAACTCCTTTGAGAATAAATCGAGATTAATTATGAGCTTTGAAATATGTATAAATATCAATTGGATTTATTTTATTATTTTTCTAATTTTTATTTAAATGAAAATTTTCACATCAATTTTATTGTTAAAAATTAAAGAATCCTAATATATAAAGAATTTAAACTAAACTAAATTTTGAATAGCTTTGATGATAAAATAGAATTTGAATCATTCAATTATAAAAAATGAAGGGTAGCATAATATTATACAGGAATTGTTAAAATTAAAATTGATGGGGATCCTAAAGATTTGAGATGCTTAGAGATTTGCATAATTTTATTTTAATTTTAAAGTATAATTGTCGATCTAAGAATGAATATCATATTAGAATCAGATTAGTATTATATTTTAATCTAATGATTTTCAGAAAATTAACTTTACTTTTAGATTCCTGTGTTGTTTAGTAATTAGTTTAAATGAATTGATAAATATATATTAAGATTGTTTTGCATATGAAAACTATCTCATAATAGCAACTACTTTTTAAATTATTTTTAGAAATTATTTTTATATAATAAATTTCTGAATATTGTTTTTGAATTATATATTATAAATTTAGAATAATTTATAATATAAATTCCAATATCAAGGATTTAAATTATTATTATTATCAAGAGAAATACAAATCTATTTAAAATTTAATTCAAAATATTACACTTGAAATGCATAATACTTTTTTTCGAGTATTTACACTAAGAAATTTATAAGAGATGGTATGTATGTGTCAATTTTTAAATATATCAATTAATATATGGCATTACCTAAAACTGAAGTAAAAGTATTTCCATTATGAAATTTTTTCTAATTATTCTAATCAAATTTAGAGCAAACTAATTATTAAAAACCCAAATCTCATTTCATTAAAATAATCTTCAATTTTGTTGACTTGTACAATTTTATCTTAAGTTCAAATAAATTGACATTAAAAGATAATTTTAAATCTGCACTCTCCATAACCCTTGAAATATTTAAGGCTTAATCCTTAANAAGAATTCATTCATATTTTTCTCCTGCTTCAAGGAAATACCTGAAGAATTCAAATATTATAAATGAATTTAAAATCTTTAGTTTAGATAATTTTATTAGCTGCTGTAAATAATTTGATCTTATGATGAATAAGATAATAATTTACTAAATTATATAAATTAATTTATAGTTATTCCAAAAATGCAAATTTTTATGTAATTACAACTTTTAATTCTCATCATTTTTTTAAGTTATATAGTATTTGATTATTGGAATAATTAGTTCATATCATATTATTCATGGATTGCCTATAAATTTATTCAAATTTGATTAGTTTGAGAAAATTAACTCCTTTGAGAATAAATCGAGATTAATTATGAGCTTTGAAATATGTATAAATATCAATTGGATTTATTTTATTATTTTTCTAATTTTTATTTAAATGAAAATTTTCACATCAATTTTATTGTTAAAAATTAAAGAATCCTAATATATAAAGAATTTAAACTAAACTAAATTTTGAATAGCTTTGATGATAAAATAGAATTTGAATCATTCAATTATAAAAAATGAAGGGTAGCATAATATTATACAGGAATTGTTAAAATTAAAATTGATGGGGATCCTAAAGATTTGAGATGCTTAGAGATTTGCATAATTTTATTTTAATTTTAAAGTATAATTGTCGATCTAAGAATGAATATCATATTAGAATCAGATTAGTATTATATTTTAATCTAATGATTTTCAGAAAATTAACTTTACTTTTAGATTCCTGTGTTGTTTAGTAATTAGTTTAAATGAATTGATAAATATATATTAAGATTGTTTTGCATATGAAAACTATCTCATAATAGCAACTACTTTTTAAATTATTTTTAGAAATTATTTTTATATAATAAATTTCTGAATATTGTTTTTGAATTATATATTATAAATTTAGAATAATTTATAATATAAATTCCAATATCAAGGATTTAAATTATTATTATTATCAAGAGAAATACAAATCTATTTAAAATTTAATTCAAAATATTACACTTGAAATGCATAATACTTTTTTTCGAGTATTTACACTAAGAAATTTATAAGAGATGGTATGTATGTGTCAATTTTTAAATATATCAATTAATATATGGCATTACCTAAAACTGAAGTAAAAGTATTTCCATTATGAAATTTTTTCTAATTATTCTAATCAAATTTAGAGCAAACTAATTATTAAAAACCCAAATCTCATTTCATTAAAATAATCTTCAATTTTGTTGACTTGTACAATTTTATCTTAAGTTCAAATAAATTGACATTAAAAGATAATTTTAAATCTGCACTCTCCATAACCCTTGAAATATTTAAGGCTTAATCCTTAATGTAAATAATATTTGCTTCCTAATAGCAAGAGTAGATTTATTTTGTGAAACCATTTAATTTTAACAAGTCTTAAGATATCATTTGGTTAAGAGATTTAAATATGATTAATAATTGTAAATGAAGGTTTATCCTTTTCTATTCATCCATTCTTTCCCTTTCCTTTTTCTAGGCTTTCTCATTAAGCTTCCTGACTGTTCATCATGAGCAAAGGAGAAGAAAAGACGATTAAAAACTCTATCACAAGTTTTCAATATCAACATAGGTTGACCCTTTTGAATCAGATAAGACTATTCGAAAAAGCTTAGGCAGTATGTTAAAATTTATCCTCCAGAAATGATTATAAGATTGTTGAAGTTTTTTCTCTTACTTAAGTTTTAACCTTACGCTACATCAAGCTAAAGCTAAATTATTACTAGAAATACTAAAGCATACTTATAATCTAGATAAATTACAATTATGACGTTTAGGTACAATGCTATACTATTACTAATTAATATGGACTTTATTTATATTATGCTATGATAAGCATAACTCATTTTACAGGTTACTATCTTACTCTACTTTAAATTTCTTTTTAGTTTTAATAAATGTTGACAACCATTTTTTATGAGACATAAGCCATAAAAAGAAGATTTCTTTTAATTAGGGAAATAAGGAGATTAAATATAAAATAAATCCAGGGTTTCATAATATAGTATGCAAATGCTTCATATTAAGTTCTGCCATTAAATCAAGAAATTTGTATGAACTAAGCTTATTTTCTATTCATTCTCATATTCTATTATAAAGGAAAATGAAATTAATATTTATAAAAGATAAAAATATCAATAATTAAATTAAAGGTTATTCATAAAAAGCATTAAAAAATGGAACTAAAATAAAAATTTGTCAATTCATTCATTAATTATAATTTTGATATTGACAGCAATTAATTAGAAAATTCTTTAAAATAATTATAGACATTTCTATTAATTACTTATTAAATTTTAAAAGGTTAATGATTTGGAAACAATTATTAGGACTTAATGAATTGTATAAAAAATATATATATGAATTCGATGTAAGTACTAAAATTGTTATAAATGTGTTTTATCTTTTAAGAATTCCAAATTTTTTATTTGAAAATTAAAAAAATTAATTGAACATCTCTTATATAATTTGCAATAATTTTGTTTTCATTTAAATGAATTTAAAATAATGTGAAAATCTTGAACAATTAAATATATAAAAATTGCTCAAAATTTTTGATAATGTCTAATATCAATCTCAGAGCCATAATGTGTGTAAATTGTTAATTGATACATATATATATAAATATACTACTATTTTACCATTTTTATAGCAATGGAAATTAAATTTATAATAATAATACAACCTATTACTCTTAAAGAAAATATTTATCAATTTATATAGAATACTAGAATTTGTAAACATAGAAAATAAAGATAGTTTATAATTTACTAATTTATGATTCTAAATAATTACATGGATTATGTTTAAATAAGGTATATAATTTACAAATTTTCTTACAAAGAATATTAATTCAAGCTAAAGAAATTCAAGAATAAATTTAGAATTCAAAAAAAAATGCACAATTCTTATATTAGTTAAATGAGTATAATATAAATATATCAACTCCAAGGTTATTTTTATAATATTTCTAAAGGATCCAATAAAACATACTCATTTTCTAAATCTAAAGAATTAGCTGGTTTAACAGTTAATCGATTTGATTCCTTACTATTTTAATGATCTAAATAATTAATTGATAGTTTTCCTCCCATTTAATGACTCTGTTATAAAACTTAGTCTCCAAATTATTATTAAATAATAAACTATAGTCTTGAGATTTCATATAAAATATTATTTAGTCTGCATTTTTCTTTTGCTCTTTTACTAAAAGTTTTATATTGATATTTAATATTTTAGTTTGAATACTCGCTACTATTTTGTGAATTTGGCTTAATTTCTAATTGGTTGAAATAGTTCAACTTGATTTTTTTAATTTCTGGATAATACATAGTTACTATTTCGTAAAGTAATTGATTTTCCAATAACATTTGATTATAATATATTGCAATATATTTTAACAAAAAGATAACCTATACAATTGACCCTACTTAAGCTAAAATTTAACCTAATTTTGGCAGTGTTATATTTTCTGTCACAGCAATATTATCAATTCTAAATAAATAACAACCAAAACTCTTAAATTCATATTTTTATTTTGACATTTAACTAATTACCTAAGAGATGAAAAAATTATCTACTTATTAATTAATTAACTCATAATTGTTTAAGAAAGAATATTGTTTATAATTATTAAATAATATTCCATTATCAATAATAGTTTCTTACTATTTAAGCATAACTTATGAATATAAAGGTCTAGATGGTTCTAAGGCTGTATAATATTATTTTTAAATTTCTTCTAATTCTCCTGTAGAATATTAAAGTTAATTTAATTTAATAGTTAAGAATAAAAATCCATGAAATTTAGATAAATACTAATTTATTACATTTTCATCAGCACAATAACCTCCAGGTACAGCCGTTAAATTAGAGCAACTTTCGAAAACAAGTAAATATTATGTCATTTCCAAACGACCATCATTTCCTGTATAATCATGGTTTAAAACTATTGTACCATTATCTATTGATATTTTAAATGGTTTATCTTCACTACTAAATAATGGAATTGGTTTATCATATATAGTTGTATTTAGAACAATATATAAATTAGGAGTGATAATATTATTTTCTTTTCTAAATGGATCTACATCTCCTAAAAAATCTTATAATTCTAATTCAATAATAGAATTTGATAACTTTAATTCAGCATATGAGATAGTTTATTATTTAAAACTCACAATAGGAGGTATTTGATGATCAATCCATAATATAATAACATATAAAAAATATGTTAAACTAATGCTTCCAATCAAAAGAGTAATTATTCCACCAAGCTTACTTTTATATAAAGAAGCCTTAGCATCAGTTAAAAGACTTATTGGAACTCCAAAAATATCGAATTTATCAATAGTATTTAGTATTTTGTTCATTTTAAAGAAATAATAATATTAAAAATGAAATATTTAATTAATATGAATATTATAATTTTTCATTTATTTTACAAATTTGATCAAAAATTTGTGCATAATAATATTACAGCCTCTCATTATAATAATCAGTAGTCTCTCAACAATTAAGGAAAAGATTATCCACAGTTAACTAAAAGTAATAGTTGCAGACAATATCATGATTTTATACTTTGTTTGTGCTATTTAAAAGCTTCAAAAAAAATTCAAAAGTAAAGAAATTATGCTAAAAAATATAGTTTTTTTGTTTACAACATAGTATTTAAATTTTTTTATACACTTAAGAGCATCAATTTTAATCCAAGTTTCTAAAATAATTAGAAAAATATTATATTTGTTATATATTATATAATTCCATTATAAAGCTTTTTATTAATAGAAATTTGATTTATCATTAAATGATTGGATTTAACTATGAGTCAATCTAATATTATTCTTATAAGGATGTAGAGGAGCTTTATCGAGTAAATTAATATGATGTTATTGGATGTATATCAATTGATCAAGAGGAAAACATAATCAAATATATTATTGATAGATTTAAGTATGTCAGATTAAGTGATCTTATTTTCAATCGTAAATAATTGTTTTTTTATTATACAAAGCAAATTTTATTAGATTTCATTTGGGCTAACTTTTGAAATTATTTATTAAAATATTAAACAAGATTCTAGAGAGGGAAAAATAAAAAATAAAAAATAAAACATGAATACTTAGATGATAATAAAATATGGTTGGAACTTGTGAAAAATAGTCAGTATAATATGCTACAATTTAATATTCTATTAAGTTATTCATGTATAATATATGAATGAGAATTATGTGAAAAAGTTGAAACTCTCAGCAAATATAATAAATTATTTCATCAATACTTTAGGATTTTAAATCTGATAAAATTACTTAAAAAAAAATAATAGCTATTAGTAAGACAATATATGATCCGATTATATAATCATGTTAATCATCAAATATTATAGAAACATTAAAATCTATTTAATAAATTTTAAAAAATAATGAATAATTATGATGGTAAAATTATCGACTATTATCTATATTCATTTAGAGATTTTAGATTAAATGATTTTAAATAAGAATTGTTGAATATAAATATCAAGAAAATACATTTATTTTAGAATGTTTATTAATGTAAAAAGTAGAGTAAATTGGAGAAAATATAGACAATTTATTTTAAGAAAAGATCAAAAAAGATGATGAATCAAAAGCAATTTAATCAAAAAATGTAATACAAGAAATGTAAAATAAGGAATTAATTTTGTTAATATTTATTTTAAAAGTTGTTTTGAGAATATAGAAAATTTATGAAGAAGAGAAAGTATAAATGTTCCAAAATCTTCTAAAGTAGATGTAAAATCATAATTTGTTAAAATATTTTTTTAATTCTCCTCGTTTTTATAATACTTCTTACTAAATTCAAATTCAATAGAATTATTACTATATTTTGTTTTAATTAAATAAATGTATTGTTCATGAGGAATTAGAATTGTATAATCAACTACAGATTTTAAATTAATAGATGCTTTATTTGAATTATATTGAGAAATAATAAATTATTTAATAAAATTAAATATCTTTATATATTTGTAACATAATTCTTACTTAAAATTAGCCATCCTGATTTAATCTTTCGACTATTAATGGAATATAAAATTATCTGAAATTTGATATTAGATGGTTCTTCCTCAAAATAGGATATAAATTAATAAAGATTCTGTTCTTTTTAAATGGTTCTTAAAGAAACAAAGGCTACAATATTATATTCCACAAATAACATTATAATGATGTATATTCATATTATCTAGTCACTTTATCTATTTTGCCTTTTACATATTTTTGTACAACTTATTTATACAGTATCTAGTTGTAAATCGTATCTGTATTTGAGTCCTGAAATTTATTTTTCAATCTTTGATTAGCTCCTCCATAAACAAGTAAATGTTCAAATTTGTAAAAATAAAAATTATATTAATCTCAAATATCATGATTATTTTATTAATACAATTTTTTTATCTTAAAAGCACTTTTTACCTTTAAATCTATTAAATAATTTCCATTAATATATAATTGTATGCTATTTTTAATTGAAATTAATATTTCATCCTCTCCTTTATTTAATATAATATTTCACCCTCTTCTCTTGCAAACCTATTATTGACTTCTTATTAAATATTTCTTTCAATTTTGAATAATGTGTCCTCAAAATTGACAACTTTTTCCAATTATTTAAAAGTATTTATTTGAGATGTTATAAAAGTCATAATACTTTAACTGCCAGTCTTTACATTTTTGTATAATAAAAGCATAATAAATATAATGGTTTACCACTCAATTAGTATTTTTGAACTAAATGGAATCTTATAGATATTGAAGAAAATTTAGATATATTATTATTAGATACCATTAATTTAAAAATAAAGAATTTCATAGTTGTATTATCAAAATATCATATTTTTAATAAGATTATTCTTTTTTTTATTATTTTATGATACTTTTTATTCTATCATATCATATAAAAGTCATTCTTATTCAAAAGGAATCATCTTTGGCTGAATGGCTAAATTATATTTTAGAAGAAGAATATTGCTATAAATAGATCACACTTTTTTTTCCTTTCTTAAATCTAAAAATCTAGTATAAAAATTCAATAATATAACATTTTTGGGTATTAATATAGTATCTTAATCTATTATTTGCATTTAAGTTTGAATGACCAATAATAACAACAATTAAATAATTATTTTTTATTTAAAAAAATGGGAATCTCATGTTCAAATTGCTAAAATATCTTAAGAGGAATAGAGTATAAATATTCATTAAACTAGCCATCAATAATATGGGCATTAAAATGACAATAATCAAAAGTTAGATACAGAATAAGTATTTGATTGTGAAGTATGGAACTTTTACAACCTTAGATGGTTTAAGAAAATTGTCTAAATAGTAACAATAACGAATGAAAATGAAAGAAAGTATTTCTTCGATGGTTAACTCTTAAGAATGTAAATAATTTTATATTAATAAATAGAGAATCAAGTAAAAATTAATCTGTGGGATTTTAAAATTTTACTAATTTAGAATAGCTAAATCATCTTAACTGGTCTGGAAGATATGGGTAATTGAATTAAAAGGTAGGAAAATGGATTACTACATGGAAAGGTGAAATTTTAAGGGATGCTGGTGGATGGTACTCTGATGATGAAAAAAAATAAGGTTTGTGGATTGAACTTACAAAAAATTATAGAAAGTATATTATCATTCAATTATTTATAAGTTAAGCTTAAGTATATGAATCTGGATATTATCTAGATGATTAAAGATATGGAATGTGGAAGTATATATATGATGATTAATTAATGTATTGACCAAATTATTTATAATTTAGTGATGCTGGACGTTACAACTTTTAAGGTCAAAAGAATGGAAAATGGACATAACTAAGTGATAGATTTTGCTATTATTCTAAAATCAAATATAATGGTGAATATAAAAATGGAAAAAAGGTTGGTTTATGGAATATTTGGTATTAAGATGAATATAGATATAATAATAAATTGATGTATTTTATTAAGATTAAAACTATTTAAGTGGTGGTGGGTCATATAATGGAGATGGTAATAAAATTGGAAAATGGATTGAGTAGAGTGATGGATTTTAAGGATTCTCATAAATCACTTATATTGGAGACTATAGAAACGATAAGAAAATTGGTAGATGGGATATTTGGTTTAAGTAGGGAGATGGTTAGATACATGATATAATGTAATATATTACAATTAAATTTTTAAGTGGTGGAGGATCATATGATGAAGATGGTAATAAAATTGGAAAATGGGTTTAATTGAGCGAAGGATTTTAAGAACACTCATAAATCACTTATATTGGAGAATATAGAAAAGGTAAGAAAATTGGTAGATGGGATATATTTGAATTAGGAGAAATGATGTAACAAATATTCATAATTGCATTTTTAGTGGTGGTGGATCATATGATGAATTAGATTCTATTAAGATTGGGAAATGGATAGAGCTGAGCGATTTCTTTGGTATTAGATGGTAAACTACTTATAATGGAGAATATAAAAAAGGAAAAAAAATTAATAGATGGGATATAGAAAAAAGGGATGAAAAAGGAAAGCCCTTTTATAATATGTAAAAATATTAAAAAGCATAAATTATTTAGTGGTGGTGGATCATATGATTCAGAACAAGGTTCAATAAAAATTGGGAAATGGTTTGAGTTTAATGATGATTATCATTTAAATTAATACATGACTACAAATGGTGAATATAAAAATGGTTATAAAATTGGAAGATGGGAAACTTTGTGGACAACAGCATTCAATATAATAAATAAATTGATGTAAATAAATAATTCGAATTTAGTGCTTGTGGATCTTATGATGAGATTAGTTCTAATAAGATTGGGAAATGGATTGAGATTAGCGATAATTTTTGTTCTAATTCATAAGTCACTTATATTGGAGAATATAAAAATGGTATCAAAGTTGGTAGATGGGATACTTATTTTTTAAAGCATTTTGGAGATAGAAAGAATGAATTAATGTATATTTTAAATGATAAATTTAGTGGTGGAGGATCATATGATGAAGAACATGGATTAATAAAAATTGGAAAATGGATTGATTTGGGTCATTTGTTTAATAGTGATTCTTAAGTCACATATATTGGCGAATATAGAAGTGGTAAAAGAGTTGGCAAATGGGAGATTTGGTTTGAGCAGATTTATGGAGATAACAAATTGTAATAAGTGTAATATCAAATAATAATTTTAGTGGTGGTGGATCATATGATGAAGAATAAGGATGTATTAAAGTTGGAAGATGGATTGAGTTAAGTGATAATTTTGATGAATATTCATAAATAACCTTTAAGGGTGAGTATAAAAATGGTAGAAAAATTGGTAGATGGGATATTTGGTATAAAAAGTATTATGGAGAAAAAACTATTGGATTAGTGTAAATATGAAATAAAAAATATAGGGGTGGAGGATAATATAATGAATAATAAGGTTTAATTAAGTGTGGATGTTGGATTGATGTATGCGATAGTTTTGCAGGTAGCTAATAATGCACTTTAACTGGCTAATATAAAAATAGTAGAAAGGTTGGAATTTGGTAAATAAATTGCAAGATCTATGATGAAGGTTATGATATTAATAGATGGGTTATTTTTGAATAATGAGCATATTAATATTATTAAATATCTGTGAATAATTATTACTTTTATTTGTTTTTGATAAATTTATTTAAATTTTAGAAATCAAATCTTCGTCTTTTCTAACTTAATCTTTAACAAAAAAATAGAAGAAACAATAAAATTGAATGACCTTAAGCCAAATTTTCTTCATTTTCTAAAAAATATTAAACTCTTATAAATAATATTAAATTGAAGTTGTCATTTAGGATGTAGGAATAAAAAAACTTAAATAATCTGAACTCTAAATTATAAACAGAAACCCAATTCAAGATTTTATTTATCTGCTACTTAAACTAGATGGCAACAATTGTTTATTTGCTTAAATCCTACCAATAGAAGATATTTAAAAAATAGAAATTTCGTTTTAAAAATTGAATTTATTATTTAGATATAATTTAAGATTTTTTTGATAGATCAATAATATAATAATGCAGGTAATATAAAAGCTGCATCATTGATATAAACTAGGTAGTTTGGAATTACTAACACTTATTCATGTTACTCATGGAAATTTTTAGAGCATAGACAATTTTATTAAATAGCAGAAATGAAATTATAGGGCAAATTTTGAAAGGGGTGAATTAGAAAAATGTTGATTTTTAATTTTTAGATTAGCGAATATCATCAACTGATTTTAGTGTATCGTCAGCAATAATTAATTGTTTTAATTTAATCTAAAGTATTTTCGCCACTTAGTAATTAGTTAAACACATAATTTTAAAAAATAGGGTTTGTAATTAATTAATTAATTATTTTGCATTTAAAAAATAGTTTTATGATCTATATACAAATAATAAATTGTGTGTTATAATTGATAGATCAAACTATTTACATTCTCTCTAAAATACATTCAAATATATTTCATAATACAATAGAAGACTGAATATCATTAAATCGTTATCTACTGATCTCTTAATGTAGATTATAAATAATGATATATATTAATGCAGATTACTCTCTTTTACAGATACTGAAATAGCCTTAAAGTTAATAGAAGTCTTTTCTCACCCAAGCAAAAAATTCTATATGTATTAACAATGATTTGCAAAGCTGATGAAATAGATGATACTTATATATATATAATCAACCAAACTATACTGGGACTGTTTTTTTGAAAAATATAGATGTTAATGGACTATGGCAAATGATACCCTTTCCAGCAAATTTATTATTCATTCATATATTACAAACGATATCATCACTTGTTCACAATTTTTTTGATTTGGATAAAATTTATGATTGACTTAAAGTATCTTATCTTTATATTTCATAAATTAGAATGTTAGTAATTTACTCTTAATATTTGAGAAAAGATATTCATTTTTCCTTTTAATTATTTATTTAATCTATATTGAATTTTTTCTTCTTTTATTTACAATATATGGGAAAAAAGTCCAATTTTTTGTTTTAATCTTGGATTATTTTTCAAATTAATTTCTTTTAAAAATAAATAAAAGAGGAAGATATATATCAATAAATATTTAATGATCAATCTTTTCTTTTTTAAGATGCTATAATGATTATTATAATTTTAGATCACTTAATTGATCATCGATTATAAACAACTAGACTAATAATTTTATTAATTTCTATAAATTGATTGATTCTTTTATATTGATTTTTATGAGAATTATTATTATTATAATATAATCTACATAGGTCTAATTTTATCATTTAGGAATTTCAACTAAAATAAAGATTTTCGTATTATTTGAGAATTTATTATTTTACATGTGTCTCAATGTTTCTATTAAACCTATATTACTCTTTTGTTCTCATATAATCAACTTGTGTCCATTTTACTTATAAAAATTATTTATACAATAAATTTTATATTATCTAAAGTTTTAATGATTAATCCAACATTAAACTATTTAATTACATTAATATATGAAGATAATTTAAACTAAATGAAAATATATTTAATATTCTTTTCATGTAATAATTTATTTATCATTCTTTACATTTTCTTATTTGTATTTCTTACGATTTATCATCCCAAGTTATTAAATATTCTCCATCTTAACTTAATGATCCACAAATAGCATAAGTACTAAATTCTATAGATTACTCAACAATAAATTCGCCATTTTCTTTCTTCCTAATTAAATTAATATTCTTGCCATTCTTATTCACAAGGAGGCATCTTGACTTTAAGTATTATTATGGGAATAAACAAGATTCATTACTTGTACCACAATTTACAGTGATTTCCTTTGTCTTTCTATACTATTTTTTATTAATGTCAATCTCATATATTTGCATTTATTCGGTACAATAAGGTTAAAATGTAAATTAATTATCATTAATGAAACATAATCTATATCCATATTAATCCACTTTTATCTTTTATGTTACAATCCATTTTTAGTCTAATTTTTATTATTCTATTACTAATATTTATTTATCATTTGAACAAGAAATTACTTTATTTTATTGTTCATTCAAACATAATGAATATACACAATTAGAATGATCATTTATGCTTTATTAAACCAACCATTAATCCTGTTTGATCCAAAATTTAATTGTTTTATCATAACTACCTGAGATAATTAGATCATCAGTATTTTTCAACAATAAACAAATTAATGAACCTGAATGTCCATTCAATATTTATTAAAAATTCCATTAATAATGTTTAATCATCTACCATATTATAATTGTATTATCATCACTACCAGATATAAAATTATTTTTATTTTTCATAAAATTTAAAGTATTTACATTTTAGGTATGCTAGCTTAACAATTATATTTAATCAAGTTTCCCTAATATATGTTAAAATACTTTAATGTCCTTAGAACAACCAGCTACTACGATTGATTAGTCTGAATTAAAAGCAATTGCACAACATGTTTCATTTTACTTTATTGAATTTTCAATAATGAGCTCAAAGGAGAATTAGTTTAGATTTTAAACTTCTATAATTTATTTCTTTTGTTTTTCTTCTATATATTAATTTTAATTGATTTATTAAATCTCTTTATCTTTCTTTTATATGATTTCCATATATATAGTTTATTCTTTCTTCCTTTATTCAATTTCTTTATCCAATTTTGATTAAAATAATTGAGTCAATATTTATTCCTTATTTTTAACTTCTCTTTGCACAATAAATTTTATTGATGGTTATAATTCAGATATGATTTACTATGTTAGAATAGGATTGATGTAATCATTTGAAAAAGTTAATGATGATAAAATGAAAGGTTAGTTGCTGATGGATTGAAATGATAAATTGGAAACATTAGGTTAAATTTAATCCAAAAGAATTTAATCAATTAATTAACCTATTTTGTCATAGGATGACTTTGAATCTACTAGAAATACTAAAACATACATCAATTTATTCATATACTTCATTGAAACAATCTTAAACTTTTTATTCATAGTTTTCTGCAGATAATGGTGAGTTTTAAAAAGAGGACATGTTAATTTATTCTTAATTAGATAATATTGTTTCCAAGTTCTTTATAATGATAATAAATATTTGGCCAATTTCTATTATTTTTATATTATAATTATACAATATTATATATCAATTGATTAATAATATACATTTAGTTTCTCCTTTATTATATATGGATAATCATATTTTTAAAAGAAAAATTAAAATAATACAATTGATTAGTGTGAAAATAAATTATATATTAATGGTTTATTTAGGTGAATAGTCTTCTTACAATTAATTATTTGAGATTTTCTAAACAAAAATATCCTTTTAAAAAATATTTTGTTTGAATAAGATGATGATAATATAAAAATACAAATAATTTATCAAAATTGAGTAGTCATTATTTCAAAGATTAAAGAACTTAATTAGGGATATTTATCTACACAGTTAATATAGCAAATAAAAAAAGAAAAATCATCTCTTTTATGTTGATATTGAATCTTATCTAAAAATATTAAATAATTATCCTATCCAGTTTATGTATACTAAAAGTGAACCATTAAGTTCAATTCTATCTAAATTATTATTTAAGTATTTTCTTATTCCATCTTCTACAATGCATAAGCTCAGAAATTCTTTTCCCTAAAGGTACTATATTAAGATTTTTTTCTTAACTTTGGTAAATACTATGACTAAGAACATAATAACCTACTATAAAGCATGATTTTAGTTGTTAAATGATTGGTGAAAAAAACAAACCCATTTAGATATTATCTTATATTTTAATAATTATTTAATACTTAAGAATTTATTTATATTTTTTCATAAATATTTGAAAACCAAAATAAAAATTATATAATAATTTTATTTTTATTCATATAATTCATATCATTACTATCTCATATGATTAATAATTTAAATTCTTCATATCCCAAAATACTAAATACTATCCATTATTGGTCATAGTTCCAAAAATAACATCATTTAAACAATTTAGTGATGTCATAATTTCAAATCTACCATTATTTAATTATCTAATTAGATAGATATGATGTTTATGTCTTACTAATAATATATTTTTTTCTTTATTGTAAATAATAGGGAAATATGCATCATCTTCACATTTGTTATTCATAATTAATTTGATACTTGCATCAATATTATATTTAAAGACTCCATTCTAATATTCTAACACTAAAATATCATCAATATACTCATTTTTTGTTACCCAAAGAAATTTTTAATCATTAATTACATGAATTTTACGTCCTTAATTTGCAACTGGTTATGTATATTTAAATTCCCATTTTCCTTACTGTCCTTTCTCCCATATAATAAAATGATCTAATCCACATGATATTAATAAAGTCTCAGATTCATTAAAACTAAATGACTTTACACTATTGCCATGGTTATTTAAAGAGTACTAGAAATTCAACTCATTCTTAATAAAATCTATTTTCCAAACTTTAATTGAATGATCACAACCTCCTGATAATAATTGATCCTCATCTTAAGTTAACATTAAACAATGAACTGTTCCATTATGTTATTAGTATTTCTATGAACACTTCCACTCTTTTTGATTAATTTATTACCAACAAAGGATAGTATGATCATGAGATCCAGAAATAAAAGTATTTTTTATTTTGCTATACACTAAACATGTTACAGCCTTTGAATGTTCTTAATAAGTATTAATTAATGATAATCTTCCTAATTTAAAATTCCAAATTTTAATCTCATTATTACTACATGAAACCATGATTGAATCAGTTTTATCAAAAACTATTGCAAAACAATATCCAATTTATTTATTAGAATCATCAATTAATTTAATTTCAATTCGTTAATCTATCATTGATTTAAATTCCAATTAATTTTATTATAATTCCTTATCTTCTTATTCTACCTCATTTTAATTCATAATATCATTCTACTAATTTCCTTTAAACATTATATTATTTAATAGTTCTGAACATTTTTAAGTTTCTTAAAATTATTTAAATAAATTTATTTTATTCATGATCTTATGAATCCATGATTAATTTATGAAATTTATTTAATCTACTATAGATTTCTAATCAAATTAATCAAATTTTGAATTTGTAATCAATATTTCTAATTCATCAAAGAAACTATATGCTAGGTGTGCTGATCCACGTGATTGTATTTATTTAATCCATTCTTCTGCATTTCCAATCAATTAATCCAATTATTGAATAACACTAGATTTTAATTAATAAAGAGTATTTTGAAGATATTGTAGCTGATTAATGTTGATCATTAAAACATTCTCAATAGATTATTTTTTTAATTCTTGATTTACCTAAATATATTAATGAGCTTTCTAAAAATTCATTAATTAAGTTTTTAAGTCTAAATGTTCCATACATTAAGAACATAAAAATCTTTAATTTTTCTTTTTTTCTTAATCACAAGTAATCATTAAGACTGGAGCCTTATGAATCTAACAAAAAAAATCTTATTCTTTTTCTATCATTTTTAATTATATTATTTATTATTAATATTTAATAATAATATTCAATATTCTAATAGAATTNTGAGAAATAATAAATTATTTAATAAAATTAAATATCTTTATATATTTGTAACATAATTCTTACTTAAAATTAGCCATCCTGATTTAATCTTTCGACTATTAATGGAATATAAAATTATCTGAAATTTGATATTAGATGGTTCTTCCTCAAAATAGGATATAAATTAATAAAGATTCTGTTCTTTTTAAATGGTTCTTAAAGAAACAAAGGCTACAATATTATATTCCACAAATAACATTATAATGATGTATATTCATATTATCTAGTCACTTTATCTATTTTGCCTTTTACATATTTTTGTACAACTTATTTATACAGTATCTAGTTGTAAATCGTATCTGTATTTGAGTCCTGAAATTTATTTTTCAATCTTTGATTAGCTCCTCCATAAACAAGTAAATGTTCAAATTTGTAAAAATAAAAATTATATTAATCTCAAATATCATGATTATTTTATTAATACAATTTTTATAAAATATTATTAATATTTAATAATAATATTCAATATTCTAATAGAATTAAGACAATCAAATATTTCAAATACTATTAACTCCTAATCTTAAAAAACTCATGTCTTCATCTTTAAAAAAATATGGAAGATAACATTTTTGTTCATATTTTAATAAGTAGTAGACATTCGTATTATTTGATATAAGATCATGAATTGGTTACTTATTACTTATTTTTGTTGTTCACTATTTATTAGATGAGGATTTTTGGAATATTGTATTAAGAAAAATGAATTCTAAGTTAATTTGAGACAAGATTAATGGCAATTTACTTTATATAGTATATAAATAACATAATTTATAATTTCTTTTCTTATTTCAATCATTTAATTGTATAAAAATTAGTGATTTTTTCATTAAATTAGATATGAATTCTTAAAATTTCTGAAAAATCAAATTTGATTAAACAAAACAAAAACAACAAACTATACATAAAAATTGAGATTTTTTTCAACATCTGATTCTTTTCTAGATTTCATCTCGTTTTTAACAATCAATTTGAAGTTACTATAAAAATTGATATTTTTAGAATATTATATGCTTAATATATATTTATTTAAAATATTTGCTTTTAGATTTCTTATATAATCTAAAACTAAACAATCATAAATCATTTAGAGCAATTTTGGACAGAGTTATTATTTTTTATTCTAAAATAATTAATGACCCTAGCTAAGTTAAAAAAAATATTCGATGAACATTAATGATAAAATTCAGATTCTGGTGGATATCAATATTAATGTAGTGTAAAAAAAAAAGTTTTGGTGAACATAAAAATTATAATTGACCTATATAAAAAAACGTAAATTTTTTATCTAAAAAGAAATCGAACTGATAGCCTATCGAAGAGTATAAGACAACTTTTGAAAAACCTTGAATATGATCTAACACCAGTCATTAAATGTAAGTAAAAGAAATTTCTAACTTAAAAATGATTGTTGAAATTGTTCATCTTATTACAAAGTAATCAATAAGATTAAATCATTAAGGATATACATTCCTTAATAATGTCTAATAGATAGGATTAAATATTTATTATATATTATTGTTAAAAGTATTATGATTGCTGCATTATTATAATTAAAAAAAGATCCTTAAAGTTGAATTAATGCAATATTTAATTAATGCGCACTATGATGAAAAGCAGACACTTCATAAGGGAAAGATTTATGTGATAAATTTATTATTATTTACAAAAATATACTAATGAATCCATTATTATCAATAGATCTGGCTGAAATGAATTTTAACGACTTAAAACCTCAATATCATATCAATAAATAAATAAGTATAGAGACTTATTAAAGCAATCAACAAATAGAAGATTAAATGATATTTATACTTGATATAATTCCTCGATTAAGAGGAGGAGGATGTGCAGCTACAAAAAATACTTAAGAGAAAATAACTTAATTAAATAATAAACTTCCGATTAATTTTGCTTCTAAAATCAAAGATCACACTAACATTATATCTGAAAAATCTTCAACTTTTTCTGATAAATTATATTAAGATGAAATACTTTCATCATTTTAATGGTTTTACAATCATAAAGAATATTTTTAAATACTTTGTAATGATGATTAATTAAACTCTATATTTTATCATCTAATTGAGACATGTGCAGAAACATTATTAAAATAGTTGATAATATATATAAGACTATCAGGATTTTTGTTTTATTAATTACTTGATATATGCAATGATTTATTTAGAGTCATCTTTTCCTATTAATTAAAGAATGAAGATAGATATATGCAAGAAAGTTTAAAGCAAAGTTTGCTTGAAATGATATCAGAAATAGAATCATAAATAAGTGTAGAATCTATAAATCTATGGAAAAATGGAGTTGAATTTGAACTTTAATTGATTAAGACATGTATTGCTCATTGTAGAACTAATTCTGAGAAAGAAAAAGAATTAGTAATTGCCATTGTATGTGGAGTAGCAAGTTCGATTTCTTAGTTATCTCCAAGTCCTGAATTAATTGATGCATTAATAGAGGCAGGCAAATATTTACTATTAAATTTTTATGATAAGCAAATTTAACATCCTCTTCAAAAATATGAAATTTACTACTTTTTTGAAAATTTAAAATGGTCTATAATTAATTAATTGAAAGTAGGGTATTCTGTTTAAAAAACGATTAATACTGTATTGGATGGATTTAATTTATATATAAAGCCATCTAAAGATTGGATGATACATTTTTGTTGGGTTAAATTTATATCTGATTTGATGTCTTATAGACCAATTATAAATAAATTCTCACTTAATCAATAATAAAATTCTAATCAATTAAATTGGAATGAGTTAATAGTATCAAATTAAATAGTATAATTGCCTTATGATAAAACATCAGGTAAACTTCAAATTTTCGGGAAAAAAAATAACCTTAATCTGAAATAGTTTCATTAATTAATTCTATTTTAAGAGTATTTATTAGATATTTAAGAAAAATTTCAATTGTTACCCTCATATTCAATATTTTAATTTAATAACCAAAATATAGAAATGATTAGTGATTAAGATTTAAATATTAAAAAATTAATTAGTGAATCTAATTTGGAAATAGTAACAATATTAAATGATAATTTAAAAACTTCAAAAGATTAATTAATTAATTTATTTGAAACAATAATTTAATAATTTACTCCAACTGTTTCCAAAATCTAATCAAGTTTAAACACTTAAATATCAAAAGATGATATCAAATATACAATTAAGTAGATTAAACTATATAGCTAATCATTTATATATACTTTATATGAACTCAATATTATGATAAATTAAGAAAGATAAGCTATTGAAATAATTTAGAACACATTAATATAAAACAAATAATTTTTTAAAGAAAAGAGTTTAGCATATTAAATTTCAATAATATAAATCATTAAAGAATTGGAATAACAATATGAAAAGGAATACATAATTAACTTTAAAAAATTTTCATTATTTATAATCTAAATATTTCATAAATTATCAATATATTAAGATGAAGTTAATTCCCCAAATTTGATGCTTGAAACATCAAATATTAGGATTAAAGAATGTGAATTTGATTAATAATAGCTTTAAATGGCATTAACAGATTTTATTAGTTATATTGATAAATTTATCATCTAATAAAAATCTATTAAACGTAAATTTTTTAAAATATATGAATCAAAGGAACTAAATTTATTTTTATAGATGAAAACTTCATAAAAATTTTAATCCTATATACTAATTAACATATATGATTTTAAGTTTATTTAATAATTTGGAGGTGAATTTATTAATTATTATAATAATTGTTTTATTTAACAAATAGAATTTTCCTAAATTGATCTCAGGAAAAATAGAATAGTATGTAAATAAATTATTATGATTTTAAAACTTTTAAAGCAGTTATTGGTTATCCAATAGAGAAAAGTTGTCTCATTGAATATTTAAAAGGAGAATGTCCAATAATAGGATCAAATCAAAGATTAACAAAATATCAAAGCTTTTTTGGAAAATATAATACATGAAAGAAGGAATATATTGTAAAAATTATATGATAAATTTGGTGGAAAGATATAAACTGATATCCATTAAGTAGACTTTTATGAAATTATAGTGTCATTAGATAATGGAATTGATATAATATAGAAATAAAATTGGTCTTAAGTCTTAAAAACTAAGCATATTTTGATATTTAAGGAAATTAAAAACAAAATATAAATACTTGAATTGCTAAAAAATAATTAATAGTCATTTATTATGGAAATAATATATCTTTTTGATAAATAATTAGAAGAAGTGGGTTAAGAATAATAATAACAATAAGAATAAATTTAGATAGAATTATTAAATATAACAAATAATAACATTCCTCAATTAAAAAAATAATAAAATATTTATGATTGTATAACTTCTGAAAATCTATTTACTTGGGATGAATCTATATCTTAAATTTAATAGTTAATTTAGAATTTCAAAAAAATTTCATAAATTATTTAATAAAGAAATGAGAATATCGAATTAACTTAAGTTTCATTTCAAAAACTAACTTTAGAATTCATTAAAGATACTTTTAATCAAAATTATTTTGTAATATATTCTGATTTGAGGATTGAATTTATTAAATGTTTAAGTAAAATAGCAGAATAAAACCAGATTGTTTTCAATGAAAATTTTTTAAGATCATTATCAGAGGATCTTTGTCTTGATTAAAAAACAACCATATAAATGATATCTGAAGGTTCCTCTTTTTTATACTAAAAGAGTAATAATGGAAATTAAGAGTTTATTATTGACAAAGCATATACTTTTATGTTGTAAAATTTAAAGATAGAAAATAATGTCTAAGGAGATGGTTTTCTTGCAGAATCCTCTTACAAAGTTAGAGAAGCAACAGTATTCAATCTAATTAAAATGTAATCATTTTTACATGAACCTATAATTTA